AACCAAAAACGCATGAATCCATCCGTAAAAGAAGAACCACAATCACCGGAAATTGACAACATCGAGAATGAGCCATCATCAAGCAAAAGAAAAAGATCTGTAATCTAGATTTGATTTGTAAAGTCAACCATTGAGTTTTCTTTTTGATGATTGAATGATGCTTGACTGAATGAATGTGATCTCTGGCACTAGTCCTTTCTATTTTGAATTGTTTTATTCAAAAATATCCTTGACAATATTTTTGACTATAAATCTTTAAACAAATCGAAGAATTCTTGTGAAATTTTTGCATTTACAGCTTCAAGAAACTTGTTTAGGTAAACCAAGACTGACTTTGGGGTTCAAAACCGTCTGGTTCAAAACCGTCTGGTTCAAAACCGTCTGGTTCAAAACCGTCTGGTTCAAAAGCGTCTGGTTCAAAAGCGTCTGGTTCAAAACCGTCTGGTTCAAAACCATAAAATAGACGTATTGATTCAAATCATTCAAATCTATAAAGAAGTCAGCGCATTTTTGGTTTAGTGATAGAATGCTCGGGTTGATTCAATTTCGATTTCTGGACCAATTCCAAAAATGTACTCACAAATGATGAAATCTCAACTCTAATAACTAAAGCTTAAACAGAAATTAAGAACAAGAACAATCAAGAAATCAAGAAATCAATCAAGAACAGAAATCTGCACAAGTCAAATTCAAGATGATCAATAAAAGAGAGGGTCGAAGAAGGCTGACTTCTAAGCCTGTTTGGAAGATCAGCGATTTGAAAATGGTGATCCTCATCCTTCAGATGTATATAATAAACCAGCCGAGAAATCCGCCTAACGGCTGGTTTTTCTGGATGTTTTGGGAATAGACGGCTTTTGTCTCCGTAGAGCAGTAGATAGCGCGCCGGTCTATCGCCCATACAATTCGGGTTCGACCTCCCTGTGCGACTTGAATTGTGCTTTTTAAAAAAATCCAAAAGCACGTTGCACAACTACATGCAATTCTCTATCCAAGTGCGCAAAAATCATTGCACACGGTCCTCTGGGGGCTGAAGAGTAGCACGCACAGACGGACAGACGGACAGACGGACAGACGGACAGACAGCCAGACAGACAGACGTCTTAGTCCCTTTATATATATTGTGTTGGTGCATTGAAAACTGCGGGACTTTAAACTAAAATTTATTCAACATAAACAACCATAAATTTATTCGAAATAATTTCCATTATTATTGACGACTTCTGCCCATTTTACAGGCAATTTGCAGACTCCTCTTTCGTGGTAGGATTTTCGTTTGTGTGTGAGACAAGTGTGAGACTCAAAAATGGAGGACTGAAGCTATCCCAATTTCTTCAAAAGAAACCCATTTTGGTGTCAATAGAAAAGTTGTAGAGAATCAAAAATGAGGCTTATAGCCAATTTTTGACTGCTTCTTCCGAATCGAAGTGTTCTCCCGCAAGCTCACTACTCATGATCCGGAATAAATAGTAATCAAAAGGGACGAGGTCCGAACTGTATGGGGATGCGACAAAAGCTCCCAAACAAGGCTATTTATTTTAGAGCTAGTCAGTTTTGCAATATGAGGGCGCGCGTCGTCGTGGATGAGAACGATCTTTGACTTGGAGGGCCTATTCTTCTTCAGGGATTCATTCACCTTTCCCAACTTTATTTGATTGCATTAACGGTCGTCTTGCTATCCAGCAACTCTCAGTACACCACTCCCCCCATATCCCAGAAAACGCAGAGCATAAACTTCTTCTGATGCAAATCGGGCTTAGGGTCACTTTCGGGTTTCTCGCCTGGCCCCACCCATTGCCACTTCCTCTGAAAGTTCACAGATAAAACCCATTTCTCATCTCCTGTCACAATTCGAGGAAGAAAGGATTTCCTGAGAGATGAGCGGCACTGATGGAGGCGCGCTGCCACTTCTGGGGGTCAGTGAGACATAGGGCACCCATGGGTTGCATATTTTGTGTGTTGCGGTAATTCTTGGTCACCCTATAGTTTGCTTTTACCTGAGTGATGGTAGACTGCTGGCAATACTGCTGCGGGAAACAAGTCGATCTAGTTTCTAGATTTAAGAGATGTGAACTATTGCAATGGCAATCCAGGCAATCCACGCTTTAACATCGTCTATCAAGTCATCCAAATCGTTGTAGATCTTATTTGTTTGCCAATTTTTGAGCGATCGATTGACGTGGTAGTCCGTTGGGGCTTCTCCAGTTCTTTGAGATCGCGAAACGACTCTGCGGCAGACCATCCCTTTTCGAAGTGGTAGAGCATGATATGGCGAAGATGGATATGATTGTCGACACGCATTTTGTTCACTAAAGAATAACGAATATTTAAAAAAAAGAAATAGACAAAAAGCTTTCAAAACAAAAAAGATACAAGCACGCAAAAAGAAGTCCGGATAATTATGCATCAACCCAATAAAATTCGTTTCAATTTTCGGTTCTCAAACTTAAGATTTTACTTTTTGTGAATTGGATTTTTATCCTTAAAATTCTCCAAATTAGTCCTTCCAAATTGGCCGGGAGAAGAGAGAAATGCTCGATTATCGATAAAGAAAATAGTTGAAAAGAAATGGAAAAGAAATGGAAAAGAAATGGAAAGAAATTGGAATAGCCATTCGGCGAGGATGACCCTGAATTTAGCTGCAATAGGGAAAAAAAGGATAAAAAGAAAGGTTACTCAGTGATAGCCATTTGGGCGTTTTTTTTTCAGGAATTCGATGTGAAAAGCGCTTAAAGAGAACAGGGAAAACAGTTTTGCGGAAAAATTTCGAGAGAATAACGCCCCCGGACTCTCGGCAAAGGTATCTCCAATCCTCCGATATCCTCCGCGAGAAAAAAAAAAGGGATTCACTTAAAAAACATGCTGATAACCTTGACGTTGCAGGTATAAAGCCGAGAAAAACGGAGTTCAACGATAGCTACTACTGAGCGGGCATTTTTTATCGTTTCTCTTAATCCAAACTCTCCAAACTCTACCCCCTTTCCCAAATTTGTTGTTCTCATTTTCGGGAAGTGATTTTTTTTTGCCCGCTCTTAAATTTAAACTTGCTCATGACCTTGCCATTTTTAGGGCACTGATTGGGATATAAAGAGCTGAGGAGACTTGAACTATTGTCAAGATTCGTCAAGATTCAAGTTTTCAACATTTCAAGATTATCTCTTTCTGTTACGACTTACACTAGACTATTTTCCTTTCATTTAAAGTGTTTTCTAAAAGATGGAAAGCGCTACCGTAATCCCAATGTGTCTCTAAAGAGTTTTATAAAAGATTTGCTTAGAAAGATGTACTGTAATCGGAGTGTTGGAAAAGCTAGCGTAATTCGTCTTTTTTGGGGGCAAGAAACGATAATCTACTGTAATCTAGACTACTACTAGACTACTACTAGTCTACTACTAGTCTACTACTAGACTACTACTAGACTACTAGACTACTACTAGACTACTACTAGTCTACTACTAGTCTACTACTAGTCTACTACTAGACTACTACTAGACTACTAGGCTACTACTAGGCTACTACTAGGCTACTACTAGGCTACTACTAGACTACGGAATCTCAAGAATCTACTGTAATCCTTGTCTTTGAGGAAAGAAACGAATTACCATAATCTACCGTAATCCTCTTTTGTTCTTTTGTTCAAAATATTGAACAAAGCTTTAGAACATCGTTAGTTTAAGGTTACATTATTACTTATCAAGTCTACCTTTTCGAAAACAGTTTATCTTGGCATCTTGGCATCTTGGTATCTTGGAATCTTGGTATCTTGGAATCTTGGTATCTTGGAATCTTGGTATCTTGACATCTTGGCATCTTGGAATCTTGGTATCTTGGAATCTTGGTATCTTGGCATCTTGGCATCTTGACATCTTGGTATCTTGACATCTTGGTATCTTGGCATCTTGGTATCTTGGTATCTTGGTATCTTGGTATCTTGACATCTTAGCATCTTGGAATCTTGGCATCTTGGCATCATAATCTTGACATCTGTTGGTAAAAGCTGTAGTTACAGTTGAACTAAAACGGCTAGAATACGGTAGTTTCTTTTGTCTAAACACAGAAAAGAGGGGTTTTTTCTTTCTTTTATTCTTTCTTGAGAGAATGAATGAAATTCTACAATGAAATTTGCAGATGGAGGAGGAGAAACGCATCTCCGTGCAGGCTGACGGTCTTAAGAGGATAGCTTTCCTCGGTGAGTTTTCAAGTTTGACTTGATTGCTGGCTATAAGCTGAATATCTAAATCTATCAATAAAATAATGTTATATAGTCAACTATATAATAATATTATATAGTTGAACCATTTCAAATCCGATTTCAGGAGTGACCGTTTCCACGGTGGCCGTCGTTGTCTGCGTTTTGGGTGTTCCACTCATGTGAGTTAAAAAACTTAATTAGATTAAACTAGATTATCACAAAAACAAGTACGGTAGCTTTCCCTCGTTTTAGAAACAGAAATTATCTTTGTTCAGGTACTCGCACATTCAACGCCTTCACACCCAAATGCAACACGAGGTCGATTTCTGCCGTTCGCGATCTGGATCCGTTTTCAAGCAGCTCGCCAAGGCTAATGTGAGAGAAATTGAAAGAATTGGGTTTATTTTCGAAATCTAGGTCTTGATCCAAGTTGAGCACGGTATCCGCGAGAAGCGTTCCATCGCTCGTCGCCAAGCTGGTGGTGGATGCTGTGGCTGTGGAGTGTCCGCTGCGGTAGGGGATTCGAAAGCTTTTAAAGTTTAAAGCTCGCTACTTGAATCTTTAGATAACCCTAGTCCTTTGCAAGTTATAATCTGATTCATTCGGTTACTGTAGGCCAAATGAAAGGTGGATTACTGTAGCTAGTTCACGGGTTGCTGTGGATCTAATGAAAGGTTCAAGGGTTACTGTAGATCTAGCAAGGTTTAAGGATTACTGTAGATCCAGCAAGGTTCAAGGGCTACTGTAGATCTCGAAAGGCTCTAGGGTTACTGTAGAACCTGTAGAGCTTAATGGAAAGTATTTTAGGGTCCTGTAGCTCTTAGAATAATGCAAGTAATGTATTTTAAAGCCTACGATACTACTGTAATAGTTTATCCTAAGATAAAGAGTACTGTAGATGAATGTACAGCTTGCTTTTACGGCTAAAACATTACAATGACTTAGCCTACTGTAATTTCCCAAATAACGTTTTTTTAAAGCTAACACCTTTAGGGACCACCAGGACCCCCAGGACCCGACGGACCACCCGGACAAGATGGACACCAAGGACCACCTGGAAAGAACGGACCCGATGCCCCACCAGCACCACCACCAGTTCAACACCAAAACAAGTATCAAGAGATTCTTCGTCTATTTATGCAAACAATTTTAGCTGCGCCAACTCTTGTCAGCCAGGACCTGCTGGAAACGCGGGACGTGCTGGACCCAAGGGACCTAACGGAGCTCCCGGAGGAGCTGGACATCCTGGAAACTCTGGTAAGTGCTAACTCATAGTTCTCAAGAATTTGGATTCTCAAATAACGAGCTTTCAGGAGCCCCTGGAGCCCAAGGACCACCTGGACCCGCTGGACAGCCTGGACCAAACGGTCAAGCCGGACACCCTGGAGGCCCTGGAGCTCCCGGAAAGCTCACTCATGTAAGAAAAACTGTTGTAAAGCTGAAATTTTTGTGCTTTAAAGGCTCCTGGCCGACCAGGACCACCAGGACCAGCTGGACCTCCCGGACCACCTGGACCCAATGGACATGATGGACAACCTGGATCACCTGGAGGTAAGGCTGGAAATACAAATTAAACTTTAGTGCCTTTAGAACTCTTTGGAAATTGATTAATTTCTAGGTAAGGGACCTCGAGGACCTGCTGGAGATAATGGAGGACCTGGACAAAAGGGACAAGATGGACAGCCTGGCGCGCGCGGAGATGATGGACATGATGGTTAGTAGGGAAAAATATAGGGTGTCATTTTTCAGCAGGTATACTGTAGTTTAGCTGAGGTCATTTGTTTTGTCAGGGGTACTGTAGTTGATTGAATTTCGTTACTGGGGAGGGCTAAACTACAGTAAGTCGATCCAAGTTATAACACTGAATGGTGCAAAATTGAGATTGTACGTATTTTGTACTCTCGTTGTACCTAGCTATTCTCAAGAACTTTTCAATTAACTCAATTTTCAATTCATAAATCACAATTGTAGGGCAGACTGGAAGCTGCGACCATTGCCCTCCACCAAGAACCGCTCCTGGATATTAGAAAAAGCATTTTCTTTAAAAGAACTAATAAATCTCTATCTCGCCTTCATAAAAAAGCACCTCGCCAAACAAAAAAAACACATTTGCTTTTGATTACGATTTACGTGAAGTTTATTTTTTCCCAAACAAGCAACTTTATACTACAGATTAAATCGTAAAAACACACAAAAATATCACAAAACCGGACTTGAGTAAAAGCTTTTCAACGGTTTTTTTCACTCTGTCAACAATAAAATGCAAAGAGCAAAATGGATATCACAGAAAAGAGAAGAATAAAAAAAATAAGAAAACAGTTCCAGTCCCGTCAATTTTACACACCTAGGTTTGGTAAAAAAAAGATCGAACTGTTACAATGTTAGCCAATATAAAGTCATATACAAATGGGCTAATCGATGATGGGCTTAACTCAAACACAACAGAGTTAGATATTGACACTTTAAAGTTATAGGGCAATTCGAAATAGGTATGACTATCTTTCTAGACATCTTATCACATAAAATAGACAGTAATATTATTGCAAAGATACTTCGACTTTGGATTTAATTTTACAAGGAAAAGCTTTGAACTTAAACTTTAGGGTCGTCATCGTCGTTTTGCTTCATTAAAGGTCGACGATCACTGCTACCCGAATCGCTTGCGAGTGACACGTATCGTATCTTCATATCCTAAAGAAGAAAATGTTTAAAAACTGAAAACACTAACAAACTAGGTTAAAAATTTAAACACTTGCCTGACTTTTAACCCAAGTGTACAACGCCGAACCGATCAAGACGACAAAGTTGCTACCCCACCTGAAAAAAATAGTTCGTAAATCTTCGTCGAATAATCGGCCATATTTTTTCCCTATCGCAATTTTTTATGAGATTGAGAACCTACCATAAGAATGGCTTGACCTCTTGCCACCATCCTACAGCCATCACAGTCTGTGCCGCGGCCTTGGCCGTTCCGGAAATATTGTGGGTGAGGGGAGATGTCACCTAAGGAAAAAAGTTGAAGGAGATAAATGGCTAATCCTACCTGAATTTGCCAACCAGTCACATAGCCCATCATAAATCCGAAAATGCCTGAAATGACCATCAACGTCCAGAAAGTGCCCGAGAAAAGTTGGGGGAAGTAGGCAACCTGCCCAAACTCACCACTAAAGCTATTTTAAAAAGAAAAATTTTATAAAATGTTACCTGAAAAGCATGAGAGGTAGGAATAGAACAATGGCATTCAAGTTATTGTACATCGTTAGTCTCCAAATAGAATCACCGACAGCACCAAGTGATCTAAATAAAAAAGTGTCCTGCCTTTAAAAAAAGCCAAAAATATATTACAGCCATAAAGCGATTACAAACCTTGAAGTGTAAATGGCATTTAGAGCGACACAAAGCGAGGCTAGGACTCCATAAACAACACCAGAAACGGATAGAGACCCTAAAAAAGTAAAAATTATGTATACCATTATTTAAGGCACTAACCAGCAACATCCTCTTGATTTACTCCTAAAAAGAATCCACCGATGATCAACAAACAACATCCAATTGCTCGAGCCGATGTCTTTTGACCAAGAATCAAGTAGGAGCAAACCTCAAAAAGACATAATAAATTTAAACTTGCTCAATTTTACTTACAACATTGAAAATAGTTGTCAGTGAGCGACCGACGTAATAAAACGACACACCAACGTATTTAAGGCACAAGTTGTTGAATGCAATCATCCCGACGAAAACAATGGAAAGTGGCAAAACCTAAAAATAGACTTTAAAGTGTTGAATTGAACAACAAACCTCTCTCGATATTTTTTGATCCAAATACATGTTTGGAAATTGAATGGAGCTGTTAGGGAAAGCCTTGCTGATCTTCGAGAGTATGAAGCACAACGCGACAGTGACCACACATTGGAACCATGTGATAAATAGCGGAGCATCAAGCTAAATCCATAGTCATAAACAGTGATGAAGTCACTAATCTTTTGATCTCATTCTATGTTTAAAGTAAATGATAGGTAATCAAGTAATTTTACAAAATTTAAAAACTTACATGCTCCTGTTCACTGAGCAAATACTTGTTGAGGAAGACCAATCCAATTGAGAAGACCCTAAAATAAAAGGAAAATTTAAATATCATCGCAAAACTATTCTAGTATCGGGTAAAAAGAATCGTTAAAAGAATCAGCCTACCAATATGAAGCGACCGCCGCGAAAATCTTCGTGTACTGCCGTGAGCGACCCGTGTCCATGGTGGCTGAAAATTCTATAGATTAAAAGCTTCCAAGCAAGTGAAACAAAGGTTTTAATTGAATAAACCCAGGAAAACAAAGCAATGGGGAAGTTTATGTGATAGAGAATGTGTTTACTTCCGAGATCCTCCTTGGGCAATTCGCGTTCGAGACCCATTTTTGCCTTAAATTTTAGGGGACTATGCAAATACCGCACCGCTACTTACGCACACGTGGAAAAACGTCTTTTGCGCACAATAGGCCCCGTTCACTAACTTCAAGCGCTAAAAGTTGCACCAAATAGTCCACATTGTTTCGATTGGGCCCAAATTTTTTACAGCATGTTGCACTTGCCTATGTCCATCTACTGTAAAAATTTTGAGCTTGATAACTTCACTACAAAAAAAAAATTGGGAAGCCATCGTTTGTTTTGCGCGCAAATGACGTCTTTTTTTTGCGTCTTTTGCGCACAAAAAATTTAAGTCACTCTAAAATTTTTTTGTAGTGAAGCTATTAAGCTCAAAATTTTTACAGTATGTCCATAGGCGAGCGCAACATGCTGTAAAAATTTGGGTCCAATCGAAGCAATGTGGGCCATTTGGTGTAACTTTTAGCGCTTGAAGTTGACGCTAGTGGCTTGAAGTTGGCGCTACTTTTAGCGCTAGTGGACGGGGCCTATTGTGCGCAAAAGGCGTTTTTCCACGTGTGCGCAAGTAGCGGTGCGGTATTGTCATAGTCCCAATTTTAGTTTTGAGGGTTGAAAACTTATGGAAAACCACCGACAATAAACAAACAAGCTTTGATGATAAATAAGCTGTTATGCAAAGAAAAGATATTCAGTTGAAGCTTGAGATAGCTTTATTAAAAGGCCTAGTTAATAAAATTCAAACTGAAGCTTTATTACATTAGTTTTATGCCACATGGGTGCTTTCTCTTTCTCTTTTAAGTTTGCCACGCAAAATTAGAGTGCACCTTTTAGACTGTTGCAAGGGACACTGGCTGTTCTCTGATTCTCTACTTGTCTGTCCCCCTCCTTCATCGATCAATTCTCGAGCATCTGCTTGCTATTGGGCATTATCACCACATAAATTTCCCCTACCTATTTTTCTCGTTTTCCTTTGCTTTTATGTACGATTTACTTTTTAGCTTTTCGATTTTTAATGTTTCTTTTTTAGCGGACTCGAGTGATCATCGAAAGATGGCAGATAGCCGCGACGATAATAATGGATTTTCGGAACAGGTATCATTTTTATTATCAAATTTCAACGATAGTGGAACCTTTTTGATGACAGGTGGAACTTGTGTAAGCAACTTTGTTTACGAAGGGAGAACTATTTGTTTATTTGGAAATCAGTGTTTAGAGCGAAGTAGGAAAAGCAGATATATTTAGCGTGCATAATGAGATATCTAAAACTTTGAAAAAATAGGTTTTACGGATACCTTAGTAGGTAGTTAACTTTCAACTTTGTTTTCGGGTTTAGGTTATTTCTGGAGTTTTGAGCTTATCATAGGGTTTTCTTTGGTTGTTTGTTAAAAGACCGCCTAACTTAGATTGTTGTACTTGTACAAAATGAAACAATTTTCATTGACCTGGATTCTTTTAGAAAAGCGAAGGTCCCGAACGAAAGGACGGTGGGCGTGATAGTGGACGTGATAGTGGACGTGATCGTGATGATGTGTGCCGAGATTTCTTGAAGAACATCTGCAACCGAGGCCGAAATTGCAAATTTTACCACCCTCCCGACGCTGAAAAGCCATCAGAAACGCAAATTCACTTCTGCATTGATTATCAGGTTTGCAAGTTTTCTTTGTATTTTAAAATTGTGGCAGCGCAAAACTAAAGTTTAATGAAGCCTTTTTATTTAATAGATTTACATTTGATTTTGATCTACTTCTTGAATTGATGAAAAGGCGAAAAAATAAAAAGGCTTTATTGTGCGCAAACGCAGAAAAGATCGTTCAAGTGCTAAGCAACCGTTTAGAATCGCGGTTGTACGCGAAACCAATGTCGCTTCGTCCACGTCCCTAAAGAAGAAGCCGAGCGCTACAAAGCGACGCGCGAAGTGAATCTACCATTAGGTATTCGGTCGCATTAAACTTTGCTTAAAAACAAGGTCGTAATCGATGAAGCGTTTCGAATTTGAAGTTGAAGTTTCTTTTGCAATATGGCTAAAATGATAAGAATTTTGTCTAGTTAAGGCACTGCGGAGTGCTGAAAATCTTTTTGCACTGTATATCTTTAATTGTGATCTATTTTACATCTACAGCTCGCGCAATTGCCGCAGTGACGAACGGCGACACAATCAACGGAATCCCAGTGTGCAAGGAGTTTCAAACCGGAAAATGTGGTCGTGGCGCGGCGGTAGAAAGCTTATTGAGATTCAATTTAGTATTTTTTAGCGCTGTCGCTATTGGCATGTGAATCTCGAAGAAGAGCGCGAGCGAAGGCAGGGCATTCTTTTCATTGCACTTTAACATCTTTGTGACAAAAGTGGTGCTAAACTAGTTTTAAATTAAAGTTTAGGGCGAAACAGCTTTGAGTACAGTTCTAGTCTTAACCTAGCAGCAAATGGACCACATGCAGGCTTTTGTCATGAACGTGTTATCAAGTTTATTAGAAAAAAACAAGATTTTATTAGCTTTGGGCGAGCTTCTTTTTAGTTTTTAAGAGTAATAGTTAGACCTTAAAAAAGCAAAAAAAAAAAAACATTTTAGACTAATTAAAAAATCCTTTTTTAGGCGACGAGGTCTTCCAATGGGTGCTCCTCTCCATGGCGGCGGCGGTGGTGGTCGAATGGGCAACTACGGAGGCGGCGGCGGCTCTTATGGTCCACCAATGGGTGGTATGCGACGACCTGCTCCACCAATTGACGACTACTATGCTGAAACGAAACGTGCTCGTATGGATGATCAACGTGTCACCGAATTGGAACGCCGATGCGCCGAACAACAAAAGGAAATTGAGGGACTGAAGAGAGAGCTACAACGTGAACACGAGCGCTACGAGGATTTATATGCATTGTTTCGACAACAGACGGCTGGAGGAGGTGGTGGTGGTGGTGGTGTTTCGAGCGCTCCGAGTTATGGTCAACCCGGGCAAGCTAACTGGGGAACAACATGGCCCTAAAGAATCTTTCGCTTTCTGTAAATCTTTAACTACATTCCGTTGATTTCATTTGTAATTTGTATTTTGATTGTTATATTGTCAATTTTTATGTTTGTTGTATTATCATTACGCTGGTGATATTGTACTAGACTAAATCTTTGATAATTTATGGGTTGAGAATAAATTGTCATTGAAGAAAAGCTCAAAATTTTCGTTTACTGCGTAAAATATTTCAAATCAAAATGCAAGTACTATGGTGAAAGAGCTACAAGACGGAAAGTTTTGATCTTGATTTTCAAAATGCACTAAAAAAACTGGCGATTAGAACACTGGTGAAACACAACAAAAAACTGACGATGAACTCAATATTTTGGTCAAAGAGGATACAGTAACCAAACGAATTTTCATGTCTGTCACTGGGAACAACTTGAGAAATGAAAAGTTTAGCTCATGTTTTAAAACATATTCGATTCATGCATGTATTTTTGATCCCTAGGTAAGCATTTTTTGCTTTCAGGCTGATGCATCATGGACTACCCCCGTTCCCTAGACCGTCGGCTCAGCCACCACCGGAGGTTAATGTCGTGAAACCAGCACCGCACTACGACATAAAATTTGTGGAGCGGGATATGCACACATGTAAGTACTGATAGCTTATTTTTTTAATATCTTTTGTCCAGATGTTCGCATGCCTGCGCTACTAAAGTGGAGTGAAAAAGGCTTCGGAGAGTTGATTTGCGCCGCTAGTATTTACACCTGGAATTCGGTGAGCTACAGGCAAAGTTTAATTATGTCATCGTTTTATGCAGTGACTTTTTTAAGGGTTGCGTTTGATACTGATACGCTGCTGGATGACTCGCTTATCACTTCCGAATTTTCATCAAGCTACATACAGGGACAGCAGGTAGCTTTTCGCTTTCGTGGATAGTATATTAAAATAAATACCAATTTAGTTCTTTCTCGACCTTCTTCTGCAAGATGTCCACTTTATTGGAGAAAATCTGGGGCCTTTTGTTGACAACACCAGCTCGGTGAAAGTGCAGACTGTAAAAGCGAGACGCTTATCCAGGAAAGATGACAACTTCACATGTGAGTACATTGGCAAGTCTATGAGTTCTATTGTTTTCTTAGTTCCTTTATTGAAAGCGCAGCATTGCCAAATTTCCTCGTATATGGCACTCCGTGGCGATCGAAATGGAACCGTTTTTGAGGGATGGAACAAGAACATTGATGAGTTTTGTAGGTACTTTCGTTAAATAGTATACAGTAAATTTGTAAAAATATAAAATAACTATTTTATTTTCATTTTTTCTATTTTTAGGCCACGTTTTCCTGCCACTGCAAAAATGTTCCAGACAAGTGAGAGAAATTCGGATTCGAAACGGAGCCCCAGAATACCCCATAAAGAAATTACGTAAACTGTTCTTATCCTCAGTCCTTTAGCATTTTTAGACTGATCACATCTGTCCTTCTCAATTGTCAATGCTTCCTCTAACCGGAAAACGAGTACCAATGCCCAATTGGTTACATCGATTGTTCAAGGATATTCGAAAGCTCAAATACCTCTTGGTGGACTTTGAAGGTTTTCAAACTTCAATTCTTATTTAACGTTTGCCCCAATTTAGTGTACAAAGGTTGGCATCACGCATTTGGGACGGTCACTGGATTTGTAGACACTCAACAAGTACAATGATAACCTAGAAGATTTAGCGTATGCATTTAGATACCTACTCGTGAAATTATGGAAGTCACAATTGAAGATGTTCAATTTAATGTTAATTACGGAGTACAGAAAATTGAACAATCCATTCGACATTCAGAGGTTGGTCGTTTCCTTAGAAAAATATAAAAATATCAAAGTTCAGGAAGCACGGCAAAAACTCCTCGGAGCGCGCTGCCTAATGTATCTTCACCTTAATTTGCCAGGATGGGGTTTGCCACAGTGAGTTAAATTATTGATTTAGCTAAAAGGCATTGTTTAGTTACTCGGTTCGTTTATGGCAACCGGAAAACGAGGAGCTTCGCAAACTTTGGAAAGAATGTGACGGTCGGTCTTCGTTGAATGAATATCCATTAGGCCCAATTGAACCACCACTTTCGCAGTATTATTATGTTTGTTTTATGTGCCTCTTCTTTGATTTCAGAAATTTAGGATTTTATAAGTGGTGCTACCAAGTGTTCGTTGACAGCGGGAACAGTTGCAAATGAAAGGATCTACGAGGCAATTGATTTAGATTTGGAGGGCTTGGATCTTAATGAACCACAAGCAACAAAGTCTTTTTCGATAAATATGGACAATCAAAGCCTTTTGGCAACTTTATCACTTACTGGGTAACTTACTAAAGTTTCAATGTTATAAAATTTATTTTTTAGTTTTTCGCTTCATCAAAACGATGACAAGGGAGTTCTACATCCAATTATCAGGAACAAGGATTGTTTAGATGATGTGAGTATTTTCAGCACTTTTGGAATTCTCTATTTTCAGGTGCTTGAACAAACAGGACACCCCTATCCTACTGACAAAGCGTATCGTTGTGACAGGTTAGCTACTCGCTAGCTATGCTAATACTAAATCTCAGTTCAGGATTCCACCTACTGTTAAATTCACGTATGAGCCAAAATGGCGTGTTTGGATGGACTCTTCAGTGCATAACGATAAGCGACTGCGTCAGGTGTTTTGTCCGACTTTTCGTCAAAAATTTTCAAATTTAGATTATCTCGGCTGCAAAGCATCAATTGACTCGTGAACCAGAAGCCTTGTCATCTGGATTTAGATTGCGGTTTGGGTTTTTATCGATTTAAAGGTTGGAAATGTTCTAGAATTGACTGGAAATCATTCTTCCTCGATTTACGAGATCGACCAGGTCCATTGACTAAAAAGGACGTTCATGCGGCTGTTCACCGAATTGTCACCGAACGTTTCCAACTGCTGGAAGAGCAAGAGCATCCCATTGTTGAAGAGGAAACAAATAAAGTGCAACAAGTAAAATCCAACGTTTTCTCAATAGTTATAATACCTTTTAGGCACCTAAGTCTCCGAAAAAAGAAGATTTCGCACGGCGTCAACAGCGTATTCTTGAACGAATTCGAAATGCGCCGCCGATACCTGATGGAGTGCGTTTTTGAGCACATTTAAAAAAATTTTTGTTTAGTTTTGGCCTACTCTCAGGGGGCTTTCAAATCTGGAGAACTTAGGCGCCGAGCCGGTGAGAGAAGTTCCAAAACAAGAGCCGGTTTGCGAAAAGTTGATAGATATCGATTAGCCAAGTTATTTGATTTATCTTTGTACTGTTAATTCAAATTTTAAACCTTAATTTATAAGTTCCTTTTAAAATTTAAGAGATCTCATAGTGTACTGTGTGTTTGTATACTTTCGGGTTAATCATTTATTTTATTTCTGTGCCTTAAAATTGGTTGTATAATTACCTCAACATATATGATAAGGTGAACAAATTTATTTACAAAGGATTTTAATAAAATAAATAAAAAATCTTTTTTGTAGTAGAAGGCCGAGATCTTGACGAGTAATATGAAGAGGGATTTAAGAGAATTTCTGCCGTTTGGACCCGTTTTGTTTTGAGTTTGGAGATCGTTTGATTGGAGATTTTTGGTGTGAGGCCTGTAATTGGAGCGGTTCTCCGGCTAGATAAATTTCCGTACCTGAGCTGGGGGGCTTTGCTTGGCTTCTTGGACTTCGTGTTGCGCTGGATGGGGCTAAAAGAAAACGGATAATTTTTTAAAATCTTAATGGTCAATTAATCTAATTAGCATTAGCTATTAGCTATTAGCAAATGTTGCCGTTATCCTTCCCATTTTATCACCTTTTAGAATGGAATGGGATTTTGTTTAAAGTTCCTTTGCTTCTTCTCCCTTTGCACCTACCTCTTCTCCCTCTTGTTGTGGTGGTTGAAGGACGTAGTGCGCGATTTGATCGTTCAAATTAATCGGCAACAACTCTAATTCGCCTTCTTCTTCGCCTGAGTTCGTCTATGACTTTGCTTTTGCTTTTGTGACTTACCTGGTTGTGCCAAGTAATGTTGCCCGGTGGTTGGATCGACCATAATTTGATAGTTTGACGGTTGGAGGCTCGTTGGATCGGGCACGTTTTCCTGGGATTTGATCTTTGATTAGAATATTTTTAACCACTTCTCTACCGCGTAAACATAAGTGGCTTGTTGTTGATCGATGTACTCTTGTGTGTGCTCTTCAGCGTGTGCGCTCACCGATGGTGGCATCGTTGAGTTGTGGACGGTTGTAGGCTGGAAATTTCGTTGAAATTAGATTCTCCTAAATCTAGACGATGAACTTTTTGAGTTATTTTGGGAATCAGAAGTAAATAAGACTATCGGTTTATTGGTACACGATCGAAAGCTTGGTCGAAAGCGAAGATCGAAAGCGAAAGAGATCGAGAAACGACTCGAATAGCAGCTCTAAAGCGTTCTTCGACTATTGTAACCACATTCTATAGGTCTAATCTTTACATTTTAAAGTTATCGTAGTCCTTATTATCATGGGTAGCTGGGTTATGGTTACGTCGTTACGGTCTACGGTAACCATGCTTTATAATAGGTAGATGTTCGGAAAAAGTTCGTAAGACATCGAAAAGCCAAATCTCTTGGAAACTAGGAAAATCGTATGGCTAAATATACAGTAGAATGATTTTAGTTAAGTTATTTAATTGTCTCTACGTTCGATCCACTCGCTTGTTCAGAGATTCTTCCCGAGTTCGGTCTTGCCGTGCCGTGTTTTCCCGTCTCGGCTCGATATCTAGAATTTTGCCTAATTGGGGTTTGAATTGGGACCGATTTATCGTCTGTGATTTTATCCAGCCTTGAGTGTCTCAACTAGTTTTGCTTTAAGTGAAATTTGTAGCAAAAATATAGCCGACTTTGCGCATAGTGAGCTGTTCGGTCGCTCACCGCTCCTTCCCCTTCACGGGTTCCAAAAGGGAACACCTATTCATCGGGGGGTGTGTGCCAGACGGCGAGCGATTACGCGCGCGCACAAAGAATACCTCGTCATTTACAAAGGGATTTCTCTTTTGCTTTGTAGGTGATACAAAAAGATATTTAGCTGTAAAAATTTGTACTCGCGGGTTTTCGGGATCGGCAAATCGATTGTAGTTATTAATTTCATTGATCTTAATCTTAATTGATCAAAATTTTTAGATTTAATGAGAACCGGGCCTAATTCGGATCGCTGCTGGTTAAAATATAGTATGCTTTTGCTCATTGTGCTTAAACTAGCGTACCTTTTTAAAAAGACCTCCATCGGTTCAACGTAGTCATCAAAGCCGAGCTTTTTCAAAGCATCGAGCAAATCGTCCGATGTGATCACTTTTCGTTTTTCCTAAGCATTTTATTTTCCTTTTCTTTTAATCCTTATCAAGAATTTCCTCACCTCCAAACATCGATCATTCGCCTCTGCGGTGATGAAAGAGATGAACTCAGAGACGCAATCCTGAAAAGAGTTACTAAAGATTTGTTAGTGGTTTTGGAAATCTCGATATTCCAGTTGACTATCGGCAAATAAGCATCGATTATTTTTGGCTGATCGGCCGCTGTTATGGCCGAATGGCTAAGAGCCCTGTGTCTTAACCGGAGGTTAGTCGGGGGTCAAGGGTTCGATCCCGTTGATTGCTTTTTCCAGGTTTTTCTTCCCTAAATTTGGGGCTTAAGGGTTGTGTTTGCGTAGTGTTTATACCACATTATTTCTGTGAATAAAAGTATTTTTAAAAAACCATACCTGCACGAGCTCCTTCGCCTCTTTGGCCATTTTCCCGCTGGCCGGGATTTGACCGCGCATCACTCGGGTGACGTTGGCTGAAAGTTTTTTCATGAAATTGTTGATTTTATATTGTAAAAACATGTCTAATGGTATCATTTATGAGATAAAAAACGCAAATTTCATTTGCTACTTTTCTTACCAATCGGTAAGAGTCGATCCTGTTCGTGTAGCATGGAATCTTTCGTTTTCCCATTTTGCTCTCCCGGCTCGGAATCTTTCGATAGCCGACTCGTGTCGATTTCCTGTAGCTCCGGCGGTGTGTCACTGTCATTGCTATCATTTTCGTCGTAATCGATTTCCTGGAATTTGATTGGGTTTTGATATTTCGCACATTTGATATTTCAAATTCTCACATCATCAGCGATATGTAGCTGGGCGGGGATTGAGAGTGAGCCGGCCATCTGAAATTGGATAGGAAATTGGTAAACTTGAAAGCTAAAGAAAAGTTTATATGCAAAAGTGTTATTCTAAGCATTACATCATCGTGCTCATCCAAGATGCTCATCGCATTGCGCAGTTGACAATAGGTTGGCGTTTCATTTGAGTCCATCAATTCACTAGAAGATTTCACTAGAAAAACAAAAATTAAATTTTCTTGCTTTCCTTAATAAAATTTGCATAATTTAAGGGTTTATTGTAGAAATTCGATAAAAAATAAATTTATGGGGGTAGGCTAATTTCCGCAATTTTTTTTTGCGCAACTGGGTCGTTTGCGCAACTCGCCATAACTTTCTTCTAAGTGGGCCAATCTTTATGATTTTTGTGTCACTTTATTGCACTTATTGAGATCTACAAAATGAATGACACCAAAATCATAAAGATTGGACCACTTAGAAGAAAGTTATGGCAAGTTGTGCAAAAAAAAATTGCGGAAATAGCCTACCCCAATTTTTGAATTCATTATTTTTAAAAAAGCATTAACTTTTTGCATAACGATAAGCAGCAAATTACCGTAATTCTTATTTAACTAGAGTTTAGTTGATAGCTTTTTAGCTTATCACTGAAAAAGATATTCAGTTGATAAGATTAAATATTATAGCTCAAAAAGTCCAAACGTTATTTAGGCTAATGGTTAATTTTATTTTAGCCTACTGTAGCTTATCGGAAAATTTGAAATTTGAATCTCAAAATTTACTATTCCTATCGTACTCTTTTCACTAGTTTAGAGCAACTAGCAGTGAAGCAGGTTACTGTGACTTTTCCATATTTTAACGTCCAAGCAAATACTATACAGAGACTCTGGTGAGCAGTTATTGACCGAATATTGAAAGAATAGTACTTGCTTTGCATAAAATTTAACTTTTATCATCTTTTTCTCGAAAAAATCACAATAATCTCAAATTGGATATCCGTATTGTTTACAAAAAAAAGGCACTAAGAAATGGGAAACCTAACAATTTGAATTTTTGACAAAAACAATAAAACTCTGAACAAATAACAATTGAATTTTCAAAGGAAACACGAATAACTGAAGTGAGAAATATCAATTGGGTGCCCTAATTTGGAATGTGGTACTTGCAATCGTCGGGGAAAGTACAGCCTTGTTGTTGGATGATTTCTGAGGCAGCATAGTTGGCACACGAGATGCAATCGGCCAGCGGCTTCTCGCGAACGAACTCGGCGAGGAATCCTAGAAATTTGAATAAAAAAAGATTTGCATACAAACTACTTCTCATATACCGTAATCTAGAGCTATGATACATAGCTTCCCAGTCCTAGCTTGATACGCTTTCTAAAGCGTGCCCACTTTTGACAAACTACCGTGAGCTTGTCTCTAGTTTTTGGCCAATTTATTTTTTCGAAATCTTACGGCAAATAAGAGACAAGATTACGGCACTTTTCGAAAGTTGACACGTTTTAGAAAACGGATTAATTGAGAGAAGTTTTCCATCAAGTATAGCGGGTTTAAGGCAAAAGTAAAATTACCGTATTATTCTTGGCTAATTATAAGAAGCTTGCTTATGAGTTTATCATGACAAAGATTTCCAATGAAAATCGGCATCTAGTTGTTAAGTGATCAACCTTTTTGTCAAATCTTTCTCACCTCCCACAAAAGCATCGCCGGCACCATTTGTGTCGATGAGTTTTTCCTTTGGCAAGATGATCACCGGGAACTCCTGGAATGAAATGAATATTGAGATCAACAACATTTTATGAATAGAAATCAATGCTTTGACTATACCTGAAGTTTCCCTTCTTGTGCAACGACGGTCGGCTCGGCTCCTTGGGTGATCACGACGACGCGGGGTCGCTTCGAGTTTTCCTAAATCAGCCTTTTGTAGCAGACGTCACGCGAAAAATAAAAAGAATCTAGTGGACCAGAAGGTTTGGGTTTTCCATTTTTGAGCACAAAGTACCTATTCCCCCCACCTTTGGCAATTGCGAGGCTTTTAAGGCGATCTCATGGATGTCTTCCGTGTCGAATCCACTAGCCTAAAGTTTTTTCGTGAAATCTAGTTAATTTTTGATTACTTTTGAGAAAGCTCGAGCCTCGTCCTCATTTCCGAAAAGGTAATCAACATAGGGTAGCACCTGAAAATTGAAAAGAAATTAGATTTAGCATGGCTATAAATTTTGGTACTGTATATTATACTGAATTGGACGAAGATAATAGAGTATTTAAGTTTAATGCAAATTTAGAACTAATTATCAACGGCCATTCGTATGATAAAACGGATTTTACCTTTGAGAGTGGCTCGTAGAAGAATTGGGAGATGAATGGAGCGGAGAGGTTCAACATGAAGATCTGAAATTAGATAAAAACATATATATCTGAAAGCTCAGAATAAAAATATATATATATATCTAATTAGTATCTTGAGATTATTGATAAATTCAATTTATTACCTTATTGTGCTCCTTCGCGTGCTTCGCGATTTCCATGATAGCTGGCGGGCAAACAGTCAAGAAGAAACCCTTAACTGGAAAGTCAATTCTCAAGGTACATTTGCGAATTCAAACCCCGACATAGAAATATTTAGCGGTTTCAACGAATTTCCAGTGTTGAGTATCCTCAAGGTGTTCCACGGTGAATGTCTCAGCGGCGGCCAAATGAGCACACAGGGATCTAAAGAAATTAGCTTTGAGCTCAAATCCACAAACACACCCATTCTGGTGCACTCAATTTCTCCCCTTTTCTAGCAATTTTATAAAACGGCCAACGAGTGCACCAGAAGGGATGCGTTTCTAATATTGAATCTTGATCTACCAAGTCTATGCTCCTGCATTTTGTGCTCAAATCCGGAAACGCACTCATTCTGGTGCACTCAATTCTCTCCTTTTATGCACTTACCGATTATTCCCGTTGATCAACGCGGCGCACGTTCCCGTCTTAACCTTGTTGTTCACCTAAAAACGATAAGTTTTTGAATATTAGAGTCCTTTTGTGAATTCTTGAACATTTGAATGTAATAGATGAAAATATTAGAGTCAATACTAGAGGTAAACATTTAGATAATCAAATCCAAGAAAATATTTTTAAGAATTTACCTGATATTGCACATTGACACCAGCTTCAGCGGCCTTTTTCCTCAACATTTCTCCATATTTGTCGCTGCCAACCGCGCCGAAGTACGTCATTTTGTTGGGCTCGTTCAGGATCCACTGGAAATAGAGTAAAGATTAGTTTGAAAACAGGTGAGCTTGTGGGCTTTTAAAGTTCTACTAATCGTTGACAAAACATTAGAACTAACAAACTCATTTGTGCAACTCCGAAGAGTGGAGGAGTGGGTAAAAGACTCGCTATCAGAGATGTATTATGCTCAAAGTTATTCAGCTATTCAAAAACGGTTTAGAAAAAGTTAGCAAGTGTTTCAAGGCTACTACTACGGAAAACTTGATACTACACAACTCACTTGCGCAACTCGGACAGCATTCTGTGCGGCTCCCCCGGGAATGTACTCGACGTGATGTGTGGCCGTCAACTCGTCAAACCTGGAAACAACTGGTATAACGAGGAAAAACTATACTAATTCACCCAATGACTGCTTTGTTTTATATAGCACTGATTAATCCAAAACTTTCTCAAAACCCACATCGGCACGTGCTTCTCGTCACAGAGAATCGCATCATTCTCTTTGAGTCCCCATTTTTCAAGGAAAGCCTTGTCGACGTTGGTCTAAAATTGAGGGGAATTGGAGCATTTAGCAATAAAGTTTAAGTTTTTAGACATTTAAAAAATATACAACAATTAAAATCATCAAAACCGATTAAAACTCCTTTTTACCTGAATATCAAGCAGTGGATTGCCCATTCCCAACAACACTCCATCCGGGACCGACATCGCCTTTTTTGTTACCTGAGATTGAGGAAATTTGAATTTGAATTTAAAACGAATTGAAATGTAAATAGATCTTAAAGTCAAATAAAGGTCATTGGGGTCAGTAGACGGAAAAAAGTAAAAAAAAGAGCGGTGGCGCGTACGAGAGACACCAAATGACGATGCCCCGCGTCTAGCCACCTGGGGATTTTTATGATGGGAATTTCGGCAATGAAGAGCAGACATTGACGGGTATTGGCAGTGATTGTTATCATACAGAATTTAAAATGAAATTGGAAATCGATAATGAACTAATCGGAAAGCAATTATCGGGGAAATCCAGACTTGCTACGCTTATTTTTTGTGGTGTATTTTACGTGCAAAATTGCGAGCTAGCTCAAAATTTTTCTGGCTAAAGTTAGCTTTAGTATTTGTTTAAAAATCTTGTACCTATGCTGATAGGGCTAAATAATTGTTAAGCGGCGAAATGAAAATAGATCAAATTGAGTCACAACGCAGTTTTACTTTCCTAGTAAGTAATTAGTAACCATTTAACTTTACCTAATACCTTTTTCTAAAATAATTAGACACTCAACCTCAGAAAATCGCGCCGAATTTGATTTGGTATATTTTGTGCGTTTTATTTAAAAGAGAATTGGTTAAACTAAGTTTATGCGGCACGTACAAAAAGATTCGAAGAAAATAGAGTAGAAGGGAGCCAAGAGAAACGAAATAGAGCGACATTAAAAATTTAAACAGAAAACATGGGCAGAACAATATAAAGAGAAGGGAGCCGAGAGAAACGAAATAGAACCATTTTAAAAATTTAAACAAGAACCATGGGCAGAACAATATAACAAGAAGGGAATCTGGAGAGACAAGTAACCTTAAAACGCGCTACAAAAAGGAGAATAGATTTTAGAGAACGGGGAAGACTTGGCAACAAAAAATCGAACAACATTCACAACTCGACGAGGGAATCGAGGAAAAAAATGAAAAGAATGGCAAAAGGAGAATTTTGCGCGGGCTACGGTAGCGTATCCACTCTTTAGAAAGTGCGCCGTGCTAGTTTCTTAAAACCGTACAGGAATCTAACTCAAAATCAGTTTAAGCTAAAGTTAAAGAGAAAATTCCAATGAGACAATGAAAAAAGTTGTACACACTACAAATTTCCACGCATAACTTTTCCAAGGACATGTCGGGGGTGGCTTTGAAAAAGATTGATTGGAGGAGGAGACAAAATGGGGAGAAAAAGATCGTTCAATGACATGCGCCTGAATAAATAGGACACGCAAAACGATGTGGCTTGTAGACATTGTAAACTTTTTTTTGGGCGGAATCTCGAGACACAACAGAAAATGGGGAAGAAAAGTTGATTTTAGATCTTTCTTGAGAAGAGTTTTACGTGGAAACTTTTGATGATTGAAATGATGAAAGCAACAATCTTTGATCGGCAAAGAAATTGTGTTTTTTTTTTTTGGGTAAAGGCACATTAATTGGAAAGAAATTATCGGGGAAATCCAGACTTGCTACGCTTATTTTGTGCTGAAATTCAGGGCTATTTTTTGATACCTAAGCGCGCATTGTAGCATAAACCAGTGTCGAGAAAAACTCGTTCAATGGTAGACTACGCAACACTCCGCAACGTCATTATGGGGGTGAGGTACTATTACAGTATTTACGGTATGCTGATAGGGCTACATAATTTTTTTTAAACGGTGAAAAGAAATTTGAAAGCACATAGAATTTTGATTTTCAATTAAACACTTAAATAATAAAGAATTAAAGCAAGAATTTTCATTCATAGAAATACAAAAAATTGAAAGATTTTTGGATTTAATAGAAAAAAAAAGCATTTCCTAAAAAGGCATTTCTTGACGGTCAATTGTTATCAATGGGCTGACTTTGAGGCGAAAAAAAACACGAGATTTTCGGCGATAAGTCTGCGATTAGACATTTAAGCAGACACTCGAGAAATTGAAGGAAAGTTTTTGAGAAAAAAAAAAGGATTGGGTGTCTCACTTTTTTTAAAGTTTAGAATTCTCTGTGAAATTTACATTGAAAAACAAATTGTATTTAAAATGAGGCGGCACGTTAAGTGGTAGTGAAAAGTGTTTTTTTTTTTTTATAAACACATCCTCTCTCATTTATCACAAAAGGATCAGGATGAAAGATTGGGGTGAAATTTTGGCCAAACTTCAATTGTTATTCAATTGTTATTAGAAATCAACGAAACTTCAATTGTTATTAGAAAAAACAAACCTCTGCATCAATTTTGAACACAGTTTTTCGAATCGTATTCTCTTCGTGATCTTTCAAATGGACCTCGATTAACAGATCCATGGCTTGCTTGAGATCTAAAAGATAAATGATTATGTTTAGAAAAGATTTGAGATGAAGAAATGCGAAGTTAGACTATAAATTGAAATATTCGGAGTTGAAACGCGAGAGACTGACGAAACTTGGGAGAACGGCTTTGTTGGTACTTGTGGAGTATCCGGGGGGTCTTTCAATATCCGGGGTGGTAAAATTTTAAGATCCGGGGGGGGGGTAAAATTTTATATACGTTATATACGACCCCTTTTAAAGATATTCATCCGCTTAAGTGATTTGGTGGCAAATTCCCTTCAAATGTAAAGATATTCAATTTATTCGAGGTGATGACTTGATTACGAACCATTAAACTTTCAAAAACCAACCAAATGCGCAAAAATGTTTTTTTTTTTTTGTTGTTAATATGGCTTTGCCGCTGTTTGCGTGTGATAACTAAATTTTATAACTATACCAGCCACGAATAAACAAGATGCACGAGTAATGCAAGAACATAAACATAAACCAAACTTAATAATTAAATAAATTTGTGAAATACAACTACAACAGTGACTATTTGTAACAGTGACAATGAATACTACTTGTCAAAATCGTTTGAATTTACTTCTAGGCCAGGACGCAAATATAAACACATAAAACTACCACAAAAAATGGTTTTGAAGAAAAAAAAAGTGACCCGCCAACTAGGATAGTATCAACATTTCTAATAATGACATAAAAAAATTTTGTAGAAGTTACGTTTTTGATCGAGTATCACCTCGGATCACGTAATCAAGTAATCACCTCGAATAAATTGAATATCTTTACATTTGAAGGGAATTTGCCACCAAATCACTTAAGCGGATGAATATCTTTAAAAGGGGTCGTTCTTGCATTACTCGTGCATCTTGTTTATTCGTGGCTGGTATAGTTATAAAATTTAGTTATCACACGCAAACAGCGGCAAAGCCATATTAACAAAAAAAAAACATTTTTGCGCATTTGGTTGGTTTTTGAAAGTTTAATGGTTCGTAATCAAGTCATCACCTCGAATAAATTGAATATCTTTACATTTGAAGGGAATTTGCCACCAAATCACTTAAGCGGATGAATATCTTTAAAAGGGGTCGTATATAACGTATATAAAATTTTACCCCCCGGATCTTAAAATTTTACCACTCCGGATATTGAAAGACCCCCCGGATACTCCACAAGTACCAACAAATCCGTTCTCCCAAGTTTCGTCAGTCTCTCGCGTTTCAACTCCGAATATTTCAATTTATAGTCTAACTTCACATTTCTTCATCTCAAATCTTTTCTAAACATAATCATTTAACTTTTAGATCTCAAGCAAGCCATGGATTTGTTAATCGAGGTTTGAAATTCCGTTTGAAAGATCACGAAGAGAATACGATTCGAATCACTGGGTTCAAAATTGATGCAGAGGTTTGTTTTTAATTCATTTAATCTTTAAACGTCTTTATTTAGGCAAAAATGGAGAAGTTGAGGGAAAAAATCGGCTCTATTTTTCAATTCCGTCCCACGAATCTACAGTTTTTCTTCAATTCTTCAATGGCGTTGAACTTGGTTTTCTTGGTACTTTGAAGGATGCTAAAATAACAGATAGAAGCACGATTGTGGTGGTAAGTTGAATTTTTTGCATTTTGGCAATGTCTAGGCAATGGTTTCGACAAATTTTTATGGCTAGGATGTGTCAAAATTTATAACAAATCAAATTGGTGTCACTATTTTTGCGTTATTCGGCCATAGTTTTCGACATCACTCTGTTAGATCTTTTATGTAATTCGTGTCACTTTTAACTATATTTAAAGTAAAGTATTCTACTCGTTTTTCAGATATAAAATCTTTATTACAAAAATCACCCTCTGTAAAAGAAAAAGAAAAAGAAAAAGTTAACGTACAAAAAAAAAAAAAGAAAAATTTTTTTTCTGAAAAGTGCCTTTAGCGCAAGACTATTTGGGGATGAAGTAAAAAAAAAAAAAAGAAAAATTTGAATAAATTTGAATAAATTTGATTTGAATAGAAGAAAATTACAAAACTAAGAACTTTTTCTGAAAGAAATTGATAAAATAGCGAAAAAAAAAAACTGAGAGAATTCACTGGGTAGGCATTATTTTAAAGAAATTTTCCTAGAATTTATAAAAAAAAAATGCGAAAAAAATTTTGTTGAAACTCACTAAAAACCGGTAAATTTTGGGTAAAAACTTTTCATTTCTTTTGTTTTTTTTTTTTTTTGTCAATTTCGTTTTTGAAAGAATATTTCACTTTTTAGAAAACGATTAAAGTTTTTAAGCTTTCATTTTTCAGCCCACTAACCAGTCCCGGTGATTAGTGGGGTGAAAATCTTACTCTTTCTTCAATCTTCAATCTTCAATCTTACTCTTTCTTCAATCTTACTCTTTCCTCAATCTTACTCTTTCCTCAATCTTCAATCTTCTTCAAAAAATTGTTCAATCTTTCGATAGATTATGATAGAAAATGATTAGAAAGATTAGAATTTGAAGAAATAAAACGTTTTCGAAAACGCCGTTTTCTAAAAAAAAAAAAAAAAAAAAATCCCAATTTCCTTCAAAATCAGTTGCGATAATGAAAAAGGAAAAATTAGGATTTATTATTTGAAATATTGTTCTCATTGTTTCTCACCGGTTCTCATTAGCATTTAAACAAATCTCAATCTATTCAGCTATTCAGCAGAGTCCCGGCCGCTGAAAAATCATCTGAATAAAGGAAATTTGTATAAACTTTCAAAAAACTTTCAAAAAAACTCAAACACAAATCGTCCCGGAAATTGTGTTGGAGAATTTTTGCTAGTTTTTTTGATAGCTGCTCGACAAGAGTACTCATCATATTGATATTTTTTTAATTTCTCAAATCACAGCTTATTCAGCAGTGTCCCAGCCACTGAATAACCAAATGTGTCTCATAAAATCGATTATTATTATTTCATTTTATATGAATTGACAAGGAAATTTGACAAAAATTGTCCAAATTTGTCAAAAAAAAAAGTCACCGGTTTGTTTAGAATTTCAGGGATAAAGTACAAAAAAATTGGATAAAAACAAAAATGGCAAAATGAATACGGAGAATACAAATATATATTAACAGGTAAATTTTGGGAAAAGGGTTTTTTTTGTTTTTGAAAATGAATTGCATTTTGTGATTGATATTGTTTTTTGTTGGGGAGAAATTGGCTAGCTGAAGGATTTGATCGATCACCTCATCAAACCAAGCTGAAAACGATGATTTCGAAAAGTTTTCTTTAGGATTTTGTTTAAGAAACGATTTTGAAACGATTAGCATTACTTTGGACTTGTTGCATTGTACTGTAAGCACTGTAAGCTTGCTGTAAGCACTGTAAGCTTGCTGTAAGCACTGTAAGCACTGTAAGCTTGCTGTAAGCACTGTAACCTTACTGCAAGCACTGTAAGCTTACTGCAAGCATTGTAAGCTTACTGCAAGCACTGTAAGCTTACTGCAAGCACTGTAAGCTTACTGTAAACCCTAAGTACATCACAATAAGTACTGTGCATTTTCAATGCGTTTGTCAATAGGTATACGACGGAAATTCCCCACAACTCCTTTAAAATCGACTTTTTCAACCGTTTTTTAACTATTGAATAGCATTTTATAAGGTTTATTTAATGAAAAACTTGGAAAAAAGTCGATTTTAAAGAGCTCATGGCGTATTTCCGCTTTACACCTGACGAACAAACGACTCGAAAATGCAAAAGTCGACTTTTGTGAGCAAAAAGAGTCGACAATCAATTTCCTTACCCGAATATCATCACGAGAAGCAAGAGGCGACACATCACGAGCCCTTCTTGCAATGTCCGCACTCGAATATGAACTGTAAATTTGGATTTAGAAATGAAAAAAAAGGCTTGTCTAGGATATAGAAAAGAAAAAGAAGTTGGTTTTTTTGAAATTGAAATTTTGAGAAGTAAAGTAAGAAATAAGAGTTCAGCACTTACAAATAATAAATCAAAAACAAGAAGCGGATTTATTCCCTGAAATGTTTCAAAGTTGAATTGATACTTTGATCGAAAACTCACCGTTCAACATCTCCACCAACACGAAGAGTGGACGAGTCGCGATCTCGTCGCGGTCTTGTATAGGCGGAGAGATCGGGGATCGGCTCACGCACCGATCCACCACGACCCTGCACCGTTACCAGACATCTAAAGATTTTGTTGAATTTAGTCAGAAACACTTGTATATTTAGTTAGGTTTAATAGTTAGGCTTAATAATTAAGCTTAATAGTTAAGCCAAGAAAGACAAGAGGCAGGCTTGGCTTCTAACGAGCTCAGGAGCTTTTTGGCCGAACCAAGGGGGCCTATAAGCCAAGCAAGACCCCTAACTGGGCCTAAAAGCCAAGCAAGACCTCTAACTGGGCCTATAAGCCAAGCAAGGACCCTGCCCCGACAGAAAACTGATTCAAACCTTTGACCTTTGACTGTCTTGACTAGAAAACATGATCAAGCTTGCTAAGAAGCTTGGGACAAGCATAAAGCCGATATTAAAGCACTCACTCAGTCTGATCTTCTCCCAATTCATTTGTGGCAGCACAAGAATATGCGCCAGCATCTTCCATCCTCGCGTTAAAGATCTCCAACGAAGCAACACCGGATCGATACGTCAATTGGACTCGATCTGCGTCCACCGGTCGACCATCTTTAAACCATTCAACCTGGAAAATCGATTCGTTTAATAAATTTCGATTGACTTGATTGATCTTGGGTTTGGGCTTGGACTTGGGTCTGTATTTATAAAATCTCAATCATTTACAAATCAGTTTACCTTTGGAACTGGATTTCCAGACAAATTGCAAATGAGTTTGCATTGGTGATTTTTCTGGATGAGCCGGTGTCGCAAGTGGAACGAGAATTTCGGTGCCGCGCGCTTTTCCTTGAACTCTTCCACTTTGGGCAAATCGACCTGAAAAAAAGAAAAAAATGATTGAAACTTATGATAAGACAAGGGAAAAATGTCTCGAAAATTAATCTTTTGATTGGAAAATGAAAAGAGTTCAAACCTTTCGCATTGGTTCTAAAGGTTTCGACTCGAATTCAACGGATTGTTTGAGAACGGTGAGGTGGACGAGTTCTTCGCGAGCTCCATAAGAGTTTTGAGCGCGAACCTGAAGAGTTGAGAGTAGGAAAAGGAGGAGATTATTGATTTTTATTGAAGTAACCGGATCTAAGTAAGGGATAAGGCGATAACGAAAACGTTTCAGTGTAGCTTATTGGTAGAGCGTTCGACTAGTAAGCAAAAGGGTTTGAATGCCGGGGCGCCGACCATGTTTCTCAACCCATAAACGAATCGGCGTTATTCAACGTTTAGACTCGAATCTAATTCCCCTACCGTGTACTCTCCTTTGTCATCCATTTTGACTCGATTGATGAGCAGTGTGTAGTCAGATCCCTCATATTTCTTCATATATTTGACGGATTGTCTCAACTCTTTTGCTCCGTGATGCCACGAGACAATTGGAGGTGAAGCGGCGAGCACACGACAAAAGAATGACGCGGATTGACCCTAAAAATGAGAGATTTTATTTCAAAGATACAATTTTTAAAAGCTCTATTCTAATTATAAGACTATAAGACTATAAAACGAGTTTTCTACGAGTATGTATAGTGCTTAAAATTGATCGTAAAATGCTTTAATATTTTGGCTAATTAAGCAATCAGCAATCAGCAGTCAGCAAGTCTGATTTCAGTCCTAAATTTACCTCAGCACATGTGGTCGAGAATGGACGAATGATGAAGCGAGGAGTGGCCTCTTGTCGATCAAAGTAAGCGTCACGAATGGAGTGCTCGGTTGGGCGAAGTTTTCTCAGTGATGAGTAGTTTGCCATTCGACCCATTGGTGGAAGGGGTTCAGGCCAGGCATCCTACAAAGATTGCTTGTTTTATATAGCTTTTACACCTGGACTACTACTGTAAGTCTTACAGTCTACAGTTTGACACAGTTATGCTTACAAAGACATAAAACCATCTTTCTCCTTGCAAATCAAGGTACCGAATAGCTCAATGGTTAGAGGGAATTGCCTGTAAAAGCAAAAGGTCAAGGGTTCAATTCCCTCTCTACTTTTTCTTGCCAATTCTTTCATTTCTTTCTCACAGTCTACAGTCTACAGTTTACAATTGGTCTTATCATACTGTAGCTACAAAATGTCTAAACAAAGTCTGTGACTTACATATTTCCTCTTCACCGAATCCCGAATATTTCTATATCTGCTTGATGGGATTGTGTCATCGTAATTTGCTGTTTCTCCCGATGATAACCATGGATGATCCAAAGCATCGAAGATTGATAATCGCTCTCGAGGGTCCTAAATTGGTGATTATTTTTGTATATATTTCTGTCTATATTTCTGTCTATATTTCTGTCTATATTTCTGTCTATATTTCTGTATATATTTCTGTCTATATTTCTGTATATATTTCTGTATATATTTCTGTATATATTTCTGTATATATTTCTGTCTATATTTCTGTATATATTTCTGTATATATTTCTGTCTATATTTCTGTCTATATTTCTGTATATATTTCTGTATATATTTCTGTCTATATTTCTGTATATATTTCTGTATATATTTCTGTCTATATTTCTGTCTATATTTCTGTATATATTTCTGTCTATATTTCTGTATATATTTCTGTCTATATTTCTCAAATCCATCAAATCCTCACCTTAAGTAAAAGCTTCTTCACAAAATCTTTCGCGTTTTCAGAGATTCCTGAGAATGCTGGATCGTCAATACTCCAATCACAAGATCGAACATTTTTCAGCGTTTCCTCATCAGTTTCTCCACCAAATGGTGAAAGACCAGATAATCTAGAAAATTTTGGGTAACGATATATCCAAGAAAGACAGCAATGAGAAACGTGGTCATGTAGCTCATTTGTAGAGCGTTCGGCTAGTAAGCAAGAGGGTTCAAATCCCGGTGTTTCCGATCATGTTTTATATTCTCAGCTTTCAAGGTGTTCAACTTCTAGTTATTATAATCTAAATTCGTTGCCTTTTCTTGGCTAAAATCTTAGACTAAAAAGCCATTAAAAGCCATTAAAGAAAGAGATTATTAACAAGATTATTATACTTTTCATCCACTTACAAGATATACGAAAGCACTCCAACACTCCACATATCAGTGTAATATCCAACAGCTTCTCCATTCGCTACTTCAGGAGCCGCAAATTCCGCGGTTCCAGTGGTGACTTTCACGTGATTTCTTGGATCCAATGGAGTGGCTAAACCGAAATCAATCAATTTCAGTTTGTCACTCTTCTTCGATGTGAACATGATATTCTCGGGTTTCAAATCCAAATGCACATGATTGTTCTCATGCATGACACGAAGTGCCTCACAAACTTGACGCATATAGTTCGCAGCTTCTTTCTCGCTCATTCTGAAAGATTTCGAGATTCATATGATGATATCAACAAACCTTATTTTAATCAACAACTAATCCTTAGGCTATTTTTGATTAATCTAGTAAATAAGGATTTCAATTCAAATTGCTTAATTCAAATTCAAATTCAAATTGCTTTTGTTTTAAGTTCAAACTCACTTGTTCTGTTCATCAGCGACTTTCTCAAAGAGCTCTCCACCACTCATAAACTCATAAACCATCACCATCTCGTGATCATCCTCATAAGCATCATGGAGATGGATTAGCGATGGATTTCTGAAATGTTTACGAGATTAAATCTTGAATCTTGTATTCTTAGTTTTAGGTCTGATTTGATATCTGATTTCTTTTTTTATAGCTTTTTTTCCATAGCTTATTCTTCTCGACCTCAATGCATTCATCACTTGAATCTCTTTCTTGACGGTTTCTTTATCGGTTTGATGGGGAGTGTTGACAAATTTGGCAGCAAATGTGTTGCCCGTTGAGCGCTCAACACATCGATGAACCACTCCAAATGCTCCACTGAAAAGGGATTTTCTTTCATTTCTCAGAAATAGATATTCAAATCGGGAAACATGGAAAGTTTTTCCGAACTACTCTACCATTAGCCGTAACCATAGATATTACCACAACCGGCTACAGTAAAGGGCTATAAATCTACAGCTATACATTAGTTAAGTGTGCGATTACGGTAAGCAGGCACTCTTTAGAGTTCGGTAACGGTAACCAAAGACAGGCTAGATCTCCAAATCTCTAAAGACTCTAAAGTCTCCAAATGAAAACCATCTATAAAACTGACCTTCCGATCTCCTCACAGATATCGTATTTATCATAGATTGACGATGTCTTGATATCGACAGCTTCTGGATAATATTGCTTCCAAACATCAAAGACATAAACATCATAATTGGAAGCGGGCGTTCCCCGTCCCCGGATGATCTTTCCACTCTCATCCACATCGTAATTCCTTCTTCGACGACGGCCATCACCTAAATGATATCGTTTAGAAAGGAAAAAATTGGAATGTTATAAGAATGAAGCTTAGTTTTGCAATAGTAAATCTAATAGAGTTCTAGTTTAAAGGGGGTTAAAAGGTTACAGTTAAAATGGTTACCGATTTCCGTTAAACGTTTTGCTGAAATGAGATTTAAAATTTTTTGTCAATTTGAATCTATCCTATAAGTACGAACTATGAAAATAGATTTCAAAATCGTTTTCCAAATTTCAAACCAGGAATTGTGACAGCATTTGTTGGTTCACATGGATTCGAGATTCCGTGTTTATTCTCAGCTGTCACCCGGAATTCGTATTGGTGTTGAGCTTTGAGTCCCTCGATCGTGATGTAGGTGAATCTAGAAAAGGTTTTATTCGAATTTTGAATTGAATTTTATTTTACTTTACTTTACTTTACTTTACATGTCAATTGTTTAAGTTCATTTAGATTTAAATACCGTATTTTCTCTAATAGTAGTGCACCCTGAGCAGCGCCTAAATTGCTCGAAATCTCGAGAACCGCTTATCAGAACCTATTGATGTGGGATCGGAAAATGTAGCTGACGATGAGATCTAGTGGGGGATTAGAGTGTTGAGCGTCTGCAAATGCTTGAAAACCGTAAAATAGCCATCAACTCGGCTCGCCGGGGTGCTACTACTACTATTAGAGAAAATACGGTAGTAGTTTATCAGTTAGTTCATTAGATTTAAAGAAGTCAAAGTTACTCTCTAGGAAATAGTAGGATCGTTTTAGGATGATTGATCGAAAGATCGAAAGAAGATTGCATTGAGAATTTGTTTAAGATCAGTGTAATCAACTTTATTCACTAAATCCTAGTTTCATATTATTGAAAGTAAAGCTTTTTTCAAAAAAAAACAAACCTCGATTTAGCACATGGAGTCCATTGTCCTCCAGTTGTGTCTCTCTTCTCGACAGTGTACCCAGTGACAAGAGATCCGCCATCAAGCTGTAAATATAATATAGATATAGATTAATAAATTGATCAATAATAACTAGAAAAAAAAAGAATAAAGAAGGTATTTAAAGAATAAATAAACGAAAGCTTTAACAACAACCTGTGGTGGTTTCCATGAGAGAATCACTGCCTCATCGAGAACATTTTCAATCTAGAAACGGATTTTCAATCTAGAAACGGATTTTCAATTGAACTTCTTAACTAACTAAGTTCTTAACGAACAATTTAATTAATAAATAAGTAATTTAGTAATTTAGATAAATTACAGCTATCTTAGGTTACAGCTTTCTTGAGGCGTACTTTGTACTTGCAGTTGTTACAAGTTGCAAACGCATTTGTTCTAGCGCACTCACTAAAGTCACTCCTTTCAACAAGAGAAGATCAAGACTTTAGTGCAGCAGAAAGCTTGCGTTTTCAAGAAACCCAAAGTACAAATCAATGCCAAACCTGTGGTGCTCTCGGTGGATCGGGTCGATCAGCCACTGTGACTGTGACTGAAGCTGAATCACTTCCAACTCCATTCTCAACTGTCGCTCGATACGTTCCATAATCTTCTCTCGATGCTCCCGAAATTCTCAATGTCACCGTTTTCTCATCACTTGTGATCGAATATTTCCCTCCATTCTCAATCTTTTCCCCATCTTTTGTCCATCTTCCCTCACCAGCTGGGAAAGCTTTATATGGCAATTGAATCTCAATCGTTTCACCCTTTTGTGCCTCATATCCTCCATGATATTTCGGTGGTACGAAAACTCTTGGCTTTGTCTTGACTTTGAGTTGAGCTCTTGTTGTTCTCGTTCCTTTTGCATTAACTGCCCGACAAGAGTACTCATCAGCGTCATCAGCTTGCACATCGTTGACAATAAGTGTTTGAATAGTTCCCTTGTTCAATAAAGTGTACTTCGAAGTGGAAACAAGTTCTTTCATCCCTCGCAACCATTTAATCTCTGGTCTTGGATCTCCTTTAATCTCACACTCGAAAGTCACTGATCTACCTGTTTCTCCGTACACATCTGAGGCTTGTCTGATGATTTCTGGCGGTGATCCACCACCAGCAGCCAAAAATTTCAACTTTGGCACCTCAAGCGCTTCTGAGAAGCCAGCTTCATTGACAGCAAAGATTCTGAACTCGTAGTCACGACCATCGATCAAATTTGGTACATTGAATTGATTGGGAGCCGATGGAGTCTGATTACAGCGTACCCACGTCTCTGTACCAGCCTCTTTCTTTTCAATCACATAGCCACGAATTCGACCACCACCATCAGAGATCGGACGAAGCCACGATAAAGTAAGGAAATCGCTTCCAATTTGCGCAATCTCAGCATTCGTTGGTGGACCAGGTGGATCAAATGGCAGCTTTGTAATGACCGAGTTATCGGAGACGAGCGGCGCACCAACACCATTTTCGTTAAAAGCCGAAACTCTGAACTCGTACTCATGATTCTCGAAAAGTGCCTGCGCCATGTAGGACAATTCTCTGACTTGTGAGGCGACAGTGGTCCATTCTTCTCTCAAAATATCTCGCTTCTCAATCAAATATCCCTTAATTCTTGAGCCTCCATCATCAACTGGTGGTCTCCAAGAAAGTGTCACATAATCTTTGCCCACATGTTCGAAAGATAATGGTCCTTGTGGAGCAGTTGGTAAACCAGTGACATTCAACCAGAAACCAGTTGTCGCTTCTCCACTGTCATTGCTCACTGTATACTCGTATCTTCCAGTTTCCGTTGGTTGAAGTGAAGTAATTGTGATCAAGAAATGATCATCAAATTCAACCGTTCGAATTGTTGGATGCTCTCCACTCACTTCTTTCTTATTCAGCGTCAATAAATGATTGAATGGCGCCGAACCGGAGAAGTAGATCTTGAAGCGAACCATCTCATTTAGTGGAAGAATCGTGTTCGGTACATCTCGTTCAATCACCGGCGGTGCTTGAACAATAAGTCTAGCTGTGGCTGAGTCCGTTCCGAACACATTTGCCACCTCACATGTGTACTCTCCAGCGTCAATGTCCCAGACTTCTTTAATCGTGAACTTGTAGACTCCATCATGAGCTTCGAAGCGATACCTCGTGCTTTCCGGCAGCTCTCTCCCATTTCTCAGCCATCTAGCAGTAGGTTCAGGCCTGCCCACAGCTTCACAAACAAACACAGCTCGTCTGTTATACGGTTGAGTAGTATCTTCCGGTTTGACAACAATCTCCGGCTTCGATCCACCCATCTCTTGAATCTTGATTGGTGCAGTGGGTAAGCTGGGGAAACCGCGACCCGCCTTGTTCTCGGCAACAATTCGGAACTCATAATCGTGGAACTCTTTGAGGTTAGGCACAGTGAACTCTGGCTCAAGAATGGCATAATCGGAGACCTGATACCAGTTGGATGATCCATATTCTCTCATTTCTACATGATAGCCAGTGACTTTTGAGCCACCATCATCAATGGGAGCGCCCCAGGTGAGAGTGACGTGATTGCGGCCGATTGATTGAGCGGCTGGCTGGGTTGGTGGGCCGGGTGGAGCGATGCGTGACTTCAGCGTCAGTTTCGCCACCGGCGAGTGCTTCGAGAGTCCAGCTGCGTTCTTCGCCTGCACTCGGAACTCGTATCTAAAAGTTGAGTGTTTTGAATTGAATTTAAATTGGCTTCATTCTTCAATGTACAGTCGATAAAAGGATTTTGAACTTCTAAAAAGTGCTCTTGATTTCTGCGTAACCGTCTAGTCAATCGTTGGTCGTTCACAGCTACGCAAGAAATTTGGAACACGTTCTAGAAACGTTAAATCGAGAGTTTACTGTACGAGTAAAGACTATGAGTAAAAGAAAAAGCTGAGCTGAAAACTTACTCTCCACAATCCCTGAGGCCAGCGATTCGCACATTGTTCTCCTTGACAATATCTCTACCCACAGTCATCCACTTTCCAACATTCACATCACGATATTGCACCACATAACCCAAAATCTTCGATCCCCCATCGTGCGGGGTTTCCCAATTGAGATCGATCCAAGTTCGATCCATATCTCTCGCAGATGGTTGATCGGGAGCATCAGGTACATTGAATTGATATCGAGCAGTGATCGGTTCTCGGCACTCGAGTGGATCGGAGACACCGTATTGATTCTCAGCTCGTACCTAGAATTATTTTTTTTTATTTAATCGCTGATTGCTTGATTGCTTAATGCTTAATTGCTTTCTTAAAACTTAAAAAAAGCTCACCCGGAATTTATATTTCTCGTTCTCGTGCAAGCCGGTCACATAAAGATTCGTGTTTCGAACAAATGATGAGACTTTTTCCCATCGATCATTTCCTCTACCAACATGCATCTTTTCCAAAATATAATTAGTGATCGGTGATCCACCATCAGATTTTGGTTCTTTCCATGAGACAAGACAACCATCGGGTGAGATATCAGTCACCTCCAATGGTCCCTCAGGTGGTGCCGGTTTGTCAACAACTTTGAATTTGATTGTTGCTGAATCGGATCCCATTGAATTCTCCAATGTTATTGTGTATGATCCAGTGTCATCCAATTGAGACTTATTATAAGTCAATGTAGCTAAATAGTCATTGAAATCAATGATAGCACGTGGATCCTTTTTATCAATTGTTGCTCCATTCTTGCTCCAAGAGATTCTCGGTGCTGGCGTTGCAGCGAAGGGTACAAGAACCTTTCCAATCTCTCCAGCATAAACTGTAACATCTCTTGTCAACAAACCCATGTCAATCTTCGGCTTGCATGGAGCATTGTCTGCTAAAACTGGTACACTATTCTCTGAATAGTCTCCACTGCCAGCTTGATTGACAGCACAGACGCGAAACTCGTACTCTTTCTTAGCTGTCAAGCCGTAGACTTTGAAACGAGTTTCAGGAATTAGGCCATGTTGAACTCTTTCCCAATCTCCTCCCTTCTCTCTCTTCTCTAGATAATATCCTTGAATTGGTGAGCCTCCATCAGTGTACGGTCTTGTCCAAGTCACTACGATTGAATCCGGATTTGTTTCCATAGGTTCTGGACGTCCAGGCGCTCCAGGGGTATCAAATGGATCTTTTGCTCTAAAGGAATCATCACTAACAAGCGGCTCGCCGACTCCAAATTGATTCTCTGCCGAGACACGGAATTCATAGTCTTGATTCTTGATGAGATTTCTTGCTTTAAATTGGCATCCAATTGGTTGCCCAATTCTCTTCCATTCTCCATTCTTCGTCCTTGCTTCAACAACATAATTGGTGACCGGAGCGCCTCCATCTTCTTTCGGTGGTCGCCAATGAAGCGTCATTTCTTCACCACTAATTTCACTAGCAGTGATCGGTCCAGTTGGTTTCCCAGGCGCGTCCAAAACAGTGACATTCAACTTCGCTTCATCTTTACCAAATCGATTAGAGAGCACAATTTTATATGGTCCTCCATCAGTTCGCTTGGCGTTTGTGGTAGTGATGAGGATGTGATCGGGCATCACCTGAAATGCTTTATAATTAAGAGGAGTCAAAAATCTTTCCCCACCTCAGCAGTTGTTCTCGAGTCCTCGTAGATTGGCTGAGTTCCATTAAAAGCGTCGATTGTTGGTTTTGGATTTCCACCAGAGAATGGGATTTTGATTTCGATTGTTTCACCAGCTCGTACGACAATATCCCGCAAGCCAGAGAGATCGAAAACCGGGCGACCAGGTGCATCCTAGGTTCAGAAATCATTTCACAACTACACTGAAACTACCTGAATGGTGACTGGATCTGATGGTCTTGATGGTTCACCCTCACCAGCTGTATTTACAGCACGCACACGGAATTCGTATTGCTCTTTTTCCTTTAGTCCTTCAACATTCAGGCGACAGTCCTAAACCAATTTTGATATCATTTCAGCTCATTTTGTTAGCTTAAAACTTTTGAAATCGACTCTCACCTTGACTGGCTTCTCATTGCATCGAGACCAATTTGAGTCTCCAACTTTCCTCTTCTCAACAATGTATCCATCAATTGGCGCTCCTCCATCAAATGTTGGCCTCATCCAAGTGAGCTCAGCCGAGTTCTTTGTCGTTTTACCAACATGTGGAGCATCCGGAGCACCAGGTGGCACTAAAGCTCAAATTTTAATTCAATTTCCTTATTGACAATCACAATTACAATTACAAATGGATTCACAGTATGCTAGAGAAGGGGGATTATATAGTACTCACCAACGAACGGTTTACAAGTGACAGGTTCACTTCCATTACTTGGTGGACCCTCGCCAGCAGCGTTGACAGCGCGCACGCGGAATTGATAGGTTTCACCCTCAAAGAGGTTTCTGATCGTCGTCTCGGTGCCTCTGAAAAGAAATGTTTTAGAAAACAATAGCTAGCTGATTGTGAGCTATAAGCTACGAGAGTACATTTGCCTACAGTAAATCTAAGCATTCCCCCACCTGATTAACGGCATTCGAATCGGCGCCCAATCGCCTCCACCTTTCTTCTCAAATCTCTCGATCACGTAGCCCAAAATCGGTGAACCACCGTCTGAAAAAAATTGGATTATTGATTAGCAGTCTTGGCTATGATTCGAAAGATCAAGGGATCAATCTCAAGTTCACTCTAAAATCTCTTACCTTCTCTTGGTGGATTCCATTTGAGAGAAACCGAGTTGGTGTCATAGCTGAAATTTGGTGATAAGAAAAGAATAAAGTACAAATTACAGGTGTGTACAATTGAGACATTGTTTACTATTGTAATGAAAACTACCGTAATCAGCCAATCTATCCCCTTTTTTTTCTTTTCTTTGAGATGTACAAGGTCGAAAGAGTTACAAACTAAGTAGATTGAGTAAAAACTCGAGTCAAAATTACGGTAGAGGTATTTCGTTTTCCTCCTTAAAACTCACCCAGTGATATCGGGAGTACTTGGAGCGCCTGGTGGGTCAAAGTCATCCTTGATCACAATGGGGATGCCAGTCAAATCATCCGACAATCCAGCCATATTCTCGGCTCGAATGCGGAAGCGATACCGTGCCCCGTGCTCCAATCCCCTAACAGTGAATTGCGTGGCGGCAACAGTTTGCGGCACTTTCTCCCAGAACATCGATCCCTCTTGTTGGTATTCGATCTTGTAGCCAATGATCTCCGCACCACCATCATCTGAATATTCTCTATATTTTTGGCAAATTTTCGAGCGTTTGATAAGCTTTGACCAAACACCATAGTCTTACTGTAAATTTCGTTTAGCCCATTACTGTAATCCCACCGTATAACTCATCTAAATCATCCCATTACCATAACCCTTTCCATTACTGTCCATCTGTCCAGCCCTACTACTCGTAAAGTTTCAAAAGCCTACATCAATTCCTTATTTCAAACTATTTTCAAACCTTTCGGTGGATCCCATTTAAGTGTAGCCGATCGTCGGGAAATCTCCGGATAGGTGAGATTCTCGGGTGGCGATGGTCGATCAATCACCGTGATCTTGATATTCGCCTCCGCTTCGCCCAATTTGTTGACGGCTCGAATTTTCACCGGTCCAGCATCCGACTTTCTCGCCGTCAAAATATGCAGTTGTGTGATAGAGTCAGTGGTGTCAATGTTTGGCAACGGTTGGCCATCTCTTGTCCACGAGATCTCAGGTTTCGGTGATCCAGAGAACGGAATCTGGATGAGTAACGGATCTCCGGCTTTCACTCGGAACTCTTTTCCGTCGATTCCCAAGTCGAATCTCGGTGCTTCGAACATCGGTTTCGCTGTGGCAGGATCCGATGGATCTGATGGTTCTCCAGGTCCCGCTTTGTTCACCGCAACCACTCTGTACTCGTAAGTGTGATCTTTCTGCACTCGTTCATCTTTGAATGCTGTGCCCATCACTGGTTGCGTGTTCACCTTGATCCATCTGCCTGACTTCGCATCTTTTCTTTCTACATCATAGTGTGAGATCGGTGATCCGCCGTTGTCTCCTGAAATTTACATTTAATTAGCTATCAGTTAGTTTCGTTTTCTAAAAGGCACTAAAAAGTACCGTAATCAAACTTTTAGCTTTCATCTAATCAGTGCAATTTTTTTGAGAAATCATCGCTCAATTAATGATACAAAAATTCGGCTGATCGAATGTAAACTAGCGGTTTGATAACGGTAATTTTAAGTGTCTTTTAGAAAACTCCCTTATGCTTTTTATTCTTTAGTGTAGCAATTGCAAAATAGCTTTCAACTCACTTGGCGGATCCCACTGAATATCAATATGATCATTGTCAGTGTCGGTGATCTGTGGCTTGCTTGGTTTTCCAGGAGTGCCGAATGGATCTTTGGCAAGCACTGGGCGATCGGTTGTCAACGGATCGGAGGAGCCGAAAGCGTTTTGCGCGACGACACGGAATCTGAATATTTGTTGCTGAAATTTTAAGCAGTTCCGTGCAAAAAAAGAAGCCTATTTTTCGAAATTCAAATTCATTCAAAGTAAACTCACTCGTATTCGTGTCCGTCTTGTAGCTTGGGCACAGTGCAAGTAGTTCCAGCGACGAAATTCGACACCGGTGTCCAGGTGCCTGATTTGATGTCTCGCTTCTCGACCACATAGTTCGTGATTTCTGAGCCACCGTCGTCCTCTGAAATTCGAGAAATTCACATAATCCGATCAAAATTTGATCATAATTTTATAAAAAAATACAGACTTGGCGGATTCCATGCAAGAGTACAGCTGTCCTTCGTTACATCGGACACTTCGAGAGGTCCTTCTGGAGGTGATGGTCGATCTTGGACGACAACTTCGAAATCTCCCTCATCTTCCCCAATATCATTCTTCAATTTCAACTTGTAGGTGCCACTTTGTTCTCGTTTTGCTGATGGGAAGAAGATTGAGGCTTTGCCGGTCTTCTTGTCGACCATCAACTCGGCAGGGACCTGGAAAGGGTACTATAACGTCTATAAAGGCACTGTACTGTAATTGGTAAAGCTAAGTCCCAAGATCCAATGTCTCTTAGAGTTTTGGCTAGCGTTTCAAAGAAACAAAGATTCGATCCCGGCTAGTAAAATCGGATTTATAGTCTTCTGTAGCTAGAGTAGTACTTCTAAAGTGGCTACCTCCTTTCCATCCTTCGTCCAAACAGCAGTTGGCTCAGGCGATCCGATAAAGTCAATTTCCATGGTGTGAGTGTGTCCGGCTTTGATTTTAATCTTTCGATCTCGAGTCATTATCTGCGGCTTTACATAGCGAGCCTTAGTGATCTGGGAATCGGATGGATCCGACGGTCTCGACTCTCCGGCTTCATTGATCGCTTTCACACGGAGTCTGGAAATTTATCAAATGATGGACTGTTTACCGTAATCGAATTCGAGAAATTGTTGAACTTACTCATATTCCACGCCTGGCTTCAGATTTGTGGCTGAGAACGCGGTGCCTGTTGGTCGACCTGCTTCCACCCACATTGCTGAGCCTTTCTCTTTCTTCTCGACGATGTATCTGAAATAGAGATTTGTGATTTCTAGACAACTTATAGCCTAGACGATAGTTCCAATCGATTCCGTTCCTGCCAATCCCAACTGACCCCTTGATCGGCGATCCTCCATTGTTGGCCGGTGGATTCCACTTGATATCGATACGATCTTTATCCCAATCGGTCACTTCCGGTTTCTCAGGTGCATCGGGGACATCAAAGCGATTTCGCGCGATGATCGGCTCGTCGGCTTCAAGCGGTTTACTCTCGCCTTGTAAATTGACAGCTTTCACGCGGAAGAGGTACTCTTTGCCCGGTTGCAGTTTGGTCACCTTGGCCTCACAGTCGGGGAATTGGCCAACCTAGAATTTATGATTCAAATAAAGGTGGAGAATTTCGTGAAAAATAGGCAACAAAATACGGTAGAAATAGGCACAAAAACGGCAATTACTAGTTTTCTATTTGACACTAACTTCAAAAGTTAGCCGACTCACCTCTTGCCAAGTGCCTCTTGTCGTGTCCATCTTCTCAACAACATAATGCAAGATATCCGATCCTCCATCTAAAATTTTAGATCTAGATTCAATTTTGTCAACAATTCCCAACCATCCTCTGGTGGTTTCCATTGCAAAGTGCATCCCTCTTTGTGAATGTCTCCAATTTTCATTGGTCCTTTCGGCGCTTCGGGTACATCCAAAACGGTGACATTGCATTTAGCGGTATCCTTGCCGAATTCATTCTCAACTGTGATGAAATATTGACCAGAGTCACCTCTTCGACAAGCTGGGATCACGAGCGATGAGGTGCTTGGGGTGGATTTCACCTGGAAAGAGGGGATTTCGAAGTGTTGAGCTTTGGGATTGCAGTAAGCAAAGATAATTATAACATAAAAGCTTTAAACATTTAAAGTGTAGGGATGAGATTTTAAGCTTTCACTCACCTCAGCTCGATCATCGCCAGCTGCCGGCTTATCGCCGATTTTCCAGGTGGCTGTTGGAGCGGGTGCTCCCTCAAACGAGACGTCGATTTTGATCGGTGTCCCGGCTTTCACTCTCAAATCCGTCAATCCATCGAGATTGATCTTTGGCGCTTGTCGTCTTGCTTTCGCCACCACTGGCCCTGTGGCTTGAGATGGCTTGCTAGGGCCAGCTTTGTTCACAGCTTTCACCCGGAATTGGTACGTTTCCCCGGGAGTCAGATTTGGAGCAGTAGCCTAGAAATTTGCTGGTAATATTGCTAGTCAAAAAAAAAATCTGACCTTTGTCTGATCACCGGGCACCACAGCGCACTCGACCCAATCTCCGTATTTGTCTTTCTTTTCGACGATGTATTTCTCAATCGGTGCTCCACCGTCATTTGCCGGGGCCTGAAAAGGAAATTGTAATATGGAAATTTCTTGTTTTTGTCTAGTTTAGGAATCCGTCGACAAAATTTAGAATTAAAGCTAGGTCAAGGTGGGTCAGAGGCCAGCTTTTTTTAGCCCAAAACCAAGTAATTCAAAACCTGGAACATTCCCTGTTTATAAAGCAAAGTATCACTGAAGTTAGGTAGCTCAATTTAAAATGTGATTGGCCTGTAGATGGACCACCTTGACCTAGGTTTAATTCAAAATTTTGTCGACAGATTCGTAAGCTGTCATGGCCGACTGGCTAAGAGCCCTTTTTCTTAGTCGGGAGGTCAAGGGTTCAATCCCATCGACTCTTTTTCTCTCTACATTGGTTCTTTTTTTTTCTTTTTTTAGGGTTTGTGTTTGTATCAGATTATTCGTGTGTATAAATATATTTAAAAAGCCTTCCAAGCAATTCCTCACCTTCCAAGCGAGATCCACATGATCTTTATCCCAATCAACTGGTGTGACATCCGTTGGTGGATCGGGTTCATCGAAGGGATTCTTGGCGACAATTGAATCGCGTGACTCAAGATTTCCCGATTGGCCTTGTCTGTTCACAGCTCGAACCCGGAATTTGTATCTAGATTTTAGGCTAAACTAAAGAGAATCAAAAAAAAAAATTTCTTACTCATGTCCCTCGTTGAGTTTGCCGACTTTAAGTTGTGTGCCGTCTGTTTCACCGCACTGAAATGCTTTTGGTTTTTGGGGCTTAAATATCGTGCGTATGCTATGAGATTAGATCTAAAAATTACAGTATATTTTCACTCACCGGTACCCATCTTCCACCATCTTCTTGTTTCTCAACAATATAGCCAGTAATCGGTGATCCACCATCATCCTAAAGAGATATTCAGTTGTTTTTTTGTCATGATTCTAGTTTTTTGAATAGCTTTCATTCTCGAAAACCAAGACAAACCTCGGGTTCTTTCCACGAGATCACCGCACTATCCTTGGTGATGTCATCGGCTCGGAGTGGTCCCTTTGGATCACTAGGGACATCAAGCACGTTCACATCAACCTGAACAAATAGAATTTGTTTTCAATAAAGCTGTCAAGAAATTCTATCCCTAACCTCGTGCTCATCCTTTCCACTGTCATTTGTGGCGACAATCTTGTACTTGCCAGCGTCGACTCTTTGCGCGTCTCTTGTCGTCAACTTGGTGTTATGATCAGCTGTATTGTCAATCTAAAAAAAGGGGCAATATTTTTGAACTTAAAACTTTTTTACCTTAACCCTCTCATCGGATCTAAGCGGTACTCCATTGTAGAACCACTCGATGACTGGATGGGGTTCTCCCTCGACGTTTACATCAAATTTGATCGGTTGTCCAGCACGAACTTTCAAATCCTCGAACATTTTCCGATCGATCTTTGGTGGAACTGAAAGATTAGCTTTAGTTTGAATCTATTAGATCAACAGTAATCTACAGAAATCTACAATTTGTAACCCTTATAAACTAAGAAATCCTAACCATGTCTAGCCTTTGCCAACAAATGTCTCGATGGATCGGATGGAGCCGATTGTCCGGCTTTGTTAATGGCTTTCACTCGGAATCTGAAAGGTTTGATTCAAATTAAAAGATCATCGGCAAATAGCTTACTGATATTGATGTCCTTCTTTCAATCCTTTCACCGAGGCTGTTGTCTGATCTGCGGGCACAACGGCCGCTTCCACCCAATTTCCATTCCCATCACGCATTTCAACGAGATATTGTTCAACAGGAGCGCCTCCATCGTCGCTAGGTGGAGCCCACTAGAAGTTTGATTCATTTTAGTTCTAAACCTTAAACTTAACAAATTCGCGAGAATTTGTTCAAGGAATTCAACCCTTTACCAACAACTGAATTAGTATGTTCAAAGTTGAACCTTGAGATCAGCTCGATCCTTGTCCCAATCGGTAATCTCAGGGATTCCTGGTTTTCCAGCCGTATCGAATGGATCCTTGGCAACGATCGATGTGTCAGCCTCCAGTGGATCAGAGTCACCATATCTAAAGAAAAAAAAATCGTAGAAGAATTTTTCATTCTTGATTCACCTATTCACAGCTTTCACTCGGAATTTGTACTCGTGTCCGGGCGTGAGATCGTTGACTTTCATGTGAGTGTCTTGACTTTCTCCGCATGGAACCCAGCGACCAGTTGCCTGATCTTGTTTCTCCACTACATAGTGAGAGATTTCAGCTCCGCCATCATCCTCTGAACACAGGAGTTGTTAGTTTTAAGCTTCGATCAGAAGTCTAAGATCAGAAATTTTTAAACTATCTTCTGGTTTTGACTTAAAAGGGGTCAGGGAAAATTACAAGCTCTTTCTCTCTACAAATTTTGATCTAAATGGAGAAACTGGATATTATAATACAACAGTACTATGTACTAGTACTAATCTTTACATTACTATGTATATAGTAGTGATTAGATACTTGTTACTTTGTACTTTACTATTAGTAACAAACAAATTTCAAAATCCCAATCTTGCCAAAGTACTTAAGAAAAGAATGAACGAATAAAGTAGTTTAGTTTCGTTTTTGTAAATTTAATAAAACCTGGTGGTTTCCAATCAAGATCACAGGTGTTTTTCGTCACATTTGAGACGTTCAACGGACCGCGTGGTTTCGTTGGATGATCAAGAACGATCACTTTCACCTAGAAATCAGAAATGATTTTGTTAAATGACCTAAAACGAACCTCAGCCGTATCCACTCCACTCTCATTCTTCGCTGTGATCAGATACGTGCCCGCGTCTTCTCTCTTCGATTTTCTGATGCTGAACTTGGTCTTATAGTCCTCGGCTTGCACCCGGATACGATCATCTGATTCCACTGGTTCGCCAGCAAAAGTCCAGGTGATCTAAAGGGGAATTTGAAGGGTGGTAATGTCAGGGAATTGTTTTACCTGTGGTGGTGGTTCTCCGCTCACTGGAATCACTAATCCACAGTCTTGACCGGCTCGCACGCGCAACTCTTGAATCGAATTTCGATCGATCACCGGCGCCACTAAATTTTGAACTAAATTTTGAAGGCTGGAGTAAGAATCTTATTCTTAGAAATGTAGAAAACTTGGTAGATGGATAGAATGAAATGAACTCACAATGTCTCGGCTTGCATGTGACAGAATTCGTTGGATCGGAGGGGTCTCCAGTTCCAGCTTTGTTCTTGGCTCGAATTCGGAAAGTGTACTTCTCTCCCTCTTTCAATCCATTCACCGATGCTTCCGTTTGACCGGCGGGCACCGTTTTGATTTCTTTCCAATTTGGTGAGAATTCGTCTTTCACCTCGATCACATAGTTCTCCAATGGTGCGCCTCCATCATCTTTTGGTGGGGTCCACTGAAAGAAAATTGTTGCTTAAAGTGTGTTGAAGTCTAAAGCGCTCTCTAGCACTTGATCTTCTTTTGTGAAATTTTGTAAATACACAGTTTCTAGTGGACTTAATTCTCCTCACTTGAAAGGAAATTGCGAATCAGTCTGCTAGAAAGAATGTTTTAAAGTACAAAGTACAAAGTACAAAACAAGTTTTCTAGTGTGACCCACCTTAAGATCAACATGATCCTTATCCCAATCAGTGACTTCAGGTTGTCCGGGTTTACCCGGTTTATCGTAGGGATTCTTAGCGACAATTGGAGAAAATGTCTCTAATGGAGCCGATTCTCCTTCAGAGTTTACTGCAGAAACGCGGAATTTGTATTCATGACCTTCAAGAAGTCCATCCACATTGGCGGTTGTTTGCCCGGCGGGTACCTGAATGGTTTGAATTTGAAAATTGCTAAAACGCTAGTGAATAAGTTCCATTAGATTAGGTTATAGTTTTTGGAAGATATTCGACTTTATCGAGTAACAAGTCCAAATTCAAATAAGGTCAGCTTTATGGTTAAGTTATTTACCTTCAACGCCGGTACCCATCTGCCAGTGGCTGTGTCGAATTTCTCGATGAGATAATTCTCCAATGGAACTCCTCCATCTAAAACTTAGAACTTAAAAAGTTTACTCAAGAATTCCCACCATCCTCTGGTGGTTTCCAATCAAGAGTCACTTGATTCGCTTGAACATTTGAGACCTCAAGTGGGCCTTGTGGCGGGGATGGTTTGTCGATGACGGTCACCTAGAGAAATAGAGATTAAAATAGTACAAAAAGTTTTTATATTTTAAAAATATCTAGAGTTATTGAAAATCTAGATATTTAAGTAGTAAAAGTCAAATATTACTAGTTTAAAATAACCAACTGGTTTAATTATACGATTAAAGCTTAGCTTTTAATTTAAGCATACAATAGCTTGCCTTAGATTCAAATATACAATAGTTTAGCTGTTAATTTAAGCCTACGATAGCTTTCTTTAGATATACGATACTTTGTTTAAGCTATATGATTACATATCAATTTCAATTTTCAAGGATTTTTTAAACCACAATTTCAATCTTCTCCTTACATTGCACGTAGCCGAATCGGTTCCATTCTCATTTTGTGCCTTCAACGTGTACTTTCCAGTGTCTCCGCGTTCAGTTTGACGCATCTGAATTCAAAGGTTTACTTTCAAAAAAATGCTCAATTACTTGGAATTTGGTGACATTCGGTGGATTTTCCAATTTGATTCTGCCTCCATTTTTCAATTCTTTTCCTCCAGGGCCAGACCAGGTGAGTGTTGGGGTTGGTTCTCCGTCAACGGGTACATCGAAAGCCAAAATTTGGCCAGCACGAATGGTGATGTCTTTCAAAGCGCCAAGGTCGATCTTTGGAGCCACTAAATGAAAAAAAAATAGTTAAGAATCAGATAAAGATGTTGATATCGTAATTCTAATAGAAGTTTGTGTCAACTTCACTTCAAGATTCTATTTTCTAACCTAGCTACAGAGCTTTGGGTGTTTTCAAAGCCGTACTAACAAGGCCAGGGCAGGTCCAGGAATAACTCTAATATTTACTGTAGCAACGAAAGTTTTAGTTTTCACGTTAAAACTCACGATTTCTTGGTTTCGCTATAACGGGTTTTGATGGATCTGATGGATCAGAAGGTCCTCCTTTATTCACAGCAACAATACGGAATTCGTATTCTTCGTTTGGTGTCAAATCAGGCACAGTGGCTGTCGTTTGACCACCAGGGACACTGATTGCTGGTTCCCATCTGGAATTGCTTTCCTATCAAAGTTGTTCTCTACCACTATACTACGTACTAGATTCGTTTTTAAATTTGCAGTCAAGTTGGTTCTTTAAAGTCTTTTCAACTTTTCAACAACCACTTACCGTCCATATTTTGTTCTCTTCTCGATTTGGTACTCTTCAATAGGCGCGCCTCCATCGTCTAAAAGTTGAAATGCTCAAGAATAGGTTCTCAAAATCCTTACTCAATGGTGGATCCCATTTCAAATCAACATGATCAAAGTCCCAATCGGTTGGCTCAGGTTTCCCGGGTTTATCCGGTCTCTCGTAGGGATTTTTTGCAAGAATCTCCGCCTCGTTTTCCAATGGTTCTGAGGCTCCCTCGCCGTTCACTGCCTGAATTTCGGCTTTTATCAAACACATTGATCACTTTAGGTACTACTTTAATACTCTAATTATCGTAAACATTCTAATAGAATAGTCGGCTCCGAGGGGTACATTAACTCTTAGTATCTAGTAGTTGAAAAGTGAAAGCCAAAAGTTTTCACAAACCTTGACACGGAATTTGTAGTGATCCCCTTTGTTGAGGGTGTCCACTTGGAATTTTGTGTCAGCTGTGCGACCACATGGGACCCACAATCCGTCTTTTGTGTTCATCTTCTCGATTTCGTAGAATTGAATCGGCTCTCCGCCGTCATCCTCTACAAAATTCGATTTGATTTTAACAAATAGGTAATCAGAATTTCTTCTTTATGCTTACCAGAGTTTAGCTTATAAACAAACTACAGCACTACTAATAGGTAGGCCTACAATAGGACGTGTCTACTGCTAGACTGCTACAGTCTACTTCCAATAGAACTGCTACAGTCTACTTGCAATGCTCAAAAGCACTCTTTCTGATGCACTGAATGTTTGAGTTTCTTGCAGAAATGAGTCAGAATCGCAAGAAAAGTGAAGAACAAAGTGCACCAGAAGGGCTGTGTTTACATTTATTGAGTACAAAGAACAATTGTAAAGCTTAAGATTTTTACCTGGTGGTTTCCAGTCTAAATTGCATCGATCCTCAAACACATCAGTTACATCAAGCGGTCCTTTCGGTTTCCCGGGTTTTCCTTTCACTTTCACTTCGAATGTCACCTAGGATTTGATAAGTTTAAAAATTTTTTTTTTTTTGGTCAAATTACCGAATCAGTTCCATTCTCGTTTGTGGCAGTGATTGTATACTTGCCACTTTGTTTCCGCGTGGCTTTCGGGATACAGAAACGAGAGAGGTAATCTTGATCGTCTGTTTGAACGCCGGCACCATGCACTGATCCACCTATGATATAATAATAAGAAAGCTGATTTTTCTTGATCAAAGCTTACCAGTGAAAGTCCAGGTGACATTCGGTGCCGGTTCTCCATCGATGTGAATCTTGAAATCAACAGCGCCGCCCACTCGTAAAACATGATCCTCAATGTCTTCGCGATGAATGTGTGGTGGCACTGAATTGAGATATTATATTATATCTTTATTCAAAACATTTTCAGAAATCTATTAGAGTCGAGTTTTAGATTTCAAACATTTAAAGCACAATTTCATAAGAAAATCGAAAGAAACGTAAAAGGAAAAAAAAAACTTTTTGGATAGCCGAATAGTTTTTGCTTTAAAGGCTTTTACAAACAATTAAAGTTCCTACTTCTGAAAAAGTCCTACTTCTGAAAAAGTTTGAATCAAGTGCGCTAAAAGTTTATTTACACTTTTGAGCACAAAGTACACGGCAAAACACTTACAATTTCTGCATTTAGCCACAACGGTGTCCGTTGGATCAGACGCTTCTCCTTTGCCAGCCTTGTTTTTAGCTCTAATGCGGAATTGGTATTCTTCGCCTTCTTTCAAGCCATCAATCTAGAAATTCATTAGATTGGACAGAATGATTTCGAAATCTTTAATTCAAAATCTTTCAAATCTAGATCTTAGATATTCAAAGCTATACCGTAGCCGCTGTCGCATCACCAGGCACAACAAGCGCCTCTTCCCATCGTCCTCTCTTATCTTTCTTCTCAATGATATAAGCTTCAATGGGTGCTCCTCCATCATCATTCACTGGTTTCCAAGCAAGATCCACATGATCTTTATCCCAATCAACAAGCTGTAAACAAATTTCTATTGTAACCAAGTCTAAAATTTCGTTAAGCCATCAGTTTACAGTTTTTATCTTTCTCAACCTCACCTCTGGTTTGTCAACCTTTCCAGGTAAATCATATGGATTTTTGGCGACGATGGCCGTGTCTGCTGTCAACGGCTCTGACTCTCCTTCCTGAAAAAATATAGCATAATTTTTATAGATAAGCAGATCGAATCTTTACCTTATTAACGGCTTTGACTCTGAACTTGTACTCGTGTCCGGGTTGCAAGTTCGCCACTTGAGTCGTCGTGCCATCCGATCTTCCACAAGGAACCCATCTACCCGTGGCCATATCCATTTTCTCTATCTCATAGTGATCAATCGGGCAACCACCTGGGAATTGTTTTTGTTTTTGTTTAGAAAGGATCAGTTATGCATTTAAGCCAACAACACGAACTCACCATCATCCTCAGGCGGTGCCCATTCCAATGTGCAATGATCCTCAAACACATCCGTCACATCCAAAGGTCCCATCGGTGCTCCGGGTTTCCCCAGCACGATCACCTCGACAGTGTGCGAGTCTTTTCCACTAGCGTTCGTTGCAGTCAGTGTATATTTTCCAGCTTGGGCTCTTTGCGCACCCTTCAGCACAAAATGAGTTCGATAGTCCTCATTGTTCACCCGAATCTTATCAGAGATCGGTTTCTCATTGAACGTCCACACTTTGTCCGGTGGTGGCTCACCACGCACTGGCACATCAAATTCTACATCTTGTCCAACTTTAACGGTGATCGTCTTCATCGCCTCTCGATCAATCCATGGCTTTAGATTTCTCGGCTTAGCGGTGACACGTTGTGATGGATCCGAGGCTTCTCCTGGGCCAGCTTTGTTCACAGCTTTGATCCGGAATCTAAATTTTCTTGTTATTTAGAATTCTAGAATAACTAGAGTGGATTCTAGTTATTTAAACGCTAAAAATTTGTACTTAAAAGTAAACTTACTGATATTCTTCTCCTTCTTTCAGATTCAATACATCCGCTTCACATTGAGGACCAACCTAAAAGAAAATTGGTGATTAAAGATCCATTGAAAACAACTGTTTCAATTAAGCTTCAGTTGTAAACTATAAATTGTACAAGCTTTAGAATCTTATTGTAAACTTGTTTAGAAACTATATCTATTCATTTTGAGGCAGATTATTTATGAAATCAACTCAGAAACTCACTTTCGCGCACTCTTGCCACTCTTTTCCGTGTTTGCTTTTCTTTTCAATGATGTAGCCAGTGATCGGTGCACCACCATCAGAGCTTGGAGGTTCCCAGGCAAGGGATACCTAGATTTTCATTTATTACTCTAATAAACCACCATAATGATGACATAATGATCGTAATAATATTTACCTTGTTCGAATCCCAATCAACAATATCGGGTGGCGGGGGTTTTCCGGGTTCATCGTACGGATTCTTCGCTTTGGTCTCTTTATCAGCATTCAACGCATCCGATGCTCCCTCTTTATTCACGGCTTTCACACGGAATTGATACGTTTGTCCCTTTTTCAAGCCATCAATATGTGCCTAAATTCTTTTTATCTAGTTTTTTGTAGTTAGAAATCTCACCTTTGTGTCTTTCACTTTGGCACACGGTACCCATCGGCCAGTGGATGTGTCGAGCTTCTCAACCTCGTAGTACTCGATCGGCTCACCGCCATCATCCTCTGAAAGTTATATTATACTATCTAAGATCTATATCTAGATTATGTTTAGATAAATTTCTATGTAAAAAAAATTTGACTTGGTGGTTTCCAGGCGAGATTGCAATTGTCTTCGAAGACGTCGGTGACCTCAAGTGGACCCTCAGGTTTCGCGGGGCGATCGAGCACCTAAAAATTGAGTGGTGCATTGGGTTTACGGATAGAAATTGTTAACAAACACCTAATTACTGGTAGCTATTGTTATCTATAAGCTATAAGCTTTAGCAGCTATTTGTCATCTTAAAAGCTCTCCATAATCACCGTAAGATTTGCCGCCTCGGTATCCTCTCCATAGGAGTTTTTCACTGTCAACCGATATTCTCCAATATCGCCTCGAGCTGCCGCTGAAATGCAGAGAATCGTGTGATCGGTTTTCTTTGTCTCAATCGAGAGCCGAGCGTTCATCTCAACGGCTTTTCCGTCTCTTGTCCAGGTTACCTAGAATTTTTTTGTTTGCATGATCGTCTTCGCCATGGCCGAGTGGCTAAGCGCCCTGTATCTCAGTCGGAGCTACTCGGGAGATCAAGGGTTCAATCCCGCTGGCTAGCTCCCGGTGCTTTTTTCATCTTTTGTTTCCCTATGTTTAGGACTTGTGCTTGTGTATTGTATGTACATTATTCGTGCGTGAATTCTATTTTAAAGTTCTCTCACGTCCGGTGGTGGTTCTCCTCCAATCTTCACATCCCATCTCACAGATTGTCCGGCTTTCACAGTGATCGATCGAAGGCATTCGTGTTTCAGCCAAGCAGGCACGAATTTCGGCTTAGCCATTTGTTTCTCAGATGGTTCCGAGGGTTGACCGGCGCCGCCCTAGAATTCCAAATGTTAAAAAATGAAAGATGTCAGAGCTTGATTGAATGTAGTAGAATAATAAACTTTACCTTGTTCACAGCTCTCACTCGGAATTGATATTCAGATCCCTCCTTGAGTCCTTTCACCGAAGCATTCGTCGTTGGTGATCTCATGATCTCTTTCCATTCTTTTGTCACCGGATCTAGAGAGATCTTAGTTTTCAAGGCTTTAAAGCACAAATCTACCTCTCACTTCAACAATGTATTGCTCAATTGGGGCTCCACCGTCTTTCTGGAATGGAAATTAGATATAATTATGATAGTTAAACATAAATGTAAGTTTAACAATTTGCTTACCAATGGCGGATCCCAGGCAAGATCAATCCGATCGGCGTCATAGTCGGTGACCATCGGACGCCCGGGTTTTCCCGGTTCATCCCACGGATCCTAGATAAGAGTTTGTATTCAAATTTTAATATATAATTCATATCTAGCTTTAATTTGCAAATTTTATACCTAAAACTAACTATCTACAGTACTGGACAATGAAATATCATATTTGAAAATCGATCGTCACTTTTGCGCGTCTGTAACTCCTTTGTCTTTGAGTTTAAACTATTAGTGTTATACATTTTCTGAAAGCTCTTTTTAAGGGCTACACAATGGTAATATTAATATTTAGAAATACGGTAAAGACATGGGAGTTACAGACGCGCGAAAGTGACGATCTTTTTTCAAATATGATATTTCATTGTCCAGTAGTGTAGCTATTAGATTTCTATTGGAGATCCCGATCTTTATTCAAAAGTTTGTAAAAATTCAGCGAATTGCGTTTTTTGTACGGTCTATCAACAAAAGTCGATAAAGCCAGTGCGCTAGAAAGCGTACGTTTACTTGTAATCACAAAGTACACATACCTTGATCGTCGTGTAATCATCAGCAGTGAGTGGCTCCGATTCTCCCTCGTTGTTCACGGCTTTGACTCTGGAATTTGGGTTTCCATTTAAGCTTAGGATTCGATAACATAGAAACAGTACTAGATATTAACAGTAATACAATTGTTCAGTACTAGTTACTAACAATAATACAATTGATTTTACCTAAACTTGTAGTTTCCCTTGTTCTTGAGGCCTTTCACTTTGAGATTCGTGGTGCCCGGGTCGACTCGGCCGACCTAAAAACGGAATTTAAGTCAATCCTGAGTTAGATTTGATTCCAGAGAATTCTCCAGTTCACTGGTTTGGTTAATTCTACCCATAGCTGAGCTCATCTCCAATCAGATTTCATTGAAAATCTTCTGATCTGCAATCTGAGATCCAGCTCAATCTAAACCACTACTTGACTCAATTTTACCTCAACAAATTTGCCCTTTTGATCCAAATCTTGTGCCTCAACAATGTATCCAGTCAACGGATCTCCTCCATCTAGATTCAATTATTATCCATAAACTCCAAACTTTCTACCATCTTTTGGTGGATTCCAGCCGACTGTCGCTCCGTCAGCGCACACATCACTCACGTCAAGTGGGCCTAAAAAAACGGCATAATGTACAGTAATCCAGTACGGTAAAATACAGTGCATTACTTGACTTACCCTCTGGTGGCGCCGGTCTACCCACAACGGTGACCACGGCCGAGTCTTCGCAAGTGCCCGACGGATTCTTGAGCACAATCGTGAACTTGCCCGAATCACCGCGCTCAGCGTTCTCGATCTGGAAATGATCGTGCTTAAAATATCTGAATTGAATCTGAAAGCTTACCTTTAACACGTGTCTTCCCCTTTCTGTTGTCATCTTCACTCGACCGCCCGGTTTCAGTGGTTTTCCATTCACCAACCAGCTCACTTCAGGCGTCGGTTCTCCAGAGATCGGCACGTCGTATTTGATCGTTTCACCCACTTTCAAGCGTTGATCTTTGATGCCGCCTTTGATGAAACGAGGCTCACCTAAATTAGGGTTAGATAGGAAAGTAGGCTAGTGGTAAAGTATCGTAGTAGTACATCAGAACAGCACAGTACATCAGAACTACAATAGAATGACCAGCTTTCTCTTACCGGTACAAAACTGTGTACTGGTAACAATTCTCGTACTTGGCTTAGCTTTTTGCTTTCACCGATCGTCCATGATCATTCGGATCACCGGGACCGGCTTTGTTGACGGCTTTGATCCGGTAATAATACTCTTTTCCCTCCACCACTCGTTCATCAGTAAACGTCTGCTTAGCCTCTTTTGGATCATGCGCAATCGAGCCAACACGATTCCAATCCTAGAATTTCATTCTTAGCAATATGTAAACAATTATGCTACTAAAGATCTTTACTTAAAGCTAGAATTGATTTTAAGTATATATCAGTTTGACTTTAAGATCAACTTTAAAATTATCGTACTTATCAGCTCAAATTTTCGACCTAGAATTAGTCTTGCTTACTGCAAAAATGTAAAGAAATGAATGGCAAAGAATTTGGAATCAAGGGGAATTGAACCTTCTCCTTCTGCCCTTGATTTTCTGCTTATCAGGCAGATGCTCTACCACTGAGCTATAGCGGCTTCTTTGCCAAAGAAGAATCTAGTCTTACAAACCTTTTCACTCTTCTCTCTCCTCTCAATGATATACTCTTCCAATGGTGCTCCACCGTCATCTAAATGATTTAAGTACATAAATTTATTACATAGTACATAAATTGACTACATAGTACATAAATATATTGTATATCGAAGACATAGAATACAGTAAACCCAACCCTCTGGTGGATCCCAGGCAATCGTGATGTGATCATTATCGACATCGACAAAGTCCATATTTCTCGGTTTTCCGGGCACAGCTGAAAGTTTAAAAGGGATAAAGCAGCTGGATAACTGGATAAGCGATTAAATTCAAACTAATCTATTCAAACTATTCTAAAAGCTGATCACTTACTGTAAGGATTCTTGGCGAGGATCGTCTCTCCAGTCAATGGATCGGACAATCCGACATCGTTCAGTGCTTTCACTCGGAACTTGTACTCGCCATGTTCTTTGAGGTCTTTCACCTGAATTTAAAAATTTCCATTTATTTTTAAGCTTATCTTTACCATACCTTGAAACCAGCTCCCTTTGTCTCTCCAATTTTCGCCCATTGACCCGATCGTCCCTCTTGCATCTCAACAATGTAAGCTTTTGCCGGGTTCTCCTCGCCTAGAATTCGACTTTATTAAGATAAAGTAGTACTAGTACCGTAATCTATACAATACTCTATACAATCCACTAATCATTACCATAATCTCAATCACCGACCTTTATCTCCTTCTCCCCATTTGAGATCACAGCCCTCAGCGGTAACATTCGTTGTCTCCAATGGGCCTTTCGGTGGCTTTGGTTTATCCTAAAGTTCAAAAGTTAAACAAATTATATAACTTTCTATTTAAGTAATAATACCTTAACATAGAGCTCAAATGGTGCAAGGGCTGTTCCAGCTGAATTCCCCAACTCGAGAGCCCATTTCCCGGCATCGGCGAGCGCTGGGTTCTTCCATTTGATCACTGCCTCGTCGCCTTCAATCACCACCTAGAATTTATTCATCATTGAATCCAATAATTTGCATTTCTCACCTCAACAAGATCTCTCATTTTATCCAAATCAACGGGTTGTCCATTCTTTAGTAAGCGAATTTTCGGTAAATTTCGCTGTCCCTTGATTGAGAACGGGATTCTCACCTAGAAATAGTTGATAAGAAAAAAGCATTGTTAAGATTAAATGGTGATTTAAATGGTGATTTAAAAGCTACTATCAAATTTCCTTACTTCACACGGTTCTCCAGCTTTCGCCTCGATTGTTTTTGGTTTCCAGTTAAAGACAGGTTTCTTCTCACCCTCACCAACTGTGACTAGGCAAGAGCCTCGAAGGCCAGCCTAAAGAAGAAGAAGACCATGACCTCTACTGTAATCACAAACCTGATCAAACTCGTACGTGTCCCCTTCACCCATCTCGATCTTCGAGATCTTCAATGTGTGCACTCCATTTCTCGAGCTACACTCGAATTTCCCACCAGGTTTTGATGAAATTGGCTAGATTTTGCAATTTTGAGGATTTCTCTAAAGAAATTGACAAACCTTTCCTTTAACAAACCATGTGCCAGGCGTTTTTGTGTCCTTTGTCTCACAACGGAGATCAACTGTTTCTTTCTCGATTACATCCATGTCTTTGAGAGGAACGATGAACTTGTTAAGGGCTAAAAAGTAAATAATTCTTTATGATTATGTTGTTTTCTAAAAAGTACTCCGATTTCTGTCTTTCTTGTCTTTGTCTTTCAATTTAGAAATCACAAAGAATCACAAGAAAAGCTAATCGCGTAAGCTTAATGGGATTGCGATAGCTTTTTTGGAAAGGAAATCAGGTATACTTTAAGGTAAAGCTTGTAGCTGTTTTCATTGAAAGCTAAACCAGCCAACGATCAAAACCCACGTTCAACAATGAGTTGAGCCATCGTCGTGTCATCTTTTGTTTTACATTTATACTCTCCATGATCCTCAATCCTTGCTCCAATCACATGCAAACGACGCTTTCTCATCGTACGCTCTTCTTTGAAATGTTTACCATCAGGTTCGATCTAGAATAGAGGAAATTGTCTTTATTTTGTTACAGTAACTTGAGTCCTATAAGTTCGTCTCAAAGAAAATCCCCTCCAATTGCTCTAATAGAAACGGATAGGGTACAGAAAATAGGCTAGACTGATTTGAATGGAAATTTTACAGCTAGAAGATAGAGTAATTGTAAAGGCTATTGTAGTCTAAAAAAATTGATAGATAGAATAACGAGAAAGTATTGTGAGCCTAAAGCTACCTTGACTCCATCGTGCCACCACTGTACATCAGCATCTTTATCATTGACATCACATTCAAGAAATGTTGTCCCTCTCTCGTCAACTCTTTGCGATTTCAATGGGATCACGAAAGTGTCTCGTGGCTCTAGACCGTCAATGTTTTAAAATCAATCAAAATCAACTCTACCTTCAACATAAACTTGAACTTTCGATAGTACATCCTCACTGATGTACGCTGTCCATTCTCCCTCATCTTCTTGCACAATCTCGTGAATGGTCACCGTGCAACGACCCACAGGATCCTTGTCAATCGTAAAGCGCTTATCATTTCTGAAACAGATTCTCTATGAAAAAGTAATCCTAGAGTACTCAAAAGCAATGAATAATCAAATTTGACAAAAAAAATTACTCATCAATCGGTTTCCCATTTCTCAACCATTTCAACGGTGCTCTTGCTGAGTTGACTTTACACGTGAGGACTCCATTCTTTGTGCGATAAACTTCTTGTGTGTTTGGCAGTGGATTCACGAAACTGTACTTCATTGGAGGCTCTGAAAGCATAAAATATTATTTAATTTTTAAGTAAATCAATATAACGAACCGTCAACAACGAGATTCGCATTTGTTTTTACTCCATTCGCCTCACAAGTGTACATGCCCGAGTCGTCGACTTCGGGATTATTGATGATGAGTGTGCACGTGGCTTTTTCGATCACAATCTAAATCCAATAAACGTTTTATTGTCTATAGATCTAGATTTACAACTACCGTAAATACTGTAATAGTACTAACAATAGTACCCCACTCCCCTCGTACAGTTCGGAGCGTTGCGTAGTCTAGCTTTGGACGCGTTTTTCTCGACACTGGTTTATGCTACAATGCGCGCGTAGGTATCAAAAAATAGCCCTGAATTTCAACTATTTTTTGATATCTAAGCCCGCATTGTAGCATAAACCAGTGTCGAGAAAAACTCGTTCAAAGCTAGACTACGCAACACTCCGCACCGTCATTATGGGGGTGGGGTACTATTACAGTATTTACGGTAGATTCTTTATTTTTACCTTATATTTCAATCCACCAGAGAATATTTCTTTCCTATCTTTGTACCAGCGAATTTTCGCGTTCGTCCGCGAGTACGTGCACTTCCATTCGACAATTTTGTCTGTCTAAAAGAAAAATCAATATTTAATAGCTGAGTTCCAATAGCTGAGTATCTAAATAAATTCAAAAAGCTCACCAATTGCTGAACCCGTTTATCTTTCAACGGTTCCACCCATTGCTCAACCTTTTTGCCCGGGAACAAACTCTAAAATGATTCTTTTATTATATAATATATATAAAATCTATTTATTAATTACTTATTAAATCTATTTAAATATAAATCCTCTCAAAAAGCGCTTCAATTTTAAAATTCGTTTATCTTCCGCCTTACGCCAACCTTCCGTTTCCTCTAAAAGCCCCCACAGTTTCTTTTTTAATCGAGTTATTAAATTCTGGAACATTTTACCCCCTGATGTTCGTGATATTTCCACCTTGGCTAGATTTAAAGCCTAAAGGCTAGGCTAGATATTTCGGCAATTGATTTGACTGCTCTGTGATTCTTTCTTGAGGTATCTATTTATCTTTTGGGTGTGTTTTGAGTGGTGTCCCGGATAATTATTGTGATTTTGTTTTGTCGCTATTCAACTGAATAAAGCATATATATAATTTTATATCAAAAAATTTGCGATTTACCTGTCTCCTCTCAGCCTCGCTCAACTCTTTCTCTTTGGGCTCTTTTTGTTGACCACTTGAGGTATCTCTAAAAAAGTTTGCCTTTAAAAACTAAAATATCTAAAGTAATCATTACGATTGCAAACATTACAAACATTACAAACCTTCTTTTGAGCATTGCCCTAAAATCAGCTCCTCCTTGGTTGTCGGTGGTGACGAGGAGTTTAATCTCGGCGGTATCGCTACCGTGTGAATTCGAGACAGTCACACTGGAAAATCAAACACTTTATCTGATTTGAAGTATCACGAGAATATTAAACATCTAAACTATCAAATCCACTCACGAATAGACTCCATCATCTTGATTTCGACACTTGCTGATCGCTAGATGCGCTTTGTTCTCCTCTCCATTCGTATGCTGCTTGAAACGGCCACCGCTCATCACCTAAGAGATTCAGAAATGACAAAACTACATAATAACCGTCTTTTGAATAGATACAATAAAAAAATCTTCTTTTAAAGTTCTGCTTCTGAAATAGCTTCTGAAAAATTTCCCTTTTCAAACCTCTCTCATTCCCTTTTTCCATGTAATCTTTGGCACCGGGTCGCCTTCGATTTTGATGGTCAGGGCTGCGGTTTCATCTAAAAAAATCATGAAATAATAGATTCTATATTCATAATCGATTTCTTATCTTACTAATTAACTACAAAATTTTCTTTGTAGCATTTTTGAACGTTTTTTTGTTGTTTGTGAAGACGGAGACGTCTTGAAAAAGTTGTCGTTTTGAAAACTGTCGAAAAAAAACTGTCGAAAACATCAAAAAGAGGATATAATGTTGTAAAATTTATGAGTAATAATAGCTTTAAAAGATTAGATTTGAAACAAATGCTTAAGAACTTATTTTAAAAGAAAAACTGTTTTAAAAATGATTCCTAAAAACCTATTTTAGAAGAACAGTTCAAGTTTCGTTTGGCTACCGGTTTAACTCTGAAGTAAGGGATAAGTTCCCAGCCTGACGGTAGGGGAACCCTGTCGATGTGGCTCATTGGTAGAGCGTTGGCCTGGTAAGCGGTCGTGGTAGCAAGAGGCCGCGGGTTCGAATCCCAGGGGGTGGCGTTTTTTGGATTCGCAGCCAAAAGAACCGTCCAACTCTGGCTCTAAGTTTAACAACAAGCTTGCTTGCTTGACTCACAGTAAATTGAAAGTAAAATATTCAAAAGTGGAGTCAATTTCACTCACAGCGATACTTCCATTCTTTAGCCTTTCAAGCCTACAATAAAAGATTTAAAACAACTGAATTCCAGTTGTGTTTGGTGAAATTTGAAATTGAATTATAATTTGAAAACCCACTCTCAAGAACAGTGACACTTTCGTCAAAATCGACAATTTTCGCCGGAGTTCCCGCTCCACCAACAGCTTTTAGCGGGGTTTGAGCTTTCTCAAGGAGTTCCGAGATCGATTCACGACGAAGATCTACAGAACCACGACGCTGAAAATTAAGGAATCAAAATTGATAAAACAATAAAAGTGTGTTATCTGGAAGCTGAAAGGGATTAGTGGATGGAGTCCAAGTTTTGATCAAAAGCTGATGATCAAAAGCTGATGATCAAAAGCTGATGATCAAAAGCTGATGATCAAAAGCTGATGATCAAAAGCTGATGATCAAAAGCTGATGATCAAAAGCTGATGATTTTGATAGAAGCTGATGATTTTCATAGATCAAAATCATCAGCTTTTGATTTAAAACTTGTCTCAAAAGCATGCAGGGGACAGGTTGATGATTTGAGGATGGAGAAGTCACATTCTCTTACGACAGAATCGCGACGGGACGAGTCGCTCTCCCACATGGATCCTCTCCTCGATTGTCCGGGACTATCATCATCTTTCGGTTTCTGTGCCACTTTCTTCAGTTTCACTCCTTCTAACGGATTCGTCTCTTCTTTTCGCCCAACTTGCCTCCCTTTTAAGCTCTTTTTCGGATCCTCAATCGCTTCTTTAGCTTGCTCTTTTTGTCGAGTCTTCAGCAGAGATTTTGGCTGGAATTTTTTTTTGCTGAAATTCTTAATCTCTCTAAAAATTCTTTAACAAAAGCTTCTATTAGTTCACAGCACTTGCATAAGCGTTAATCAACAGTAAAACTGGAAAATAACTTTAGATTTTCTCAGAATAAAGTTATTTTTCAGGCAATCTACCGGTGTCACTTGTTCGGGTTTCGTTCCATCAGCGAAACTCGTCTTTTTCACGCCAACTTGTTGATCTTTCGCCTAGAATGGAGAAAAGAAAAATAGAATAAAACATGCTAGGGGAAAGATACCGTAATTCTCTAATGAAATTATTGATTCATTGACAATACATGATTAAAAGTACGTTACAGTTTATAAAAATTGAAATTAGAAGCAAATTTTGATCAGAATTTGATCAAAATTTGATCCGCAATGCTTCTCTTGGCTCAATGCTAATATTTCTTATAGAAGGATTACGGTATAGATATTTTTGTTTCAAAAAAAAAGATGAAAGACAGAAAGGAAAAGAATTGAAGGGGAAAAATGGACACCTTTTGTTGATGTTTTGTTCTTTTGATCCTCATTTTTTGTTTGTTAGTGTTACACAGCCAACACTCGAAAATAGATATCAATCTAAAAAGTTGTTAATGATTAGAAAAACTGAATTTTATGAATATTTAGCTAGAGATATTGCTGGCGAGAGTTGCTAACTAGCAAGAGTTGCTAACTAGCCAGAGTTGCTAACTAGCAAGAGTTGCTAACTAGCAAGAGTTGCTAACTAGCAAGAGTTGCTAACTGCTAACCGATTCTACTCTTAAGTTATAATCGTTAATTACTAAGAAGGTAGACTTACTAAAAAGTTATAGAGCTTGTGGATATGTTTAGAATAACAGATCAGATATAAATCCATAGTATTTCCTATTCTACAGTATTATAGATAGTATTTGGTGCTATAGATTACATATACTAAATCTACAGTACTACTTACATAGATCTTATCTATCTATAAGTAGTACTTAAAGATAGGAAAGATCTAGATAAGTATACTTAAAGATAGATAAGATTTAGAGAAGTAGTACTTATCTATCTTTAAGTACTACTTCTCTAGATCATATCTATTTATAAGTATACTTCTCTAGATCTTATCTATCTGTAAGTATACTTATCTAGATCATATCTATCTTTAAATATACTTATCTAGATCATATCTATCTTTAAGCACTACTTCTCTAGATCTTATCTATCTTTAAGTACTACTTATCTAATCTTCTATCTACAAGTACTACTTATCTAGATCTTACCTATCTATAAGTATACTTCTCTAGAGCTTATCTATCTATAAGTATACTTATCTAGATCTTATCTATCTTTAAGCACTACTTATCTAGATCTTACCTATCTTTAAGTATACTTCTCTAGATCTTATCTATCTATAAGTATACTTGTTTAGATCATATCTATCTTTAAGCACTACTTCTCTAGATCGATTATTAGTCACACAATATATTAATGATCACGATGCACACATCAACTCATCTCCAAAAAACAATCGAAAATCAAACCCTACATTATCCGGATCATTTCCGTCCTTTGCCGGCGTCTTGGCTCTTGTGGTGGATGTGCCGGCTCGACTCTTTCCCTCAGACACATCCTCTCCCATCGACGACCTCCTCGATCCTCCTTCATGATCCGACACTCCACTATCAGCTCTTCTCTCGACTTTCTTCAATTGTGTCCTTTCCAATGTTCCCTCAACTCCTTCACTTTGCTCTTTTTTTGCGACTTTTTTTAGTGCAGGCTTTTTGAATTCATGTGGATCATCTTTGGGCTTTTCAACCGGGCGAAGAGTCTTTTTCTGGAAATCAGACAAGAAATTCTTTTTAGCTAGATATCTAAAAAGTCCTTTTGTAGCTTTGATTAGCTTAAAAACTCTTGTAGCTTACTGTAACTGTAACTGTAACTTTAAGAATTCCTCTAACTGATTAAGATAGCTCTAAGGATTGTGTAGGTTTGAGGTGAAAAGCTATCGTAACTGTTTAAAGGTTTTAGCTTTTAGTCAAGCAAAGTACCTGCGCAGCTTCAGTGGATTTCGACGAGTCGGCGGTTCTCTTTTTGAGGAGATCGCGCGCATTCTGGTACATAGCCTTCTCTTCGGCTGGTGGCTGAAATGAGAAAGCACACATTCACACACACAAAATAAAACATGTGTGAACATGAAAAGACGGAAAAAAAAGAGACAAACGTTTTTTTGGATTTAAATGAGAAATAAATGATACAAAACTGGACAACTGATTTGGTTAAAATGGTTGCACTCAGGCAATCATTTTAATCAAATCATCACCAAAATGAAAAGCTTAGTGCTTAGTAGAAAGGTTATGTTTAGCAATTTTTGAACTGGACATGAAACTGATGCATGCAAAAATAGGGAAGCGAACTGAAAGATTTTTTGAGGTGATGCATGATGGTGAGGATCGTTTTGTGGATTCGAAATGACGAATGACGTCTGGGAAATGACGGGGAAATCGGGTACTTGGGGGAAATGTTCGGGGAAATCATTGAATTTTATATCATTGTACGTAAGTACTTACTTTGTACTTACTAAAGTACTTAAACTGTAGATTTGATTTATAGATTATAGATAACATTATATACAGTACTGGACAATGAAATATGATATTTGAAAAAAGATCGTCACGTTCGCACGTCTGTAACTTCTTTGTCTTTGAGTTTAAACTATTAGTGTTATACATTTTCTGAAAGCTCTTTTCAAGGGCTACACAATGGTAATATTAATATTTAGAAATACGGTAAAGACATGGGAGTTATAGACGCGCGAAAGTGACGATCGTTTTTCAAATATGATATTTCATTGTCCAGTACTGTATCTATTCAATTACTTAATCAGTATCTACATATCTATTCAATTGTATCTATTCAATTACTTAATCAGCTTCTATTAGACTCGAAAAGCGTTATTGTAAATTTGTGGATTCTATGGAATGAGTTGTTGTGAAGCTTTCAACGCTTATTGACTTATTTAAATGAATCGATAAGTTAGTTGCCTTTAGTGTAACGGGAATCGAGTAGATTTTGGTGTAATGGTTAGCACATTTCATCGATAAGCGAAAGGTGACGGGTTCGAGTCCCGCAGCCGTTAAGTTTTTGATCTGCCCAACTGATAACGATAGCGTTTATCAATGTTAAACCTTAACTTGTTATTGTTTATTGTTTATTGGTTATTGGTTTATTATTTATCTATTAATCTAAAGGCAATCTAGAGGCTATCTAGACAATCTAGAGGCTATCTAGACGATCTAGAGGCTATCTAGACAATCTAGAGGCTACTTTTTCTTTAGACAATATTCTTCTTTATTCTTTACTTTGTGCTTAAAATGTAAACACACTCTTTCTGTTGCAATCAGGCAACCATTTTAACCAAATCATCACCAAAATGAAGAGCTTATTGCACCAGAAAGATTATGTTTAGACATTTTTTGAAGGTTACCCGAAAAACTAAGTTAAAAATTGTCTTTTAGGTACTATTTTAAGATGTTGATGGGACAAAAACGACGACTTTTTTTCTTGAGTGCAATGGATCTTTTCGAGAAAGAGAAATGGGCAAAAAAGAGAAGATCTTTGCTTGGGTAAATATCGAATAAGAAAAAGGGGAAAAGAAGCTCATTTGCAAACGTAAATTATTAGCTTAGCTTAGCTTAGCTTCACTCAAGCTTAGCTTAGCTTCACTCAAGCTTAGCTTAGCTTCACTCAAGCTTAGCTTAGCTTCACTCAAGCTTAGCTTAGCTTCACTCAAGCTTAGCTTAGCTTCACTCAAGCTTAGCTTAGCTTCACTCAAGCTTAGCTTAGCTTCACTCAAGCTTAGCTTAGCTTCACTCAAGCTTAGCTTAGCTTCACTCAAGCTTAGCTTAGCTTCACTCAACTTTCTATCTAATTTAAGTCAATCAGTCAATCACAAGCTATAGTACTTGAAAGCTGCAAAAGCAGGATTTGCAAGTGCTGTAAAGGTCTTGAGATCTAGAGATCTAGAGTGTTTTCCTTGCGAGTAAAGTTATTCGAGTCATTTTTTCAGTAACTTTATTTGGTTAAATCGATGTTTTTTGTCGATTAACTACGAATAATCCTATTGACAGCTGAATATCTTTTAAGCTGAAAGCAAACAGCTGAATATCTTTTAAGAGAAGTAAAATAAGTCCTTGTTCATTTTTTTTGAGAGATTTTTCTCAAGTATTCATTTTAGAAAACGCATTCCATCTTCAGGGTACGTTTTAATCCAAAAATTAGAGTCAAAATTGAGGAAAGGATAAGGGAAGGTGAGGTAAAGTCTGTGCAGTACACGGGGGATAGATAGATCCCTTCTCTCTCTCAGATTTGAGAAGAAGGGATCCACGAAAGGGCTCTCTCTCTCTCTCTCTACACTTTTCTCTCTTACAGGCATACTGTTGCGCGATTTGAGAAGATCTCGAAAGTTGTACCGATTGCCGCCACCAACCGACGAACTCTCCGATAACTGCAATCACTGTGCAAAGGGGAAAGGAAAGATATTCAATCAAAGATTTGATTGAAAGGATCATCTAAAGATCTTTGGATAGATCTAAAGATTGAAGAAAGATCTTTTATTAGAAAAGTTGTTCAGCATGAAGAAAGATTGAAGAAAAGAAAAGAAAGAAAAACGGAGATTTTGAATCTTCTCATTTTCTGAACGGGCAAATTTTGGAAATCGAGAGATCAACTTTCAGAGTTTCCCGTTTCCCAAAACATAACCGATCCTTGGTTAAAGATCTTGGTTAAGATCAACTCTAGAAACAAACCTCTTGCGTAGTGGAGACACGCTTGCGAGCTGGTTTCGGCGCACCCCCAGCAAAGGATGGCAATTCGGAGATGGACTCGGAGACTTCATCCTCCGAATTGTCCATTTCACCCATTAACTCGCGACGAATCGAGTCGGGAATCGTGAGGCCCGATGATGGGATTCCATCGACTTCAGAGATCTGAATTTGGGAGAAATGATGAGATCGTTTGATCGATATCGATTGATCCTCGTTGACATTCATTCACAAACAGACACACTCACGAATTTAGCTTTTTGTTACATTTAGTCTTAGATCATTTTCCGATCATTTTCCTCAAAGATTTTCATCCAAGAGATTTGAGAGAGAAGAGTTTCAAGTCTAACAGAGCTTTGAAAGAGAAGAGTTTCAAGTCTAACAAAGCTTTGAAAGAGAAGAGTTTCAAGTCTAACAAAGCTTTGAAAGAGAAGAGTTTCAAGTCTAACAAAGCTTTGAAAGAGAAGAGTTTCAAAGTCTAACAAAGCTTTCATTTCAACATAACACGTCCATTTTGTCAAGTTTATAAGGGAATAAAGATATCTGAAAGGCCAAGACAATGAGACTTGACCAATGGCTGTGAGGAGACAGTTTTGAGTTCAGTGCAAGTACAGTTCTCATTCAAGATTAGACGGGTGGAGAAACAGATCAATTATTGATCTGTTTATTGATTTATTCATTCATCAATTAGATAAACAGTTTAGAAATTGATCAAAAATTCAAAATGAAATGAGAGAATTGGGGATAGAGATTTTTTGAGGATAAATTTTGAATCCAAGTTCGTTAAAGATTGAATCCAAATTAGGAATTGTCAGAGAAATCGATGTTTATTCGAAAAAGTGTGTGGGTTGACGAAGAAGTGAAGAAGAAGTGAAGAAGATCGAGATGGATTCGAATGAATCCCGAAAAATCTGCAGAAAAAAAAGAAGAAAAGGAAGAACTCCCGAGCGATGAGTAGTTGCGAACATAAAAAAGTGCCCAAACCGAGATGGGGCAAAGATTGAGAGGGATGAGGGGAAGGGAGAGAAGGGAAGAGGAAGGGAGGGAAGGGAAGAGGAAGGGAGGGAAGGGGAGAAGGGGAGAGAAGGGAAGAGGAAGGGAGGGAAGGGAAGAGGAAGGGAGAGAAGGGGAGAGAAGCGGGAGAGACGGACGGTGGAAGGCCCATCCACCAGAGTGATCCCAGGCTCTCGGCAAATTTGTTGACCACTACAGTTTGTTGTTTTTTTTTTCATCTAGCCCGTTCCAATTGATCATATTGATCGATTCAAAAAGTCCGAATCAGAAATTTGAATTAAAAAGTTAAAAAGCAAGTTTACAAATTTAAGAAATGACTTATTTAGAATCTAGAACTGGGGTAGGTTTGCTTTTCTTTTTATTATTTAAACTATTCCACAGTGATATAAGAAATCTAAGCTATAAGAATTATATGATCTAAGCCGTTAGAAATCTGGAATTAAATAATCTGAAATGAAAGTAAGCTTTGAAGCTAAGCAAAGCTTTGAAGCTAAGCAAAGCTTTGAAGCTAAGCAAGCTTTGAAGCTAAGCAAAGCATTGAAGCTAAGCAAAGCTTTGAAGCTAAGCAAAGCTTTGAAGCTAAGCAAAGCTTTGAAGCTAAGCAAGCTTTGAAGCTAAGCAAAGCTTTGAAGCTAAGCAAAGCATTGAAGCTAAGCAAAGCTTTGAAGCTAAGCAAGCTTTGAAGCTAAGCAAAGCTTTGAAGCTAAGCAAGCATTGAAGCTAAGCAAAGCATTGAACAGGCTTGAGTCAGCTCTGTTTCTCCGTTTCAAAATCAAAATGATCAAAATGATTAAAAGGATTAAAAGGATTAATGAAAATGATGCTAGACATTATGGTAGACAGTTTTTAATGTCTTTTAGCTGTCTAGATGTCTAGATATGTCTAGGTATGTCTAGATATGTCTAGGGTAATGTCTAGATACTCAGTTAGTCAGCTGAATATCTTCAAATTTTCAATCTAAACTGTAAACAATCAACTAAAAAGAGAAAAAGCTTGAAAACTATGAAAGCTATGAAAGCTATATTCATATTCAAAACTATATTCTAAATAAGCTATATTCATTCTCAATCAATTTCTCAATCAATTGCTCGAACCAATCGATGAATGATGTCTTATGAGTGGAAAAAAAAGGATAAGAATATTAAGAAAGGAGTTTCTTTTATCTCTAAATCTCCCTTGGTATTCTTAAAGAAAAAGCACTTCTCACTAAAGCTATTGGGGGAAAAGGCCCACGCATATCCTTGAGAACTGTGTCCCTTTTTTCTTTTCTAGAAAATCTTTTCCGTTCTCTCTTTTTTTTATTTCGGAAAAGGTCGATTCGAGAGGTGCACATACAAAAATTTGAAGAAAAGAAGAAGAAGAAGAAGAAGAAGAAGAAGAAGAAGGAGAAGAAGAAGGAGAAGAAGAAAGAATGAAGAGAAACTGGGAAAGTAGGATCTCCTATCGCATCTCTCCACTCACACTTTTCACCCGCTAAACTCATCACCCTAAGTTTCTTGAGAATTTGTGTTTTTTTTTAGGAAAAATGAGGGATTGGCTAGAAAATTGATTGTCAATTAACATTTCAAAGAATTAAATATCTTTCATGGAGAAGTAAAATCGTTTTCTCTTTGTCGATCGATCGATTCATGTCGTTGACTACTTTTTTTGACCTTGATCCTTCAGAATCTAGTTTTGAACTTTTACAAATATGATTTAATAGTATTTTATTTAATAGTAGTGCACCCTAAGCGTCGTCTAAATTGATCGAAATCTCGAGAACCGCTTATCGGAACCTATCGATGTGGGGTCGGAAAATGTAGCTCACGATGAGATCTAGTGAGGGATTAGAGTGTTGAGCTTCTGTGAAGAACTTGGAAACCGTAAAATAGTGATCAACTCGGCTCGCCGGGGTCACCACTATTAGAGAAAATACGGCAATAGTATTTTAAGAAGTTTAGCGGTGAAAACTTCCATCATTTTCTTGAAAAGAAATTGGGAATTGACATGTTTCTGTAATCATCTAGAAAACCTGAAAAGTTCTGAAGAAAAAAGAAAAAAGAAAAATCGATTAGTCAAGAATTTGAAAAATTAAAATCAAATCATTTTGTTTACAAATCTTTAGATGATAAACTATTTGACTTGTTCAAAATCTTTAATTTATAATTTTAAAAGAAAAACTATTATGGCTTAGTTTTTTTAATAAAATCAAAAAAAACTAAACCATTCTTCGAACAAAAAACCCACTCAAACAAACCTTTGAACAAAAAACAAATCATAAGATAAATCTGAACTAATATTTGTGCAAAAACTTTGAAAACCTCAAGCCATGCATTGTCCTACCGAAGAACTCTCATTCTCTTCATTGATCTTTTTTAGAAGAAATCTCTAAAGGAATCAAATTTGGTAGATAAGATCTCATTGATCTACATCAGCAGATCAACAGATCTACATCATCAGCAGATCGGCAGATCTACATCATCAGCATCAGCAGATCTATATCATCGGCATCAGCAGATCTACATCATCAGCATCAGCAGATCAGCAGATCTACATCATCAGCAGACGAGCAGATCTACATCAACAGATCAGCAGATCTACATCATCAGCAGACCAGCAGATCTACATCAAACAAACAGAACCCCCCCCCAGGGAACCGGCGAACCACCCCCCCCCCCCGGGGGAACCCACCCAAAAAAACAGGGGAACCAAACCCCCAGGACCCCAGGACCTCCACCCCGGCAGATCAGCAGATCTACATCATCATAACTACATGATCAGCATCAGCAGATCTACATCAACTAATTCGATTCGATTCTTTGTGAGTTAGAAATAAGAAAAAAACAACAATCAAGTCTTAAACTACAAATTCGAAACTTTTCTCGAAACTTCTATTAGATTTTCTATTTCACAATGTGATAAAGAGTGTTTAAAACTGTTTTTTAAAGCCAAGTAAAAACTGTGAATCTTCAAGTATCATTTTAAGCCATCAGTTAACATTGGTGTTGGTGATTGTGCGATCGAAAGCGATAAATCTAATAATTTTTACATTCGACGATGAAGAACCGAGTGATCCATTGGATAATCTTCTCAATGCTCGCCTTTCTTCTTCTTCTTTTCTCAATCTTTCCGCTTCCGGGGTATCATAGTCGATAATTTCCTTGAAAGGGATTGAGCTTTGAGAAATTGAGAAATTCTTTTTGTTTACCTTGAGAAATGTTTTCTTTGCCTCGCCTTGGGGAAGTTTTCTGAGGATGAACGCGTGGATATGGGAGAGGCCTCTGGAGATGTGCAAATGATCACAATCATTTCAATTATCAGAATTATCAAAATGATTAGGGAAATTAAGGAGAAAAATAAAAACTAGCTTATTTATTTAAATATTCTTAAATCTAGCTTTTTTACAATAATATAATTATATCATTTCAAGTACGAGAACAAGAAAACAATATATAGTCAAGTTTTGAATACTAGATTTTCGATCTAGGTTGATCTGGGTCGATCTAGGTCGATCTAGGTTGATCTAGGTCGATCTAGGTTGATCTAGGTCGATCTAGGTTGATCTAGGTCGATCTAGGTTGATCTAGGTCGATCTAGGTTGATCTAGGTTGATCTAGGTCGATCTAGGTCGATCTAGGTTGATCTAGGTTGATCTGGGTCGATCTAAGTCGATCTAGATCGATCTAGGTCAATCTAGGTCGATCTAGGTCGATCTAGGTCGATCTAGGTTGATCTAGGTTGATCTAGGACCTCAGGTCAGGCTTTGATTGGTTAAACCTAAAGTTTACGATCTGAACTAGTCTTCTACAGTCTTCTACAGTACTCTACAGTACTTTTACAGTATCCTACAGTCTTCTACAGTACTTTTACAGTACCATATCTCAGTATCAATACAGTTTTTTCTTGTGCTCTTTGTACTCAAGTTCTCTTGACACGAAATCGTTTCAAATCACAAAGTACACTAAAGAGCAAGTTCTTTTAGAAGTGAAAAGAATGAGCTTAAAGATGCAAAGATCGAAAAAAAAAAAGCAAACCTATTCGGTGGCAACGATGGTCGCCTCGGTTGCTGCACATTTTTTTGTGCGCTAATTGGTGGCCATCCATTTGCATTTGCATTGTTTTTTTGCAATCCTCTACTTGATCCAATCGAATTGAGTCTAGGCAAGGGCAAAGAATCAGCTCTTGGATGTCCGATAAAGTTCGAGAATCGATCACATTTTTGATTTGTTTCCTCTCGGGCCTCTCCGTTGCAGAGGCCGATTTGAGAATCAAAAGATGGAGAATCTCGATTGGGAATCGTGGGGTACATCCTTGATTTGGAGAAATTGGATTTGGATCTTTTCACTTCAACAATCAATCGATTTTCTGATGGTTGAAAGGCTAAAGGAAACAAAATGAATTCAGAAATAGAAGCTCGGAAAGCTTGATGTTTGGAAAAGAATAGAGTTTATGAGGTTTTCAGAAAAAAACGTTTCAGAATTGTACAACTTTTTTTAAAGTTAGAAAGTAAATAAAGTAAACTATTAGGTAAATTGTAAAAGAAACTGCGGATTACTTCCGAGGATCAAAGTTTTTTTTTATGCCTGAGTGCAGTAGTATTGTCACTGGCATTGTATCAATTACCAGTAAAGTACCAATAGCAATACATTACTTTAACAGTACCACTAAAGATTACACTACTTCAGTACTCCATTACTAGTCTAAAACTAAACTATACATATAAGAAGATCAAAAATTTAAATCACAAAATGAAAAGAAAGATTCATCTTTAAAAGATCATCTTTAAAAGATCATCTTTAAAAGATCAATTTTAAAAGATCATCTTTATAAGATCATCTTTATAAGATCATCTTTATAAGATCATCTTTATAAGATCATCTTTAAAAGATTCATCTTTAAAAGATTCATCTTTAAAAGATTCATCTTTAAAAGATTCATCTTTATAAGATCATCTTTATAAGATCATCTTTAAAACATCATCGTTGTTCTATAAAATCAAAAGCTAGTAAAAGAAAGTGATCAAATATCAGAAGAGAAAAAAAAGGATCGGAATGGCGAGTGTTTCAAGGGATAACATGAAAAAAAAGGGATCTTGGGAAAGGAGATGTGTATTTGACCTGTCGATTTCGAGTGAAAAAAATCGAGGAAAGTGTTGAAGAAGACTTTGCGTGTGCCGCTTCTCTCTTGGCTTTTTCTTTCCTCACCGATTTGTGAAAAATTTGTGTGTTGAGATCTTCTCCACGAATCGCTTTAGTCGAGAGATTTTTTTTCACGCTTTTTCGAGACATTTTGCATGATTTTTCTGGGTGGTCGTTGGAAAACAGCACAAAATTTTGGGAATACACAACGCCGAATTTTGAAATTGTTCAAAAGAGAATTGTTGAAATTGTTCAAACGTTCAAACGAGAACAAATGGCAATTAAGTTAAGCTTAAGTTAAGATGACAGAAGTCACATCTTGCTTGCTCTCGTTGAACACGTCAGTTCTTTTGTGGGTTGAATCTGGGAATACAAAACATGATCGACGCCGGGCGAACGCTCTGCCAATGAGCTACAGCTAGACGTAGCCCATTGCCGCCAGAGTAGAGCCTTATGCCTTATTCTAGATCTAAATCTGAAGTGGATTCTAGAGCAGCTTGTCGTGGGTCAGTGAAATAAACTGTAAACTCATCAACCATCAAACGTCTAACAACAGTGCTGTTCAAACAGAGTCCTAGAGCCGAGATAACAGACAGTCAGAACCTAGATCTTGACGTGACATTTCAACTGGACCCTACGTTAGTCAGATTAGGCCTGTCCAGTCCTGTCCAGAGGCCAGATTAGCTGACCTGGCTTCTAAATTCGAGACTAACTTCTATTTTTTCTAAATAAATCCGAGACTTTTCTGACCCAGATTTGCATTTTTGTACATAAAAGCTTTCCCTAGGCTAACCGGCTATTTCTCTTTAGAAATAGTCAGTTCATCATGTTGATCTATCATCTGTAAGCAAACGATAACCAATTGCTGTAATGGGAATCTTGAAACATTTTGAAAACTTTAATCCAATCTTTTTAATCCAATCCAATCCAATCCAATCTCTGTACTTTACTGAGAACTTTAAGAAATCAATCTAAAGGAAAAACTTTAAGAAATCAATCTAAAGTAAAAACTGTAAGTTCTAAAAACTCTAAAGCGTGGATCATTTTAATCTTTCTCGTTAGTTTTTGAAAGTTAGCTTCTCATCACTCAATTAGTATTATTTATGTTCTAAAATGCATGCAAGAATTTCTTTTAAAGTTTCATCATGAATTACATGTTAAATGTTTTTCCAGAAAATTTTCCAGAATTACATGTTAAATGGGTGTGAATGGAGTGCATTGAGAATAAGAAAAACGAAGAAAAACGAAGAAAAAGAAAAGAAAAAGAAGATGAAATGCGATAAACAGAACACTTCTCTCTCTCTCTCTCTCAATTTAGATGAAAAGAACAGTACGGTTCCTTTTGAACAGATTTTTCAAGGTAAGTGAAATGTTTGAATGTTTACACATCCCTTCACACATTCGAGAACTTGTGAGTACAAGATTTCCCGAAAATCTCACTTTTTCACTTTTATCCGATTCTTTACTAAGAAACTTGAGAAAAGAAAGTTAAAGACAAAAAATATAAATTATTTTAAAAAGATTAGAACTAAAATTGATGATTAGATATTGATTTCATTGTTGTTTCTTTTCAATTTACATGTGTCAATCAATTTCAATTCACTCACCTCATCATCGGCTGCGGGACGGGAGCCGGCACGATTCTAAAAAGTTAAATAAATCTATTCATTTGATAGATAACCATTATTATCCTATATTTCCATAAATTCAGAAATTTCATGATTAAAGTCAATGCTTATCGGAAATTTGATCCCGCTCCTTTTCCCATTAGCAATCTAACTTTGTGCTTAAATATCTCTGTGTTGAGTTGTTCAATTTCAATATTCTTGATATCATTAGATACGTCAAGTCTTTCTCTATCAATTGGTACAAAAATTGAACAGCCTAACATCAAGAAATTTGAGTTTAAAGTTGGATTGCTAATGAGAAAGGGATGGAGCCGATTAAATGTCCCACAATCCGTCAATGTAGGAGATTGAATTTAGAAATGGAACAAGACTAATTGTGGATAGCTAAGCTATAAGTATAGCTGATCTTTGGTATCTTTTATTGTTACTAATATTTTGTTTTTCTTAACACCAACCGCATCAGGTCTGAGACTGCTTTCTCGGCTTGCCACTGGAGATTTCTTGCGATAAGCGGGACTCTAAAAGATTCAGATTGAAAAATTTCTAGCTTTTATAACTAATATTTTGTATGTAAATAGACTGAGTTCCTAATGAGATACCCAAGATCACAAAAAGTTTTTGAGGTACAGATAAAACTTGTTGTCATCCTTTCTTACTAATCCTTTCTTGATAGATAAAACTTACGGGACTTTTCCTGCTTTTCGCATAGTTACTCTCATCTTCGGATTTAAGTTGCTAAATAACTTTGAAATTATATTTTGAAATTCTTAAACCTCTTCCTCATAATTATTCTTTTCATCTTCAAGATGAACAGCCGCTGAGCTCTCTCCATCACCGTATTCGGATCGAGCATAGCATTTGTAAACACCTAAATATCTCAACGAAGTTACAAAAGCTAAACAATAAATTTCAATGACAAACCAGTGAGATTTCTTGTCACATTGTTGATGGTCAACCGGGAATAACGGCCATCAAACGAGGTGATGTGATCTCGACTCGATCGAATCTCTGTTCCGTCTCTGAATGGAAACGTTTTTACTCATCAAATTTGAATTAGAAATAAAGTTATTTGCTAATTTCAAGAGACATAAGTGTCTATAAATATTCAGAAATATAAATATCAAAAGGCACACTCACTTGAACCAGCTGATCGTGGTCGATGTATGGCATTGCCACTCCACTTCCAGCGTCACTGAGCTACCAGAACGGACTGCCTAAAGAATTATTTGTTGAAAGGTATTCCTTCTCTTTCTTCCTTTCTCTTCCTCCATGTATTTCCTCTTACTCTCGGATAGCTCAATGGTTAGAGCAATTGCTCGAAAAGTAAAAAGGTCGATGGTTCAATCCACTCTCCGGAAATCTTTCTTGTATTTTTACACATGATTTCACATAATCAATCAACTTTACGTGTTCAACAACAAGAGCTATGCATTTTGCAAGCGTTTCATCATATTTCTATCTATTGCTCTTGTTTTTTGAAAGGAGGAAAAAACAAAAACAAGAAATCGGAGAAGAAAGGGAGGAAATGGGGGTGTGTAATGTGAAGGGTCTAGGCCAAGATCTCCGTCTCCAGGTACCCCCCAAGTCCCCCTCAAAAATCATTCATTTCTTTTCTCGCTCACCTCAATTTATCACCTTTGAACACCCGTTGCTTTCCTCTTTTTTTTTCAGCAAAAAATAGTCAAGAGAGATTGTTGTTCTTGCCTGCTGGGTTTTTACTGGTTTACTTTTGATAATTGGGCACTGAGCAAAGAATGTTTGAAACTAGCAACTAAAAGCTACAATCTGCTATCGTAATTTCACTATTTCATGTTACAACTCGTAAGTCAAAGACTTAGATCTAAAGGATTTTGAAAGTAAGAAGAATAATACAAGAAAACTTGATGATGACGCCAAATGAGCAAGTTAAGCGTTAAAATATTAAAATTGAAAAACCTTTGATGTAGCCGGCTCGACGACAACGGGCGCTCGTCGGAACTTCTCGCGCGCGTTATTCGGCAAATCGGTCAATGAGGAGTCTCTGAAAAAGAAACGATTGAAATAGTATAATAAATTAAAACAATCAATAAATAAACAATAAATACAATAAATAAATCAATGAATTTAGCATAAATACGATTTAGCATTCAGCTTATCTCGGGAATTGAAATGCAAATACAGTGCTGAAGTCTAACGGAAGAGTATTAAAATTATATAAAGATATATTTCAATCAGAAACAAAAAGAAACTTGTGATACTGACAAGAGACAGATGACTGAAGTGTGTTTTTCTAAGTAAAAGAAAAAAAGTCAAATTTGAGCCCATTAATACCCGTTTTTTTGCTCCCCGTAAATTGAATATCTTTACATTTAAAGGGAATTTCCTACCAAATCAATTAATCAACTGAATATCTTTACATTTGAGGGGAATTTCCCACCAAATCAATTAATCAATTGAATATCTTTAAAAGAAATCATATATAAGCTCTCTTCACTCACTTATTCACCGCTTCATCTTTCCTCGTCGTCGTCTCACGACCATAATTAGACGATTCATATTTTGACTCCTCAACTTCGGACTAAAAATTTTTAAGTATAAAAACTTACCGTAAATACTGTAATAGTACTCCACCCCCATAAAGACGGTGCGGAGTGTTGTGTAGTCTAGTTTTGAACGAGTTTTTCTCGACACTGGTTTATGCTATAATGCGCGTTTAAATATCAAAAAATAGCCCTGAATTTCAGCTATTTTTTGATACCAAAGACGCATTTTTCGAAAGTACGAGCGCTTTGAAAAAAAACGAAATACTAAAAAACTTTTGCGACTACGCGACTGTACGAGGGGAGTGGGGTACTATTACAGTATTTACGGTAAGTGCTAATTTAATGCTTATAAATGAATCACCTTTTGCGGGATATCCTCTAATCCGGGGCTCTTTGTGCGCTGTTTTTTCTCCTCAGCGGTGAGAGCTGACGTTGATCGTTCACGGACACGCTTTGATGAGCCTAAATACAATATTTAACAATATTTAGTTTTATTTAAGTGAAACCATTTTCCCCTTCAGCCAGCTTGCTACTGCCACGTCGCGTTTTTGCCTGATCGGGTGTCAACTCGTCGCCCATCACTGGCGTTGAAGTGCGAGAGCTAAAAATGGATAGATTGATGACTTTAAAGTTTACTTTTGATCATAGAAAACTAAGCAAATTTCTTATTGTTCAATAAACAGTAATGAAAGTCTATGATTATCGCAAGTTTGTCAACAACTCTGTATAAGTTTTGATCTTTAACTTACCGTGTGGTTTTCCCTGGAGACGCTTCTTTACTCTTGCTTCTTCTTTCTTTTCTCGGTGTTCCTTCTCGTTCACTTCCCGCTCTTTCTTTTTTCTTTTTACTTGGTGATCCAGGACGGGGAGAGGCTGATCTCTCCGATCGTCCTGATGGCGAACGTTCGGTCTTCTTCTAGAAATTTGGATTGATTGATCTAGATCTAGATTTAACAGAATTGATCTAGATCTAGAAAAATTCTGTTGCAAAATTCTGTTGCAAATCTTCTGGCTACAGTAAAACATTACAAAAGTCTTCGTTTTCAAATCTTACCCTTTTCTTTTTCTCCTCAGCTGGTGGTGGTTCCTCGTCGGGTTCTTCGAAGTTGAGCGCCAAATTTGCGTTTGTCTCTCCTTCAGCGTTCTTCAAAGTGCATCGATATTGGCCAGCATCCGAAGTGGATGGACCCTAATATTGTAAATTCCATTAAACCATTAAACTCTATTAAACTATTACTCACATGAATCTCAAGCTGGCAGAGATAGGTTTGCTCGCCGAGATCTTGAAAGAGCTCGTGAAATTGCGAGCCGGAAATGGGGATACCATCCTGGAATTGAAGATTTAGTTTTAAAGATTTAGAGATTGAAATTCTTCAAGCAAAAAATAGTAAGAATTACGTCCAAGTTCAAACTATTCAAAAACTACAAAGAGATTCATTCTACTTAAATAAAAATCAAATCAAATTCTGAAAGAATGACTTTTCAGTGGATTTAGTGGATGATATAAGCCAAGATTTTCTTCACTCACTACAAATGAGATTTCTATTGATTGAGCATTGGTCTAAGCGTTTGAAAGAGCTTGAATAGAGAGCTTTTTTCGGAGTTCCGAACTTGCCAACCTTGCTCCATTTAGCCGTTGGTGGGGTGGAGGATTTGACGCGACATTCCATCACAATTCTTGCTCCTCCATCCATTGGAATGATACGCGGTTTACCAACAAATGTCGGACCACGGGATTTCGGCTCTTCGCCACCTCCTGAAGTCAATTTCGATTAACTAATCCAGCGGCACCTATGGCCAAAGAGCCCTGTCTCCTAGTCCGAAGGTCAAGGGTTCAATCCCGACGCTGGATTAGAAGTTTCTTTTTTGTTTTTCTTCTTCCCTAGGGCTTAAGTGTTGTGCTTGTGTATTTTTTATACCAAATTATTCAAGTGAATAAATGTATTTTCTAATACATACCCAATAATCAAAAAATTAGTCTTTCCAATAAAATTCACCTGCAAAATTGAGGTTAATGTTGGCATTGCTTTCTCCGTGGGTATTTTTAGCCGTGCAACGATAGGCACCACCATCGCCAGCGTTTGGCTCCTGAAAAGTGATCGATTTGTCTTTGTGGTGGAGAAGAGACGGCTTTTCAAGTAGAAAGCTTTATTTCATTTAACTTTTATTTTACCTTAATGCTAAGGATAGCAATGAAAAGATTTCCGCCTTGTGGTTTCAACTCCTGTTCCACACGGGACGATGGGGACATTGGAGTGCCTAGAAAAAGAAGAAAATATTTCATTTTGATTGATTTGTTAGATTGATTTGTTATTTTTCACTCACCGGAATGTTGCCACACGATTTCAGGCTTGGGATCCGCCTCGAGCACACATTCCATCAACAAATCACCCTGGAAAAAAAGGAAAATTTTAAATTTAAACAATACTTGTTATATTTTGTATGTTTACTGAAATCTTTTCTTCAAAAGAAAAGAAAAAAAACTGACAATATGATTGAAACAATTTAGAATAAAAGATGCTTTTAATGATAACAACGTCGCTAGTTTTGATTGATTGATTGAAAATTGATTTCCTTTTGTTTTCTTAACTCTTTTTTTCTTAAACACTTCAAATCTGGTACTGAATTCAAAAAGTTGGGTACTTTTAAGCTCTCCAAGATTGCAAGAAAGTTGTTTTGCGGTTTTGCAAAAAATTTTGTAAGCTTATTTGAGCTCTTTCGAAGCTAATTCGAAGCTCTTTCAAAGCTAGTTCGAAGCTCTTTCGAAGCTCTTTCAAAGCTCTTTCAAAGCTCTTTCAAAGCTATTTCAAAGCTAGTTCGAAGCTATTTCAAAGCTCTTTCAAAGCTAGTTCGAAGCTCTTTCGAAGCTCTTTCAAAGCTCTTTCAAACCCAAGCTCTTTCAAAGCTAGTTCGAAGCTCTTTCGAAGCTCTTTCAAAGCTCTTTCAAAGCTCTTTCAAAGCTCTTTCAAAGCTAGTTCGAAGCTCTTTCGAAGCTCTTTCAAAGCTCTTTCGAATTCACCCTTTATCTCAAGTCTTCTTCACCTTCTCCAACTCTAAACGATTACTCAAACTTTGTTTCTTCATCCTCATTCATTTCCGACGCTTTTTTCAAATGAATAGCAAGTTTGCGATGGTTATTGAATTGGTCAATTGGTATAAAGTACTATGAATTGTTGTTTATTTAAATCATATCTAGAAAATCTAGTTTATGAGCGGCTTAAACTGATTATAATCTAATTAAGACCATATTTAGAAAGAAAATTTCGATTTTATAAGCCAAAATAGGTTTGATATGGAAAGATGACGTCAGAGTACTTCGTTTTTTTTTGTTGGTTAATGAATTTTTCAAGTTTCGATCTTTTTTTGTTGATTTTAGAGGCTTTGTTTCTTTATCTTCTATAAATTTCAAACCAATATCTTCATTTTTCCCTTAAAATCTCTTTTATTCATCGTTGGAAGAAGAGGAAAGGAAAGATGAAACAAGTGTTGGAAGAAGAAGAAAGGAAAGATCTCCAAGAATCACTTCTATTCAATTCCCTAAATTCCCTAAATTCCCTAAATTCCCTAAATTCCTTCTTCAATTGCACGTAAACCCCTTTCTCTAACAAAAACGAAACGGTTTTTGAAAACGAATGGATGAAACAAGTGTTGGAAGAAGAGGAAAGAAAAGGATAAGTTTGAGGGGGATTTGTTTCGAGAGAGTACAGCCACACTGTTTGTTTCTCCTTTTTTTTCATTTAGTGTTCCCCACCCCGACATCGATTTGTTCTTCTTTTCCTTGAAGACAAGCAAAGACTCAAACAGTTCTCATATCTTTTCTTAAAAAGCACAAAACTTTTTGGTAAATTTCTTGGAATTTTGCAAGAAATATGAGTCAGACTTTTTGGAGAGGTTTTGAAGAAATTTGGAGAGATTTTGAAGAAAAACAAATTGTTTAAATGGTTTTTTTTCTGTCATTTGATCAGAAGATTGTAGAAAATGAGATAAGGAATAAGGTAGATTGTATTACATTTAAACTTGGTGATCCAGGACGGGGAGAGGCTGATCTCTCCGATCGTCCTGATGGATAAGGAATAAGGTAGATTGTATTACAAAAAGCTGATTATCATTAGCTGCCTTTAAAGCCAATCAAGTTAATCATAAAGAATCGATTATCGCATAAAAATACTATACATTGCTATGTCATTTGATCAGAAGATTGTTTAAAATGAGACAAGATCATTGATTAAAAGAAAACTGGAACATTTCTCTACATAAAACTCTTATTGAATCAAAAATTTAATCAAAATCGTAAGATATTTTGATTTTTTTTGTGAAAATAGCTTTAAGAATCCTTATCATAAAGTGTTTTTTTTTTTTTGATAAAAACTTTTTAAAATTCTATTTATAATCTTTAAATTTTCTTTTTTCAAACAACAACAAGAAAGCCTTTTGTTTTCTTTTTTTGGATTAGCAAATCATTGATTAAAAAGAAAGCTAGAACTCTTTGATTAGCTCTTTGATTGACAACAATTCACAGTCTTTATATATGTTGTGTTCGATTTAGATTTTCGTCCGATTTAGATTACAGTCTAGATCGGACGTCCAATTTAGATTCAATCTAAATCTTATATAGATTGAACAATAATATAAACATGCTTAATGTATGTTCTTAAGCGTTTTCTGTAGTTTTCTGCATTTTTTCAAAGGTCTTTTATTGATTACAGTCTATATCGGACGTCCGATACAGATCGAACAATAATAAACGTGCTAAATATATGTTCTTACGCTTAAGAACATCTATTAAGCATGTTTATATTATTGTTCAATCTATATAAGATTTAGATTCAATCTAAATCGAACGGAAATCTAAATCGGACACAACATATATAAAGATACTTTATTCAGGACCTGAGATTTGAGATTTACTTTATTCAGGACCTAAAGTGCGCTAGATTTAAGATTAAAACACATGAATTCATACAAATAACACAAAAAGATAGATAAAAAAGGGCCGATAAAAAGCAACACGATATAATATACCGTATTTTCTGTAATAGTAGTGCAGGCAGGAGAGGGCGGTTGAAAAAATTTTTTTGATTTTCGGCGCCGACTCATTCTCCCCAACCCAATACACATAACACGAAAAGGGTCGATTAAAAAGAAACACGATATAATATCTGTAACGTAGCACAGATGCTGGGTAGCACAGATGCTGGGTAGCACAGATGCTGGGTAGCACAGATGCTGGGTAGCACAGATGCTGGGTAGCACAGATAACGTCAAGGATCCACTAGAGCTTCAAGATCAAGATCATCTACAGATAGTATATGGAATATATGGGTAGTACATAGAACGTCAAGGATCCACTAGAGCTTCAAGATCCAAGATCAAGATCATCTACAGATGATTTAAGAGTTTCCAGACTATTGGACTCTCTCAAAACTCTGGGGAATCGATTCCAAATTCTGGAATTCTGGCAGTTCTTATTGGAAAAGAGTTAAACGCAAACTTATTGAAGGTGACTGGAATTTCTAAAAGAATTTCTAAAGCCAAGAATTTCTAACGAAAGAACCTCTCCTTGAACTAACCGTGGGATTAACTTTGAATAAATCTCGAAAAAGAGGGATAGGTTGGCTGCCATTTACAATTTTCAAACATTCTATTAAATCCGTGACCAATCGGCAGTGTCTAAGAGATTTAAGATCAAAAATTTAGAGTCTATCTGTGTCTATCTTTGCAACTAAAGTATGCAAAATTTGCAAAATTGCAAAATTGCAAAATTGCAAAATGCAAAATGCAATTTCTCTCTTTTTAACTAAACAATTGACTTTTCAATGTTCAAATTTCTCTTTCAACTTCTCAATTAACATTTTTAACTCAATTAACAATTAACATCTCTTTCAACTTCTCAATTAACATCATTAACATTTTCACTTTTACATAGCTTTTTTAAGGCAAAAGCTCTTGATCTTAAAATCTCACACCTTTAAGGAGAAAAGATCTCTTTCCCTTCCTTTCACTCCTTCAAAAATGTCATCCAACCTATCATCCAACCTCTCATCCAACCTATCATCACCAATCATTTTTTCTCTCTCTCTCCTTTTCCCTACCAACATCATTTTTCATTTTTGTGATTTCAAAAAGCAAAGCAAGAAGAAAGAAAAGTTTGAGTTTGAAAATGAATCTAGCATTAATGTGAAACTCTGTTTTGTCTAAAATTATGACTGGAACAAACTTTTTCAAGTTTTATAGCTTTGTTGCTAGTTTTGTTGCTAGCTTTGTTGCTAGCTTTGTTGCTAGTTTTGTTGCTAGTTTTGTTGCTAGCTTTGTTGCTAGTTTTGTTGCTAGTTTTCTTAACCATTTCTTGTATTATAAAGTTCAAATCTTGGAAATAAAGAATCAGATGAAGCTCGAGCAAATCTGAAGCCTCTTCTCTCATATCAAGTCAAGTCAAGCCTCTTCTCCCTTATCCCAGATTTATCTGTACGGTTTACAATGATCGATCAAGTCCATAGCTTTGTCTAGAGGTGCTAGTTTTGTTAACTATTTCTATAGTTTTATAAAGGACACCTTAGACTTTTGAATGATACCAAATAGAGGTTGGTTTGACTAGACAATTCAAAGAAAACGCAATCTGTCTCCTTTGGCTTTAACTGGAGAAAGTCAATATCATTGATTTTATTTATGTAAATTTAAATTGTAAATTATTTCCCCGGTCTTCTTGCCTCAAAAATCTCAAAAGTGTAGGCAAAAGGATCTCGATCTTGAGGGAAAGAGAAGGAAGAGAAGAAGAGAGAAAGGAGAGAAAGAAGAGAGAAGAAGAGAAAGAAGAGAGAAAGAAGAGAGAAGAAGAGAAAAGAAATGCAATCAATGTGTCCTCTTTTTTTCCTCTGCTCAATAGTTTCTGCTCAATCGTTTTCGCATTCTTTTGTGTCCCATTTTTAAGAGAAAAAGGATGGACCTTTTCTCCCTGAAGGCTTAGCTTTTTCAAGCAGTTTACAGTAGAGTGAGATGGAGGATAGAAATTGTGAAAGGAAAAGGGGAAAAAGGAAAGAGTGATGAGGAAAGGGATTGCAAGAGAGAAGAAGAAACAATCATCATCGACAATAAAGAAAGAATGCAAGGATCTTTCCGAGATAAACACTAGGCAATAGGTAATTTCGGGAATTTGTGGAATTTCATCGAAAACCTAGATTAGCTCATTCTTTACCCAAAGATTACCAAAGCTAAGCAACGTTTTAATCTCATTTTTCTCAGTTACCGAAATCATCTGAAAGCTTAGAGTCTAAGCCTTAGACCAATTAAACCCGATTTTCAGTTGGTAGACAATGATCCGCTGACCAGTTGATAGACAGAGCTCTGATCTGCTGACCCCGAAAATCCCTGGGTAAAAAGCTGAATATCTTTTTGTTTCATCCACAAAGTCAAAAAGAAATCCTTATGTAAATGATTGATGATGTGTCCTGATTTGAGCTGATTTGAAATGAATTGACTTGCTGACGCTTTCCGTCTAGCATATCCTCCCGATAGATACCGTAAATACTGTAATAGTACCCCACTCCCTCGTACAGTCGCGTAGTCGCAAAAGTTTTTTAGTATTTCAATTTTTTCAAAGCGCCCGTACTTCCAAAAATGCATCTTTGGCATCAAAAAATAGCCTTGAATTTCAGCTATTTTTGATACTTAAACGCGCATTGTAGCATAAACCAGTGTCGAGAAAAACTCGTTCAAAGCTAGACTACGCAACACTCCGCACCGTCATTATGGGGATGGGGTACTATTACAGTATTTAGGTGTTCCTTTTTGGAACCCGTAAAGGGGAAAGAGCGGTAAGTGACTGAGCTGATTTCACTGCTTTGGGCATCACTATGGGATCAATTTTGGGATCAATTTTTGCCTCAAATTTCTCTTTATTTTTGTTGATCGTTGATTGAAAGAATAATAAAATAAGCGTGATTTTTCAGTTCTAATTGATTACCTAATATTATATTTAGGTTGACAATATTATATTTAGGTTGACAGATGTACCGCCCCAGCCAAACTCCCCGCCTGAAGCTGCCTTCGGTTTTAGCAGAACACATTCTTTGACTTCTTATTTTCATTCTTATTTCCATTCTTGTTCTCATTCTTATTCTCATTCTTATTCTCATTCTTATTCTCATTCTTATCATTCTTATTCTCATTCTTATTTTCATTCTTATTCTTCTTCACCCCTAGCTCAGTCTAAGAGAAATCTCATCGAGAAGAGGTGAATTGGGGTGGGAAAATGAGAGTAGTAAATAGGAGAAAGGGGGGATAAAGAGAGAATAAATGAAGGAGAAAAGAGATATCAAAGAGACTGTTTGCCATTCAATGATCGGTCGATGAAAAGAGAATGGAAAGGCAAGAAATGCAAGATCTTTCAGACAGAGATCTTTCAGTTGCCAAGATCTCTGTCTGTTCTCGAATCGATTTTCTAATTCAACGTGAGTCTAGATCGATTTGCGAGCATTTACGAGTAAAAAAAACAAAAAAAAGAGCTTTGTCTTCTTTTTTAGAACTTGACTTCTTGACTTCTTGACATAAATTTTTATAGATTCGAGTAGATCCAAGTTTCAGAGATATCGAAATCACAATTGAATCTGGTTTTATCTTTTCCGTCAAATTTGTAGCACAAATCCTTGTTGCTGCTACTGGTTTGATCTATGAATGCTTTTCTTGGTAAACTTTTAACTTTAAAAGCTAGAGTAGAGTTGGGGATTGAGCCATTTGATGGGATTTTATCTTTTCCGTTTTATCTTTCCTTAAAACCTTTCAGCTTCATTGTTTTTTTTTTCATAAATACAAAATGTAACAGTTGAAGCTGTGAATAGCTTTCACTAGCTATTTTTCTGATTGATTTTCTGATTGATTCAAAATCAGCCTCATCCTTTTTCTCAGCTAGATCTTGAGCTTCAATTTTCGAGAATACATTCAAATCAGAGGCTTGTAAACGCACCCTTTCTAGCGCACTAGATTCCCCAAAGGTAAAGCTTTTTAGACTTAAACTTGATAAGCGTTTAATCGATCAAAGATCAATTGAGGTATTCTGGACAGTCCGGACAAAAAATTAAATACATCTTTTACATAAAAGTCTTATTTTAATTGAAAAGTAAACCTAGTAAAAAGTAAAAGTAAAATCAATAAAATGAGCCAAGTGTGAATTAAAAGCTAACAAATCTCTTTCAAGATAAATAAGGTAAAAGTTTAAATTCTTAAGTTGAATTTGATTGCTTCCATCATGTGAGCATGCGTTTAATCATCAAATCAAATCAAATTTGTAGCACAAATCCTTGTTGCTGCTATTGGTTTTGATCTATCAATGCTTTTCTTTGTAAACTTTTCTTGGTAACTTTAAAAAAGCTAGAGTAGAGATGGGGATTGAGCCATTTGATGGGATGCATATGGAGGAAATTTCAACATCAAAAAGAAGACAAGAAAAAGAAGAAAAAGAAGAGCCGTTCTAACCACAAAAAAAAGACGAGTTTTCCGTTTTTATTACAGTCGTTTTGAAAAAGAAACGACAAAGAATAACTAAGGAAAAGAATTGAGTAAAAGAGTCAAAAGAAGTTGCACGAATTGAATGGATTGAAAGTAAAGCAAAGCAAAGCAAGGCAAAGCAAAGCAAAGCAAAGCAAGGCAAAGCAAAGAAAAGCAAAGAAAAGCAAAGAAAAGCAAAGCAAGGCAAAGCAAAGAAAAGCAAACAAAAGAAAAGCAAAGCAAAGAAAAGCAAAGCAAAGCAAAGAAAAGCAAGGCAAAGCAAAGAAAAGCAAAGCAAAGAAAACAATAAAATCTGTAGCACTTGGCTGATATTTTTGCTCAAAATTGTAAATGTACCCTTTCTAGCGCACTAGATCTTTACAGAAATCTTACAGAGATTCCAGTGCACTAGAAAGGGTGCATTTACAGCGCAAAGTAAACGAATCCTTTTTTTTTGTTCAGACTCACCGTAGGCGTCTGCTTGATGGAGGGTTTTTGCGTGAAACGCGGTGCTCCCGGCATCCTCCCTAGAAAAAAAAAAACGATTGATATAAATCTCTTTCACTTGAAGAACTCAAAAACTTCTCAGAAACTTTCATAGTTAATTTAAAGATTAGCTTTATAAACAAATCAAAGATTTGATTACAAATCAAAGATCTGTAAAGTTTATTAAAGAATTTGGTGATTCAACACGGCAAAAAGTGACTCACCAAATTCAAAATAAAGTCATTTTATTCGATTTTTGATTAGATTTTTGATTAGATTTTTGATTAGATTTTTGATTAGATTGTATTACCGTATTGTAGATTGTATTACCTATATGGTTATTTTAATTCCTATTTAGTTCTTATTTAGTTCCTATGTAGTTCCTTTATAGTTCCTATTTGGTTACTTTATAGTTCTTACTTAGTTCCTATTTGGTTATTGTATAGTTCTTACTTAGTTCCTATTTGGTAACTGTATAGTTCCTATTTAGTTCCTAGTTAGTTCCTATGTAGTTCCTTTATAGTTCCTATTTGGTTATTGTATAATTCCTATTTAATTCCTATTTAGTTCCTATATAGTTACTTTATAGTTCCTATTTAGTTCCTATTTGGTTACTTTATAGCTCCGAAAAATCTGTTAGCTCATGTGGTATTTTTGAGCCATTTTCCAGCTCTATAGCACTTGATTGAAAGCTTTTATGCAGAAAAGAAATTTTAAAAAGGGCTGCTACGCAGGAGTACGCGATGACACTCTTTACATTCACTCATTTACCCGGTCTTCTATTCGAAGAAATTCGGTATATTTTTGATTAGATTTAAGAAAATTACACTTATTTTAATATCCGCTCATTTATCAGTGAAGATTTTAAAGAGTTTAAACTCTTAAAACTTTTCAATAATCTAAAGCTGAAACTGTTGATGATAAACGAATCGCACGAAATTAGACTTATAACAAATAACAGACTTATAACAGACTTCTAACAAATAACAGACTTATAACAGACTTCTAACCAATTCAGAAGCCCTTTCAAATCGATATTCGTATCAATATTAGATACCATAAAGCATAGATTTTAAAAAAAGATTTCTCAAAAATCATTTCCTCATTTGAAGATACCTTTTGATGGTGTGCGGGGGATCCAACAAGGGCACCGATCGCCTCTCAAAGAGGTTTCTTTTCTTTAATATGAAAAAAAGGGACCCTGGTGAACGCTTTTCGAGACGAGCTAAAAAGAAAATTATAAAAATATAAGAAAAATAAACCCTCAAAAAGTAGATACAGAATAGTTTCAAAGAGATGGATAGTGAAAAAGAGAAATTTTTCACAAAAAAGACGTTTCATATTCGAAAATTACAAGAATTCGAAAGAAATTTTGGTTAAAAGAAGTGAGTTGTTGGTTTTAAGATTGAAAATTTAAAGGAAATCATTGTAAAGAATAGAAAAGAATAGAAAGAAAAAGATAGAGAAAAAGAAAAAGAAGAACTAAAGTATAATTGTTTCATTTTATGAAAAGAAATGATGGATATCCCTCGAATTCACAAAGTAGAAAAGCTAAATAACTTGGGGATTCATTTTCAGAATCTTTCTATCGTAAACAACGATTGAAAATTTACCATTATACTTTAGTTCTTTTCTATTTTATGAATCCGAATCAGGCACATCATTCGTTACTTAATAGTGACTAGAGCTAACAAATCAAAGTTAATGAAAGTTAATGAAAGTTATGATACTAGTTGCTTTTTTCAGTGATATCAGTTTTATTAAAGATCTCCACTCTATTTCAAAACTACTCAAAGTACTGTAAATTTTCATCGCCTTTTAGAGAAGGCATTAGTCGAAAGGAATGAACTCTAGTGGTGACAGTGACAGCCAAAAAAAGAAGTAGAAGTCAGTACCGGATGTTCGCAAAAATGGAATTTTCTAGAAAGAGAGAATACGAATCGATGCCTTCAGGGAAAAGGAAAGCGAGAGAGATCGTTTCCAGTATTCGGCTCGATATCGGCTTGTCGACGGGAGTGGGTCCAGGCTTGAAACTGAGAAAAGGGGAAAGGGGGAAAGTGCTGAAAAGTGTGGCCTGTGTTGAGGGAAAGTTTCATGAATCTAGGTAAGAAAGGGGTGATAGTTGAAAATGAGAGGATAGGGATTTTAGAGAATTTTTAGATTGGATGAGAGAGAGAGAGTTGTAGAGCTGTGGAAATCTCTAGATCAGTTAGAGATCTCTAGATCTTAAATCTCTGCGTCCTAGAGTCACAGAAAACGTTTAGAGAGTTGGGAATGAGTCGAGAAATGAAGCAAAAGACTGTTTAGCGGAAAGACACGGTAAAAGTTGCACGAAAAAAGTGGTAGAGTTGGAGAAAAAGGCGTCGAATCTATCTTAAAGAAGAGATAGCTGAAACTTGATTAGTTAGACGTTAAATAAAGAGGTGAAAAGATTGGGGCGGAGAGATGAAAAGGATGGAAAGGGACTTCTTCTCCGCCCACCCTCCCGTTTCTTTTTCCTCCTTTCTTTTTCCCCTTCTGCACAATGATCGCCTTGTCTTTCCCAATCCCCCTCAGGACCCAACCCCCTCGATTTTTTTTACTTGATGATCACCAAAAAGTGTGTGCCTTTTGCCTGATGCCTTTTGCCTTTTTGGCATGACGTATATAGTGAAATTTTGTGTCATTTTTTCGGGAACACCTGGGATCCGGTGAGGGGAAAGAAATGAGAAATGATCGTATTTCAAAATAATCTGAAAAGCGGAGAAGAGTTGGGGATTGTAAAGGGACTTTTAGATGAAAGTTAGTTAAGTTAATGTTAATGTTAATCAAAGTTAATCAAAGTTAATCAAAGTTATGATACTAACTGCTTTCTTTCAGTGATATCAGTTTTATTAAAGATCTCTTTTTTGTTTGTACTATATTTTTTTAAATATATCAACTACTTGTCTAGTTGTTTTGAAGTTTTCAATTTCCAATTTCACAGCTAAACTTTTCCCGATACGAATAGTACCGTACTAGTACCGTAGTTCACCGTACCACCAGTTTTATACAGTAATATCTTTCCGATAGACGTTTCTCTGATCTAACGATAGATCTAATGATTTTCTGATCTAATCGCTGAAGGTTTAAGTTTATTAAGACATTGAGAACTCAAGGAAAATCAAGAACATCAATGAAAATCAAATTCTGTACTGTTTTTTTTCAGTTTCATCTCTTAATCACCTTCCTACACCTTCCATCCAAATCCAAACTTCCCATAGCACTTCTCAAATCAGCACACTGCCATTTTCAATAAACAAATCGATATTCTGATAGGAGATCGCAAAAAAAGAGAGAGCTATTGCTCAAAGTCGGGAGTAGGAGGAGTTGCGTGCAAAACAGAGATGAGAAGCGAGGTTGGGCTCAAGGAAATAGCAATGATCAAGTAAAGGATGAGAAGAACAAGAGCAAGAACAAGAAAAAGATAGGTCTGATCTTTCGCTTTTCTCTTCATTTCATTCATTCATCCATTTCTTCACATTCTCTCCTCCTCCTCGAATCTGGTGGAGTCTCGCCAAAATCCATTGTAAAGCCATAGGGATGCCCCCTCCTCATCCTGCCCTTTATCCCCTTTCCCTTGTGGACATTCATTGACAACCTCCCGTTTCCTTTCCCCACCTCACTTGTCTTCGTCGAGAAAAGGAGAGAAGTATCCCGAAAAAAAATATCGAGCAACACACTGTGCCCGGCTTTGGTTGGAATGAGAGTGCTGATCTTTGTTAGGGGTAGATCATGAGCTGTGGGAAGGGGCTCGCCACTATCAAGCTTTAGATAGATAGTACAGGTATCGGGTTAGAATTTTTTGTATTCTTGTATTCTTAACTTTCACTATGCATATCAAATTTTACTGTAGATTTGTTTCCATGACAAGAACAGATTCAAGAAAGTCAAGAAAGTCAAGAAAGTCAAGAAAGTCAAGAAAGTCAAGAAAGTCAAGAAAGTCAAGAAAGTCAAGAAAGTCAAGAAAGTCAAGAAAGTCAAGAAAGTCAAGAAAGTCAAGAAAGTCAAGAAAGTCAAGAAAGTCAAGAAAGTCAAGAAAGTCAAGAAAGTCAAGAAAGTCAAGAAAGTCTAAGTACCGGAAGGCAAAGTCAAAAGTTTATATAGTATACTGGAGCATAAATGCTTTTTGTAGGGTTACTATATGTCAAAGTCGTCTATATTTACGACATTCACTCTACACAAAAACATCACTTGAATTTTATAATTTCCGGATATACATGTTGCGGCATAGTTACCGACTAAAGTTTTAGAAAAATCTATTTTTCTAAAAAACTTCACAATAAATGTTATTTATTATATACTATTTGAGAGCTCTAATTCTCAGCTATATTAGCTCACAAAGGGTTTTTTGATTGGAAAAATTTTCGGTTTTTTTAAGGCGACTCGAGAGGACCGCACAGCCCTCCCCTCGGCGCGCTACCATTTTTCTTGGTGTTCTAGATAAGAATCCTCTCCCTGAAGAATCCTTCCTCAACGATAAATTTGCGCATATTTTATCAAGATAAATTTATTTCAATGGTTTTCCACAAAAATGATAGGTTAAAAATGTTTTGATCACCAATCTTTGAGGCCTCAACATGCGGTTTTTCTCCCTTCTCCACAATGAGTGCCTTGGCGCAGAGCGAGAAACTTTTTTGAGCTAGAAGTCACCTCTATTCCGTCAAGCTTGCTTTGTTCTGAATTAATAAACTCGTTAAAACTTTATTCAACTAAAAACAACCCCTTTTGAAACTCTCTTTGCCTTTGCAGCCAAGAAAAATGGTCGCGCGCCGAGGAGTGTTTGCTGTGCGCCCCTTCAGAGTCGCCTTAAGGATGCGAAAGTTTTTCCAATCAAAAAACCCTTTGTGAGTTAATATAGCTGAGAATTAGAGCTTTCAAACAGTATATAATACATAACATTTATTATGAAGTTTTTTAGAAAACTATATTTTTCTAAAAACTTTGGTCAGTAATTATGCCACACCCTGTAATTTGGGACACACCAAGTGGTCTGTAAATTTGCTTGCCTGGTGGCAGTCATCTAAAAACATGCTTTCCCAATAAATTTCCAATCCACAAAAACTTTTATTGGCAATGTTAGTCAGTAATACTGTAACACTGTTCCCAAACAGGTTAAAAACTAAAACTTAAGAGAATGATACAAGAAAGTAGAAACAAAGTAAAAGCTCACAAATGCAAAAAAATTCATGAAAGATTTAACAAGAGAGAGATTTAAGGTCATAAAAGAATACTCTTAAAAGTTGGTCATGGAATGGTAAAAGACAGAAAAGACATTGACAAAAATCTAAAGCTACAAACCATTATCTAATCCTCTAAAGAGACGTACACTATCCAAAAAAGCTAAGGCAAAATAAGGGATTTGATTAAAAATGGTAAGTCAACAAAACGAAATGCAGTAAAACAAAAGTGAGATAGGCGAGTGGTGAATTTATTCGGCATTTTTTGGTTCACTGAGTGGCTCCATCTCTTGTTCAACGGGAGTTCCCTCGATCTCTGAAATAAAAGGTCATTTTCATAAAAATTAGAATCCAAGTAAGCTCATTTCATTGTGACAAAGCTGATACAAGAAATTTGATTGCAAGAGCAAAAAATTTAAGCAAATTGAAACTCTTATAGCAAATTTGCCTAACTCTAATATCTTTGTTGATCTTTTTTGGTTGTTTGCAACAACGATTGTCCTGAAAACGTATTTAGATTGCTTTCGCCGGATGCAAGCCTAACAAGTCCTAGAGACTTTAAAACTCAAAGTTATTTACCTTGAATCGTTTCCGGTAAATGCTTGCTCATCGTTTCGGGGGAGGAAGAACCATGTGACGAGACAGGCCGACAATGCCAATACGCTGAATGGGATGAGCATCGCGATCTTCCCGAATTTTTCCACAATCCACATTGAAATGAACGAGGCCGAGATAGCACCAACACGAGCAATTGTCGAACAGTAGCCCATCGCCGTGTTACGAACCTAAATTTGAAAATTACAAGATAAAATACTACCCAATATTGCATTAAAAGAACTGACCACTGTAGGAAAGATCTCTGGAGTGAATGTGTAAATCGAGGCGTAGACGGCAGTGATTGAACCCTTTACAATCATAAGCTGAGCAATCGACATCCATTGATTTACTAAAAATAATTTGAAACACTAATTTTTGCCAAACATACACTCTGGCAGGAAAATATTGGCCAATAGGACGATTCCCGGAATTGCGAATCCTCCTGCAAGCACTGGTCGACGACCTAAAAATGAAAAATTTCTATTTTTGCAAAGACTTTTGCCTTTGCGTATTTAATAAGTTTCATTAAAAGAACCAAAGTGCATGCTCACCTATCCGATCGATCAAAAGATAGACGATAACCAAAGCTGGCATTTCGATAAGCGCTCCTAAAATATTTTAAATAGATCAAAGACTAAACTAAATAACCAACCCATAATAAAGCTCACATAAAGATCGCCTCCAAGTACGTCGGGCTTCATGCCGAAGCCGTAGTAGATCATCGATACCACTGGCCTAAATGAAGAATTATTAAAGTTACCAAGGTAATGGTTAACTAGATGAAATAAAAAATACCATAAAAAGAAAACAGCTAGTGTTCTTCGTCGCATTTTCGGAGTCGCAATAAGATCCTGAAAAATAAAAAAATGAAATTTAAAGTTAAAGCAAATAGCCTACCATCGTTGAGTATTTTTTCGTTGTGCCATCTTTCTTCGCTCCTTGATCTTGGTCCAGTTGTTCCCACCTAAAATATTTCTTATTGGTGTTCATTTTATTATGCGTGCAGTTACTAAACACACCATTTATCGGGCAGAGTGACTCCGTTCATCTTGGCGGCCTTTTGTAGAACTTTGTCCGCTTCGTCCCATCGTTGCAACGAAACCAACCATCGCGCACTTTCCGGGACCAACCTGGATGCATTACTTTTTGGCTTCTTCAAAATCTAATACTTACCACCAATACGTTAGAAAAATGACACCAGGTGCCGAGATAACCACATGAAGCCATTGGAAGTCCGTGATGTAATAGGCTGCACCACCCAAAATTACCTAAATGACAAATGATTTGACAACTTGGTAAATGTGGCATTTGCAACAAACGGTCAACAGCTTTTACAAACCTGTCCAAGCGCGTAGAAAATCCCTGAAATGACACCGGCCAACTTTCGATACGACGGTCCCACTAGCTCCATTCCGATGATCACCGCAATAACAAAGATACCCGGATGAGCAAAGCCGGTGGCAGCTCTGAAAAGAAAAATTACTCTTCATACGAGGGTAAGCAAGAAGTATCACACCAATTTATAGCTTATAAGTCATCAAACTGACGTGTTAAACGCAAGAATCGCAAAAATTACCGGAAAATGACGTACATCCACCAAACAGGCACAATCGACTGCATCATTCCTGCAATCATTTGCAAGATGATTGCGATAAAGAAGACTTTTTTTCGGCCAATCCTAGGAAAAAAAATGAATATGCCTGGAAGTGCTAAACTTACTTATCACCGAGGATTCCAAAAACGATGCTCCCCGCCATTTGTCCAGCATAATAACCGGCTTGAACGACTGCTTTCAAGTAATGTCGATCACAGACGATATCCCACTAAAATTTGTCTATTAAAACCCATTGTTTATTTTATTCGACTCTAACAACAAACTGTTTACCTTTTCTTGTGCGGTGAGGCTCATTTGTGAATGATCGAAGACATAGCCCGTACAAGTGTCGTTCCCGATTGAACACTTCACATAATTGCATTTAACATCCGGTTGGCCTCGATCCGATTCGTTTACTTTCGTCTTTGTTTTCTAAAGCAAAAAATAGACTAAAACTTCTATTAAATTTTCTACCAAAGCGAGCAAATTGCTTACCGTGTTCCAACAATCTTCAAGGTTTTCGTCAATGAGCTTGCTGGTTGTCCAATAGTTGGCCGTTCGAGAATCCGTTTCGGTTGGGAGAGCGCATCTAAAAAAAGCAATGTTGGTTGAAATCTATAAAAACTTCTATATTCTGATTAAAGTGCTTCAACCCCAAACAATTAGCTGACCTATATGGCGTGTTGTGGGCGGCAAAGGTCCAGCTGAAGGCGTGTAAGGCACAGAGCATTGTCGGGATTGTCACCAGCAGAAACTGCACTTTCTGGTACCTAAACAAAAAATGTATTGGAGTTTAATTCTTTATATTGATAGTTCTCTGAATTGGTAATATTCACAAAATTTGTATTAACATGGCTAAAAGCAAAAATGGCAAGTTTTCAAATTGAATATTAATTGAAGCTTGAAAGCTTTCAGATTACGCTGAATCAATGAAACTCTTAAAACAATAAAGAGTCAAACATTTTCAAAACTTTAGTCTAACTATAAAAAGTTTAAAAAACATACCTGCCCATTTCGCCAAGATGGCTGAAGAGGAACTCGTCGAACTTCATCTTTTCCGACGACGCGTTTGTCGGTGTTGTTTCCTTCGTTGAGCTACTGCTTGACGATGCACATTAATCGGAGTTGGATTTACTGAAAAAACACAAACATCAATTAGAAAATGGAAAGAAAAGAAAGAACATAAAAAGCCAGAGTTTTCCCATCCCTAGTAACCGGTAATTAGCGATGGTAGAAAAGAATCTATTTCAAGTGTTGCAACGATTTATCTCATTTAAATACGACTTGTTTTCATTGTTCATTATTGGCAACTGGCCAGTAATTTGTGGTATATCGCTTTGTTGATTGAAAAGAAAGAGGAGATTTTACAATGCGACCCCGAGCGATACACAAGAGATATCAAGGAATCGGCGCAAATAAAGCTGTCAGTGCTGATTTCAACGTAATTTTGTAAAATTTCAACAAGAATTCAATAGCTTCTTAAATTCTTCAAATTAGTGCTGGTTCCGGATTAAAAATTTATAGAATTTCCCTGAGTATTGCGCTGTTTAGGCCAAAAGGGTTTGGAGAAAATTGCCTTAATTTCCTTTGGCAAAGAGGGTAAAGGAGTAGCAAAGCTCGTAAAATTTTCTTAGATTAGAAAAAAAAATATCTCACCTAACCATTTTTACCCAAGTATACAGTAAAAACTCTAATAGAATGGCCGGCCGTTCTATTTTTCAACCCCTCAAAATCGGTCGGCCAAAAAAGTAAGTAAGGGTCCCCTACATGAATCAAAAATTTATTTTTCCTTGAAAACCGTTTTAAACGATAGTCCTTGGCTTAAAACGTATGCAGAACATGTTTTAGAGTGAAAATATTTTCTTACCCGGAGCCTCTAGAAATTTTCCTGAAAAAAATCCCTGTGATTTTTTTTCTTATTTTTTAAAAACTGTCCAACCAATTTTATTGCCGATGATAGTTTTGGAATATTTATGCCCAATTCTATCCATTCCCGTCAAAAAAATGTCCCAAAAGTCGATATTTCGAGGGGTCAGAGGTTTTTAGTTTTTACGATAGTATAAATTTTGAGTGTCCCCTCTCTGAATTTTCAGTTTTTAGTCCATTTCTCAAAAACTAGTGGATGGTTCTGGAAGTTCAAAATACCATTCAATAGCAATTTTTTTTGCAAAATTTGCGCATTTAATTCTAGTTTTACCCTTATACGTTTTCAATAAATATTCCAGAATATTCAACTGTCATCTGTTTTTGAGAAAGGGACTAAAAACTAAAAATTCACAATGGACACTCGAAATGTATAAAGTACAGCAAAGGAGAATGGTTAAAAAAGGCAAAATTTACTACAACTACAGCCGGGTTTTTATATGCAAATTATAAGTCCACAGTTTAGAAAAGAGCACCAATATGCAAATTGATTTTGAAAGTCGGTAGGCTTAAAATTTTCTGCCAAAAGTCGACAGACTGGGGTTAGGCGCGGAAAAAGTAAACGAGCATGGGCAAATGGATGGGATAACGGGGAGATGAGTGAAGTGCCTTGTATGCCCACCTGTCGCTCAATCCCCTCATCCCTAACCCTGTCTCCTTTCCACCCGATTACAATAGCCTTTCCGGGCTTCTCTTTCAAAACTCAACTCTATAAAAAGCCTCAAAATTCACTCTAAAAGCATCAAAAATTTGATCTGACAGTCGGAAGGGTTGGCCGACAATTTGGAATTCAAAATAAAATCACTGCTATGTGAAATTTGTACATTGCTCGAAGAGGAATGTTGAAAAATTATTAAACAAAATACGAATTTTGAATCATGGTATAACAAAAAGTGTTTTAGAATGGTGAATCAATTGTTCCATTTTTCTGAGGAATTGCCTCGCTTCAAGAAAAGGAGAATTTTTAGTCTGGAAGCTGGAAAAAGGGGAAGTATATCGCCGTATCCTTTAATCAGATAACCCACAAAGAACTACACACCACTCTCGTCGCAAGGACAACAAAAAAAAATCAAAAGGCTAAATCAAAACAAAAAATATGTGACGAGTGGGAGTTAAAATCTAGAAGGGAAAAGGGAACGTTTTCCTCAAAATCCCCTGAAATCTTTAAAAAGCCGTAAAACCCAGAAAGGGAAAAACGTACGCGGCCCATAGGATTGATCCAAAGAAAAGACACGAGGGACTCCTCCCTCCAAGTGACTTCTCTTTTTGGGATGGGAGATTCCCCGCAAAACGATTCAGAAAACAAGGAAAGGGGGAAACCTTATAGTTAGAAAGACAGAGTCCTCTGTGTTGCGGAATGCAACCCAAAATATCCAGTCTGCCTGTCGACAACATTGCTAATTCATTAAAGGTCGCGGAAGAAAAATTGTCTTTAATTTAAGCAGCTAAATATTTCAAAACTTTCATTGGACAAAATCAAAGCTACAGTACCCACCAAGTACAATAGGCATTCAGTTTATGCAAATTACACTTGAAGTCAGCTTTATATCAGCTTTATAGCTTTTTATGATCGATCGAAAACTCGTTTTTAAAAAAGTTTTTAGGATGCTTCTATCTAAACATCCTGGAATGATTCTCAAAAGAGAGGATGACTTAAAAGAAGAGTGCGGTCATAAAAATGACACATCTCAGTAAATAAAGACACAATTTTTGATCAAGAGCGAAACTAAACAAAAACGCGCAATCCAGACTTTTCGTCGCCACAAACCACTGCTTACCGCACAAGTTACCCCGGTTTCAGTGTTGCCAAAATTGAACAAAAACGAACATTGAACTTAGCAAGTTCTCGTAAGAAAACAGCAGCAAGTAGTCGAAGAAAGAGCGCCGCGAGTGAGAAGGGCAAATTCGAGGAGCGTGGGAGCATTTCGGGTTTCGAAAGACGAAGGCATTCCCCTTGGAAACATCCATTGTTCTCCCCAGAGATCCACCCCTTACCCTTCTCACTCTTTCTACAAACAAAAATCTAATATTCCGTTGAACCCGAATCCAGCTGCCAACACATGTTCAAGTACTAACAAACTCCAGAATACATGATGAGCATATAAATAAATCTTTGATCTTCGTGGCGCATCCCTAACGTAGAAGCAAACGAACTCCAATAAATAATTTATTAGAAGATTACGCCCAGAAACAACTTTAAAGCAGTGACAAACGTATGCTCAGCCGAAAAATTCTACTGCTTACACAAATCATGTGCTAACAAATGAAAATTTTCCATCAAAATGAACATAATACCTTAACAGATTGAAAACGGAGATAAATAGCATGAAAAAATGAAACCTTAAAATAAATAAAGTTTGAGGTAAAAACAATAAAATTCCAAAAAGTTTATGGGTGAAAAGAGTTTTGGGATGTTTATCAAAGGATACAATCTGTAAAAACAATGTAACAAAAGAGAGTGGCAAATAAATAAAAGGGAGTTGGAAAAAAATTGGCATCTATAACAACGAGTGAATCACGTAAAATATGACCATTTAGCTGAAATGGAAAAATCTTACAATAATAACTCGAATTATTCAGCGGTCCCGTCAACTTTCTCCGTTGGAACCTGAAAAAAAAAAAAGAGTATAAAATAGTAGAGTTAAAAGTTACTTTTTCAAAACCGTCGATGATCTCGCTGAGAGTGTCTCGAAATTTCGTCAACGAATTCAATGGAACGGTGATTGAGGTGCGGAAGCCGGAAGCCTGCTTCACCTAAATTATTATTATTATTGCTCATGATCAAGTTATGAGAATTTTTACACAACTATTCTTTAGACCAGTAGCAGAACCTCCACATGTTCTTAGAAATTCATACTATTTTGCAATAATAAATCAAGTGCGCCCACCTCTGAGATCCTCAAAAGCTACCACGGTCATTACTTCCACTGTCAAAGTAGAACATCTTGCCGCCTTCACCGCGAAACTAAAAAATAATGAATCAAGGCATAAACAAAACAATTAGGTAACCTGTTTAGCCTCTGGAAGATTTGCTGGTGAAATATGTTCATCCAAATATCCCTCGGAATATTTCTCGATGAGTTCCCGTAAAGTCGCGAGAAGTTCACCGATACCCTCTCCCGGAATCACCACCTGAACTTTCTGCTTTTTGTTGGGTGGAAATTTTATTGCACTTATAAACAAACCTGGCTTCGAGACATGCGAGCGTTGTAAGAGGTCGCCGCGTTCTAAACCTTTTCATATAAGACATTAACAGTTAAGTGTATACGGTTTGAGCAATTCGCAAGAAACGTCCCCGAGAGTTCTGCTTGAGATCCAAATAATAGCGCCTGGTTTCATAATTCAACGTCTCTGACTTCAGTTCAACGTCTTTCTAAACAAAAGTTCATTAAAGTTAAATATATCGTTAATTCACCTCGGCTTCTTTGTCTGGTGTCTCATCGGAAAACGCTTTGAGGATCTCAATCTTCTCGGCCAAGGAAACCGCTGCCGACATAGTGAGAATGATGCGCGATTTGTGATTGTTTCCCATCTAAATTTCCCACAAGAATTCTCAAGCTTCTACTACTTATAGCTAACGCAATTTCTGTTTCGACAGCATCAAACAAAAAAAATACCTCAGCTATCTTGATGAAACGTCCTCGCTTGTTCTGCTTGGCATCCACGTAGAAGCGTTTGTATTGAATGTTGAGAACCTTACTCTCAAGATCGTCTTCGTTTGGCTGCCCACCTTGCGCCACTCGCCGTTCACCAGGTTGTTCCCTATCTTCACTGCTATGAGACATCTAAAATCAGTGTGATTGAAAGAAAGTTAATTAGGCAGCACTGGGATCATCATAACCAAATCAAATTAATGTCTAATTGTTCACAACACCTTTCACTAAAACCAATAATTCATTGATTGAAAAATTCAAAAATATGTGTTACAAAGATACCTTTTATTCTACTGCACAAAACGTTAGCACTCATTGATAAAAGTTATAGGTCTCTAACCCCAATCATCAATATCGAAACTCAGTAGTCTGCAAAACATTTATTTTCAGCAAAACAACGTTACAATAACAAGAAACCCGTACAAAATCAGCAAGAAATAAGAGATCAAAAAGACGTAAAAGTGAAAGTGCCATAA